CTGGAAGTTTCTGTAGCAGAAGATCGACAAGCTGAAGTGCACCGATGACCAGTGAAGGATGATCCTTAGACGACAAGATCGACGAGGCAAAACTCGCAACAGGTACTAGCTATATTCCAAAATCAGACGGGGCTGCAAAACAAACAAAAAAGATACTTGCATTGAAGGCATCCTTGAGCGCCTCCCCTTCAAGGAAACCCACTGCCTTCAGTAGACCCGTCAAAGTTTTAACCCGGACAGGGGTTATCACGCTAGCAGCATATACGTCTATTAAGATGGGCACCATCAGCTGCATAAATCGTCCAACAACCTCCGGCTTTGAACGTAGAAGCTCGGAACGATCCGCCACTGCAGGCTCAGCCAAAGAAGTTAGAGAAGGGATGTCATCAGGATCTTGCATTTGAAAGTCATTCATGCTGTTATCCTGAAATGGTTCTACTGCAGGTGTCGCTTGCGCCGATGTATCAGAGCTTGGCTGATAAGGTGTGAACACAGCCTGACGCGCAGCAGCGCGATCAGCCTTGGCTTTAGCCTTCACCATTCGTGTCAATGCCTTATCAGTATAGCCCTTGTGATCAAACACGCCATCTTCAAAAGATGTGAGTAGGCAATCATATTATTATGATGTTCCCAGACGTACCTTTTGGAAGAGGAGGCATTAATTCGGACACTAGACTGAGGGCTTCTTCTACTTGCTCCTTGGATCGGTGGGCAAGATTCTCCATGACTGTCATATGAGTTACATCGCCGGCCAGCCCTTGGCCACCTTGCTCGCCGCCACCACCAGATGCTGAGGGGAGAACCCCCGTCAGGATCTGGTAAAGTGTATCAACGATGTCTGCCTGGAGCAGATTAAGGGTAATCTTTGGGCTTGCGCGGGCCGCTGTTGCTAGTGCCTTCAAAAGCAAGGTGAAGGTATTGGCAGCAATCAAAGGGGAGCCTCCGGCTGGCATTAGAAGCAAATTGATCGCCCGAATGGCGGTCTCGTCCAACAGGTTTTCCAGGTTATCCGTCGCAGAGCGATAATAAGACTCCACAACTCTGATGACGCATAGGCATGCGAATTCAACCAACCTCTGATCAGAATAGCCAATGCAATTCCGAATGATTGGCCAAACGCCAAGAATCATCTGGAAATGGTCTGGAGAGATATTTCTGCAGCAATTTGCGGCAGCTTGTAGCGCAGTCCTCTGTACAGCAATGGAGAAGAAGTCGAGGTAGTTCAGTAGTGCTGCTAAACCATTTTCTCGTACGATGGAGCTAGGGAACTCTTCGGATATTTTCTCCAGCGTCTGAAACACAATTTAGGGGAGAATGTGACATAACAGCTGAGAGACTTACGCTCAATGTCTGTTCTGCGAGATCGATATAAGATATTTCAATCAACTTGCTGCAAAGGACCGGTATTGCGCCATGATACACAACGGAGTGGGCTACACCAGGCAGAGCCTCCATCAGATTTGCCAGGCAACGACATGCTAGCATCTGCGCTTCGAGATTCTCATCGCCCTGGTATGTTCCACCCCCGCTCATCGCCAATGCAGCAGCTAGAGCCGCGTCCTCATCATGGTCATCGCCATCATCACCGCCGTCTTCGTCTTCGTCTTCATCTGCACCGCGACCACCAAGGATCTTCACGAGTTCTCTTACAAATTGCTCCACTTGGAATGAGCCTGCTAAAGTGTCTTCTGTGCTTATGCTGAGGAGCTCACTGAGCTCCTGCAGTGTCACCAGGCGAGTGGTTGGGCTAGCGGTTGATTTAATGTTATTTAACATGGTCTTGAGTCGGCTTGAGAGGGAAACCATGTATGATCCAAATTGGCGGTAATCTCCAAAAATTGCCATCGCAGCAGAGTCGTCCAGGCCAGCAAATCCACGAGTAGCACCAACTGGCAAGCTTCCTTCTTCATCCCCGTTGTCGTCGCCCTCACCATCACCGCCGTTATCTTCATCCATGGCGACGTCGTCGTCGTCACAGCCGTCAGGGTGTTCCTCATAGGCAGGTCCATCCGGCCTAACTATCGCAGAATCAAGCATCGGAACGTCTTCGTCAGCCATCTTTGAAGAGCTTGCAGAAGCGCCAACTTTGCTTTTCGTTGCCGCCTTCGCTTTACTCGGTGATGACCTGTAAGGTAACATGTGAGCAGGTCCAGGGCAGGAGAGGCTGAACACAAACTTGGGTTTTCTAGGCATGGGTGCGGAGGCAGAGGTTGAGGCGTCGGTTCTTGATCTCAAAGAATATGCTGTAGTTCTTGTGCGCTTAGAAGATAAGGTTGAGCTCTGCCCCTCTTCTTCTGAATCTGGTTCTGGAGCGGCGCGCTTCTTGCCTTTGCGGTCTTTTGTTGGTTCGGTAATTGCAAGTGGCGGGGCAGATGCAGAGGACAGTGTCGTTCGATGTGCTTTGCTGTCAGGACGTCAGTTAAATATAACTATGGGTACGGGAACATGTCTGCCGCACCTCTTGCTCACGCGGACAGTTTCTTCTGACGATTCCTTAAACTTTCCGTTTCCTGAACTACCCTCTCGAGGACGCTTGTTCTTGGCCTGAGTTGTTGACCTAGTTTCACGGGTGCTCTCTGATGGCACTGCTATGGATTGCTCTGCTGAGTCACCTTCCCTATCTTTCGCCTGCTCGCGTTCCTTCTCCTTTTGCTTGGCTGCTTTCACTCTTGCGCTAGAACGTATTGGCTTGGAATCTATAGTCGATACCGACACCGATGTTGATGGAAAGTGAGCTTGTTCTGATTCTAGTGGCTGCAAGGATACACTGGAGCTTGTGGCTTCTTGCTGATAGATTGGTTGATAGTCCATTAGAACATGCTCCCAGCCATCGATTCTGAGGTTCTGCTAGATGTTAGGAAGCTAGTGGTCAATGAGAAAGAAACGATACGTCGACGCAATGTTAAAGCCGGTGCTCGAATTCGGGTAGATGCCGCCTGGAGAAGGCGTGCGAAAGCGATGGTGGCGTAACCTTGCGGGATGGCCCGATCGCGGAGGGCTTGGGGTTACTACGCAAGAATGTTTACTGCATTGACAAAAATCGTGATGCTATGTACAGGAGTGATCGACGTTTATACAAAATTTTCTGTCAACACTTCCTCGATGCTCCTCACGAAAATATCCACAATCTTCTCTATCTCCTCGGTGGTTGCATTATATGCAGGGCCGAGCATGAGGTGGTCCCCCTTTGATCCATCGAGTGAGGAGCCACCAACCATACCCATCGCAACAAGTCCATTCTTAAGACAGCATGCCTGTACTGCCATTGCAAATAGTTGGTCCTTCATATCAACACGGCGAGCCTCGAGGTTGGAGAAGTCGAATTCGACCCCAAAGAAAGCCCCAGCCCCGCGCACATCGAATGTATATGGCGCTGCGAGAGCATTTTGGGACTGTAGGCGGTCTTTCAACAGCGCAATCATGTGTGCGCCGTTCTTCCTGCACTGTGCAAGGAGATCTTCCTCGATTATGACCTTCTGCACAGCTAAAGATGCTGCACATGCTAGTGGATTTGCCTGTTGAAAATAAATGTTAATGACCGGCTCTTCGATAGCCTCACATCACCAACCTGATATGTGTGACCGTGCTTGATCAGTCCGGAACTCCCCCTAATCCCTTTCGCAACTTTAGGTGAGATGAGAACAGCACCTATGGCAGCATAACTGTGGCCCAATCAATAACATCAAAAAGAAGCGATGCATAATACTCGCCCACCACCCAAACCCTTAGCTATTGCCTGCAGGTCAGGTGCAGCACCATCACCGAGGCTCTGCCAAGCGTGCATAGTGCCCATTCCTAAAGAATCCCGCCATCAATAGTGGTCAAGATCGACGTATCGAGATACTTACGGCCCATGCCAGACATTACCTCATCGAGTATGAAAAGGGAACCATATTTGTCACAGACGGATTTCATGGCTTTGAAGTATCCCTTCGGTGCACTCACAACCCCTGTTGTCGCACCAACGACAGTCTCTGCGACGACTACCAACCGTAAGATTTTTAGAGGAGCGGATAATAATAACAATGACATACAGCCGACTACTGTCTCGGGACCGAGTTCTATGAACTTGTCCTCGAGTTCTTGACGGAGTCGCTCAACGTACTGCTCCTCCGTCTCATCTGGTTTTTGGAACCTCTTCGCAAACGCTGGGGAAACGTGGTGAAAATTCTGGTGGTCTAAGATAGCCTCATATGGTGCACGGCGGCCAGGATGGTATGCAAGGGACAGATTACTCAGGGTATTTCCATGAAAGGACAATTGACGGGCAATGTAGTTTGTCCGTTTCGGCTGCCCAACCTCAACATAATACTGCATTGTTGTTCGTGAGCCCTTGGCCTACGCCTCCACAACACCAACATACCTGTCTCGCGAGTTTGACGACAGCTTCCATTGCTTCAGAACCTAAATTTGTGGTGGTCAGTAAAGTTCAAGCAGAACTCCATGACAATACCTCCAGATAGGAATGCGACCTGCTCAAAGGCACCATCGCTGGTATCCACGAGCAGTTTAGCCAGCTCTTCTGCAGGAGGGCTGGAAAGCTGCATATTGTATACATCTATTCATGATCAGTGACTCGTGCTAAGGAGTGAAGAGAAGGGCATTACAGCACATGACATCGACCTGATCCTTTAGGGCTTTAACTACCTTGGGATGGTTTCCGCCGATGCAAGTTACAGCAGCACCGCCGATCCCATCGATGACACGTCGACCATCCTCGAGATCGATGTAAATACCATCAGTGGCGATGGCGATGGGAGGCACCCATGGCGTTCTATGTAAGATAGATGTAGGGCGAGCGTCCATCTTGTAAATCGAGGAATCGATGGTCTTGATACGAGCTCAGTCTATGAGAGCTAGAGCACAGACCTGGACGAGTGGTGACGATAAGAGGGTGTTGTAAATGAGCTGTCTAAAGGAGCAACGGCTCTCCTTCGACTAATCGAACTTAACCTAAATGAAAACTCCAAGTTAATCTGTTAATTGACAATGTACATTATGATAGATATCAGGCCTGCAGGAATAATATTGAGTTAACGCGTGATAAACCGCTTTCGATTTTATGTGGTGCCGATGGAGTCCGAGTCAGCAGAGTTTGCGTGTCAAAGTTTTGTCAAAGTTCGCGTCAAACTGAAACGTCCCCAATTTAGGACTTGCTTTGTTCTAGCACCGATACATCTCTTCATATGAATGCATGGCTTCCTTGAGCAAAAAACGCAAGGAACTTTCGCAATCTCGCACCATCGTTGATTTCTTCTTAAATAATGCGCCTACAAAGAAAAGCAAGCTTCAAAATCCCCTTCCCAAGACGAACTTGAACAAGAAGAAATTCAAAGCTTCCTTATCTCAGGAGATCATCATTATAGACTCAGATAGTGATGATTGTACAACGAAAAGAGACAAAGGGAAGATGCGAGCAATCTCAGGTCCCCAGAAACAGCACGCTTCTCTGGAAGGGGAAAAGGGGAACCTCCGTGATTCTAATGAATGCGAGTGGAAGCCATCTCTCACACGTGTCGCTCTGTCAAATCACGAAGAACCTCATGAAGATGAACTCCCCACATTTGGAAAGCCCTCCGCTTTATTACAAGTTCCCGTTCAGAGCAGCACGAACGCCGTAGAATGGAAGGAGACTTTACCCCAGTCGTCGGGCATTAAAGCCACTTCCAGCACCTCCATCTTTGGTGTTCCGAATTTGTTACTTCGGTCCTCAGTCGAGCCCGCTCATGAGCTACTTTGTGAAGGAATGGCATCTACGAATGTCGGTGTTCCTAAACCCTGCAGGGATCCAGGAAATATACCACATTCTATTAATGTGATAGACGTCAATTTTACAGGTGACGATGAGCAATGGGGTGTTGGTGACGATGAGCTGGCCATCCTCGAAGCCGCTAATGATGACATTGAGATGAAGTATGTCTCGGAACAATCCAATGACTACATCCAACCTGCTAGCTGCCCTATATGCAAACTCGATATATCACGTTTACTTGGCTTGGTTGGTGACATGACTACGCTACAGATGTGACCTCCTCTGATGCACATTTCAGGACAGACAACACCATGTCAATAAATGTCTCGATTCCACCGTCAGTTCCTCAGGCGCAAATACTATCGCAACTTCAGATTTGAATGTCCCATGCAAACCAAGTACAAGTAAACTTGAAGATATCCCTAACACCGACTTATATTCCGTCCTAATGGCGTCCTATAAGGAAACTGAAGCTTGGAAAGAAGCAGATCTCGCAGAGGATCGTAGCTTTCGACCAACTCGAGCACCAGGCAGCCGGCGAAAGGCACCATTCTACAAAGTTCTGCAAGGAATGCCCATCGCCGTTGATGCGTTCCGCTATGGAACCATACCAGGCGTCACCGCCTACTTTTTAACGTGTGTATCCCAAACTAATACATCAGCACGGCCTCACGATTGTTAGTCATGCTCATTCCGATCACTACACTAACCTTGCTTCGAATTGGAAAAGCGGGCCGATTTATTGTTCAGGTATATCATACCCTAACTTTTGAGTTAAACATGAACATTGAAAGTCTAACTAGGGGATACAGCTAGTTTGATGATACATATGTTGTCGGTTGATCCCAAGTGGGTTCATCCACTCCCGATGGATGTCCCTACCATTGTTCCCGACTCAGGCGGGGTCACTGTCACACTTATTGAAGCTAATCATTGCCCGGGATCGTGCCTATTTTTATTCGAGGGTCCGCAGACTGTGCATGCGGGTGACAGCGCCTTCAAATCGCCATTCGTTGGTTCCGGGAAGACTTTCCGATATTTGCATTGTGGAGACTTCAGAGCTTCGCCTTATCATGTAATGCACCCTGCGGTGAGAGGAAAGCAAATTGACCATGTGTATCTGGACACGACCTACTTGGACCCGAAGGTCAGTCAAGTTAGCTTGACGAGGCAACGCCGCTTATTGCGTATCAGTATACCTTTCCTCCGCAGCCATTGGTCATCTCAGCCTGCGCAGAGCTGGCCAGAAGAATTGTTTCAGGGGAGTGGATTGGCGCTCCAGACACGAATGGAAAGCGGAATTCGACTATGGATGCTTGGGTTATTCCTCCAGACAAGGCAGACGATATCATCATGAAACAGCCCAAGGACCGAATGTTGGTGGTTGTCGGGTAAGTTGGCTATAGTATCGTCCGGCTTAGTCATTGATGCACCTTTGTGTAGCACCTACTCCATTGGTAAAGAACGCATTGTTAAAGGTGAGTATTTGTGCGGACTGTATCTTGCTTGCTCAATTGTTTCTAGCTATCGCGCAGGCTCTCAACACTAAAATTTATTGTAATGCACATAAGGCTGCCATCCTACGATGTCAAAGTGACACTGAGTTGCATGCGCTCTTGACCGAGGACCCAAGCGATGCTGGCGTGCATGTTGTTCCGTTGAACATGATCGTTTCGGACAAGCTCAAAGCGTATGTGCAACGGTTCAAGGGGACATACTCGCGGGTGGTCGGTTTCAGGCCCACAGGATGGACGTGAGTATCTGCCATTTTCCACACACTCATCAATTGATCAATAACGCCTACTACAGTTACACACCACCGTCTGGTAGCGATCTTAGTCCATCCATCTTATCCATCATATCGCGCGGGCAGTCACGGTCCTTCACCCATGCAGACCTTAGACCCATGCAGAAGTCGACATTTGCTGTGCAAATGTACGGCGTGCCGTATTCGGAGCACAGTTCATTTTTTGAGCTTACGTGCTTTGCAATGTCGTGTGATTGGGTGAAGATGATTGCAACTGTGAATGTTGGAAACGAAAGATCCAGAGCGAAAATGGCAAAATGGGTGGAATGCTGGGAGATTGACAGAAAGCGAAATAGGGAGGTCATAGTAAGACCTAGAGCTGCTGATTACTGGTGATCTTCCCTCCATTTACACTGCAGTGCTGGTGGAATGTTTAGTGAACCCAAGTAGTGAGCGTGGATAAATCATATATTAATCACCATCTTGCCAGTATCTGCATTTATGCGTGATACATGTCTACGGGGCATAAAGTGAAAGATATATTGCAAAAGATTTTGGGAGTCAGGACGCACTGGCGAAGGTCCTAGCCAGAGTCCTTGAAAAGTCGACATGCACAATATAATATCGAGGACTCATCAATTGGTTGATGATATCTTGTCTTACGATTTTAAAGTGCTTTTAGTTATATCACAGGACGGTCTCTGCTTGATGGTCCGGCGATCAAGATATCGCCACAGGTACATCGTTTCGAACGACCGCAGATACACATTGATCAGAGGGCAATGAAATTTGAAAGAGCAGTTGCCATCGCCACAACAGTCCTTCGTCAATTCTACAACGCATCTCGAGTCGCCACACACACGAAGAGCCTCCAAATTCTCAATAAATGCTGTAGTGTCTGAGAGGTCATTTTGAGCTTACGTGCTTTGCAATGTCATGTGATTAGGGGTAACTGACACCAGATCCAAAGCGAAAATGGAGCAATTGTAAAACCTAGAGATGCTTATTACTGGTGATGCCCTCTCTGTTCACATTGAAGTGCTGGTGTAATGTTAAGGGAACCCAAGAAGTAGGGAGTGCATGAATCATATATTCATAACCACCTTGCGAGTACCTGGATTTTTGCGTGATGATCGGCCATACACATGAGGCACATAAGAGTGAAAGAAATGCTGCAAAAGAAATCAATGGACCTTCCGCGATAATATCTATTGGTCAGCCCGCTGTCTCCTCCTGAGATCTCTCTCCTCCGAGATGGTGAGCTTCGTACCCTTGCCCTTGGGTAGTGATATCCAGGGCTTTGAACCCTCGCCGATGACAAAAATGTTGGAAATACTGATCAAATACATTAGATTTTTACATTGGTTCGTAGCATGTACTTACCGGGTGGCGAAGGTCCTATCCAAGGAATCCTTGACATGCACGATATCGAAACCACCAATGTGTTTCTCGCGGTGCGTGATGACACCAGCACGACCCATGTTACGTCCGCCAGTGATCATCACAATGTTTCCGGTGTCAAAGTGAACGAATTCGGTGATTTTGCCCGACTCAAGGTCAAACTTGAGAGTGTCGTTAACCTTGATGGCAGGGTCCGGATAACGGATGGTGCGGCCGTCATGAGTGACGACATGAGGGACACCCTTGGCACCGAGAGCGACCTTGCGGACTTTGAGGAGCTTGTAGGAAGCTTCCTCAGGAGTGATGCGGTGGATGGTGAAACGACCCTTAACATCATAGAGGAGACGGAAGTGCTCGCCGGACTTCTCAATAGAGATAGTGTCTAACAAGTGGGAAAAGAGATTAAACAAATAAACCAAGAAAAAAAAGGTTCTTTACCCATGAAGCCGGTGGGGTAGGTAGTGTCTGTGCGCACTTTCCCGTCGACCTTGATCAATCGCTGCTTGACGATGGAAGTAACTTCACGGCCGTTCAGCGCATACTTCAACCTGTTGCGAAGGAAGATGGTCAGGGGGAGCGATTCACGGAGCTTGTGGGGACCAGGAGAAGGACGGGGAGCCTGGGGAATAATCCTGGTGCTTTAGGACAAAGATATCCAAAGGATCTGGGATGCACGCACGTAAGTACCGCTCAATTTGTCCAACATCCATGAGGAGGGTGCAGCAAGGCGTTTCAAATGTTTTTTCGGTCCGCGTGCCTACGGATGACAAGGGAAAGTCAGCTCTGCGTTTGAGCATATCAAGCGGCGAGAAGAGCGAGATTTGCGGGTCAATCATGGTGGTACATCCATCTATAAGTTATCACATCCAGCCATTCCAATGTCGATGATTGCGTCAAAACCGTATTTGTGGCTACCACGGGGTCCGTAAGAGGTGCACAGGACGAGAAAACTGACCATAATGAGATTCTTGAGGAGCGAACGGCGTCGGCGGCGACGATATTGATTTCAGTGCCTCCGTCTGACTGTCTCAACACGTCCGCTGAGCTTGTAAGTTTAGGGTGGGTAAATGCAAGGTCACGTGATCTCTCGATTCGAGACTCGACCTTTTACTCCCACAAATTCAATAAGTACAATAATTGAGCACTAGCACACATCCGTTGTGCCTTCGGCACAGGAAGCAAAAAGAGCGCTTCGCGCTCTTTGTTGGCTTCCTGGCCTTCGGCTTCATCCTACTTTGGGTGTCTTAATAATCATTGCAGGTTTTGAGATAAATTATATTTTATTCACTGAGTTGTGATCGAAATTTTAAAATAAGTTACATACTTTGAGCAGGATTTTGACAAAGTAAAAGTACAATTGAATATATGTATTTTCTCATCTACTGTTGTGTCTGGTGTTCTGTGCCCCATCCTCCTGTCCTTCTGTCGTCCTCCCGTCCTTCTTCTGTCTTCTTCTCCCTCCTTCTTTCCATTCCTTCTGTTCTCTGTTCTCCAATTTTCCTCATTTTCTCTCTCCTGTTTTCCCCTTCTCCTGCTTTCCTGTTCTTCAATTTTCCCCATTTTTTCTATTCTCCCATTTCCCCCATTCTCATTTTCCATTTCTCAATTGACCTTTCTTTATGTAGTTAAATTTTTTGTGTGTATATAATTTGAATTTCATAAATAATAAATGTTTTTAAATGTGTGCTGCCCTAACGGGCAGCGGACCCTCGAGATCACATGACAGCCACGCGAGTTTCCAAATCAAGCTTTAAGTGAGGTAAGCGAAAACCGCATGGCGTTTAGTGAATCTAAGCGTATCTAAGCGTATCTACGCAGTGCAAGCGGAAACCACGCGAGTGTCCGTCCCTTCCCGCAACCGTTCTCCCTTACTTTATAGATGAAGCTGAGCTTGTGGTCCTCAGATCTAGACTCTAGCTTGGATTAGCCCTCCTCCTTCTCAGGAGAAAATCAGGTGATTGAATAAGAACAAGAAGTCAGTGTTTTTGACTAGTACTGTTGTAGTTTAAATGCTTGTTATTATTTAAATTTCCAAGAGATAACGAGAAAACCATAGTATAAATATTTCTCAGGGCTAGTCTACACCCTAACCAGGTTCCTACCCAGTTGCAGTGTCGAGAGAAGAGGACGGCATCCGAGTTGCCATGTGCAAAATTCAAATCACGTGCACTTTGAAGTTTCCAAAAGCAGCCCAAACTTTATTCCTCGTACTCTCTCCACAGCAGCTGGCAGAAAGCATTGGTAAACATTGTTCAGCCACCATAGCAAACCCTTCAGACCTTCAAAATTAAGTAGCAACTTTGAAAACTGAACTTAGGGTTTACATATTTGTTTTGTACTCGATATGGAAACATACTGCGGCATCCTCAACTTGAACATGTTAGTGTCGCCGACGTCACAAGAAATGGTATGTCCAGGGGGAGGATGAATCTCAGTCTACCGAGCTTTTTGAATTCTGGGCGAAATTCTCCTCATGAGCTGACACAATGTGCTTCATCTATAACCACACCCATTATGTGTGACTCAAACAAAGGATTTTTGAGTAGCCTTTCAAATCCTCTGCCGTCCTTCATAATTTGTTTGGGACTGATTGCAATAACTCTATTATATTTCAAGTTCTCTATTGCCTAGTACATAAATGATCATAAATTGCTAGATACTGTTGATAATCTTCAAACCTGAAAGTTAGATGCTGTTGCAGTTGCTGCATGTATAGATATAGCTGAAATTCCTGCTCTTTTGAGGTCCATGACATTTTGCTCACCAAGTAAGTTAAAAGGAGTAATCACAGCTTGTATACTGGTGGAGTCAAATAATAGAGGCATCCAGAATGTGAGGGTTTTACCCTTTCTGGTCCCAGCAATGCAAATAATATCATGGGCATGGAGAGGAAAAGCTTCAGCAACTTTGAGCTGCCAAAGGCAAGGTCTACATCTAAATACTTCCTCTGTCCACGCACAAATTAGAGCAAGAGAAGGCGCCATGATGACATTTTTCAATGATCAATTATCAACTTATGTAAGAATATGGTAATGTTACATAACACAAAATATGTAAACCCTAAGTTCAGTTTTCGAAGTTGCTAGTTAATTTTGAAGGTCCGAAGGGTTTGCTATGGTGGCTGAACAATGTTTACCAATGTTTTCTGCCAGCTGCTGTGGAGAGAGTACATGGCAAACCCTGTAATTTGTAATCCGAATATAGTGCAAAAAGGATAACTCGGGTGTACGTCAGACATAAAGCTTGGGTATTCTGAGCCAATTTCATACAAAATCAAAATATATCATCACGCATCACTTTCTAAGTGTTATTTCAGTGTTGCAAGAAAAATGTTACTAAGAAATCATACTAATATCATGATTAACTCATTTGGAGATCATCAACACGTCAGTTTTGGGTCATCAGTCGGATGTAATCCCACTTGTAAGGATGATATCTCGAGCTGCACGTCTATTGGATGTAAGCCTCACGAATTTACGACGTATTCACGATATATTCATGATAACTGCACATGAAAACACTCATAAAATATTTGCAACGGTCAAAGACTCAAAGTACATGTTGTTACGACTTGGATGGTATCTGTTGGCGACGCTCAAACAGAGCGTGTGTCGTCAACGGTCGAGGACGTCCTTGGGCTAGCCCAAGGTTAGGGGTCTTACTTGGCGACACGTCGGCAAGTAAGATTTAACGCCTATGTCCGAATCGGGTAGCTTACGTCAAGCGGATGCTAGACGATGAGCTGTATCTGCCAAGGCTTACGACACCCGAAGGTTAATCGTAAGATTGTCGTTAATTAGAAGGACGGAAGTCCGACTAGTTAACAGGGGCTTTGCTTGTCGACGGAGTCGATGAGCAAAGATCGAGACTATAGGCTTATCTGCGAAGAGCAGATAAGAAGATAGAATATAGACTGCTGGCTAGGCAGAAGGGATCACTCTGGTGAGAGTAGGAGGTCAAGAACCAAGTAGATTCAAGTTAAGGAATATGTTACATGGTAGCGAGTTTATATAGAGGACAGGAGGCGTATTAGTGGATGATAACTCGTACTACCAAGAGAAGTAAATGGTAAAGGGTATGACCATAAAAGGAAGGCATGTTCGAGGTGAGACATGGGTGAGCTCTGAACGTGCGGATAAGAAAGTGAGTCAAAGATCAGAATAAGGAGTGAAACATGCAGAGGCACGATCGTGCAGCTGCGGAGCTAAGTATAAGTCGCATGTGCGACTACGCATTGAGTCAGAGATCAGGAAAGGAAACAGGGTAAAGGGGATGCGTCGTGCATCGTATCATAGGTTACCGTCTGGACGGTAAGGGCAAAGGGGACTGTCCACAGGATCAGTCAGGTGGTGGGACGGAGCATGGGTATGCTTCGTCAGCGAAAGGATCCGGCCAGATGTACTGGCTCTGCTGAAGCGACAGGTAGAGGGCGAAAGGGAATGCGAGGATGACGAGGATAACAAGGGTGAGGTCGGGGTAAGGGTATGATGCGAGGGCTGATACCAGAAGGATGAGGAGAAAAATGGTAGGGGCCCAAGTGTCTAGATGTTCTTGTAACACATGTGCCAGGATTCAGCTGGGCAAGTCAAAACAACAAGTCACATTAACCAAAGTATCAAATAACAATATTGTCAAGTTGAACCACAGCGCCAGTAAATCTACACTATATAATGCGACAAGTTAAACACAATGAAATATTTATTCCGAACCAACTGATACCAAAGGGTCGGGGTGAAAAAGCATCGCGTGAGCACAGAACTCAGTCCATATGTGATCTAGTAAGTTTTCCCCAATTTGATCTCCACCCAAATTGTCAGCATCAAGCCAATGTTCAATGAACTGTCCCTCAAGGGGAATCCTTGGGTCCCACATTGGCCACTGGCTGCATGGAAAATCTGGGCAAGCACCTACAAAGGCCAGCCAGAACGCATTATGGCCCCATGTCCAATGCTGCGACACTGCCGGTATGGTGACCAGCCAATGCTGAATCTTCTCTGACAGCTGCAACCAATGAAAGGAATCCATGGGATTGAATTTCGATGGCAACAGGAGGAACGGTATGGGTATATTGACATCAACATTGTTGTAAGATAGTTCATGTCCCTTTTCGCTCGAATCAAGGGCCTAGAATTTTTAGATTGATCCCGACATGAGAAAGTTGCCCACTTACATCGTCAAAAGTCGAGGAACATTCAGAATAGGGATATCTGTCCAAAGTGAGAGCTTCCATGACAGGAGTCATATATGGTCTATACTCCTCTGCGATTGAAACTGATATTTGGATTGGCTAAAAAGGTTTATCAGGAATTATTTCAAAGGGGAAGGAAGGAGAAGTACAACAACACCACGAACAAGGTGTCTTGGAAGATCACCTGAAAAACATATTCCGATGCACAAAGGTTGCAATGACACGTCTTCTGTATTCTGTGTGCGGATCGGTGGGTAGAATGTTGAAGTTTGAACTGTGTAGGATGGTGCAGTATTAGTACAGGTGGTTGGAAAATGGCACTGATCCATATTATCGACAATTTGCAGGTTGATTGGTCGTTGAGCATTGAGTGAATGTTGAACATTTGGTGACCGTCACAACTGTGACTCGAAGCAGACACGTGATCAATTGGACTTATCATTTCGGCAAGTCTCGACCAGCAGCCAGCACTGTCAATATCAATATGGGTGAATCACAACTTGTTGATGGGACAGGTGAGTACTTTTAAGAGTCATTGAGTTATTAAAAATTCTCGTATTTACAGTTTTACAATACTGTAATCCAACGCAGACTTCTGTCATCTGCACAGTCTGCCCTCAGCTCAAGGGTAAATTGCGGATGATGATGTGCAGACATATCCAAAGTCACTGCAACACTGCTGTGCATATTCGACACCTATTAATAAAGTATTCTGGGAGAATATTGGTGTCCAAAAACCCCTTCCCTCCAGAATCTCGATGACCCACACAGACGACCAACTGTGAATCCAATATTGACTCGGATGCCTCTGACATGGTTGCTGACTGTCACGACGATGCTTACAATGAACTGACAACATCTATCTCTGCACCTGTCGAAGAAGAAATGCCACTGTCTACGCTGTGGGACATTGCATTGCATTAGACCACCATGTATACAAGATTGGTGGTGGGCGAGAGCTTTTCGACAAACTTGAAGCTTTGCTACTTGAGGGCGATAAGATCATCGCAATGCCCATAGCTGCTCTCGAAGACGAGATTGGAATGCAAGATGATGATTATTTTGGCATTGAACTACTGGGTAAGTTTTTAGCATTACTGTGTTCATTCGTGCTATTGACGCAATCATAGACAAAATTCCTGTGGATTCTAGTATGAAGACAAAGGCAAATATGAAAGTTAATCTGGGTGGCGCCTACTATCCTTGGTTGTCGAGAGCAGTAAGTGTATATTCTGACAGGATTCGAGGATGCTCATTGTGTTTCCAAAGCACTTCTTGACTGCATTATTGTTTAGCCCTGCACAACTACCATTTTTGGATGTGCAGAAGAAAGCTGTACTCAGCTGGGCCAAGGAGCTGCGTGCCCATGATGTCCATCTCTCAAGGCTGTTAAGGAGTCAAATGAGCACATCTGTGAACTTGTCAGCAATCCAATGCGAAAAGTAACTTCAGCATCCGGCAATGTTTTTTACATCAACGATATTTGGCATGCAATTGCAAAGGTAAACTACAAGCGCTCAGACTATCCTATGCTAACCATGTCATTTAGGACTACACGAATCTACTCACCCACTTTTCCATGCAAGATTATCCAGAGGATGGAGGAGATGGAATGTCGCAGGTTTTCACATGGACAGAAGATGCTGCTAGAGCTGCCATCACCTCCGGCGGCTTGTGTGGACAGCAAATATATTTCGTCAATGAACTTCTGCAGGAATGCTCAGGAGGCTTTTTGTCCCAGAATGCTTCTTCACTGCCTTGTATGCACAGTGAATGGCAGGGACTCACAGGATTTGTGCCAGGAGGAGACAAAACATATGCTATGGGCCATGCGATACAATACACAGATGTATGTACTAACTCTGTCTCGTAGATATCATGACAGATACTGACATGTTGAATAGGCCGGTTTCATTGTCAGTGATGAACAAGAGATCATTCCAGTTTCAAACTTCAGACATTCCTTTGAGGATCTCGTGGACAAGCTTACATGTGGGGTCACCAGTAAGTACATGTTTGAGCTATAGGCGACTCTACTTAGCATAATCCTAGTGTCATCTGAAAAATACCTGAAGCTCACACCACATCCTCTATGCAAAAAGTCAAAGGGCCAGATGGTCTATTCAGTCCCTCTCATTATATTCATGGATGACATTTCCGGAAATGTTTCAAAGCAGTAGAATAAACATCACGCGATTTACATGTCAAATGCTAACCACATGAGATGCTGGAGAAAGAGTTTTGTGTTCGATTCATAACATCATCACCACACGCTGCACCGATGGAATTGATGCATGTGATGAAGGAGTCTATCAGGTGCGTTCTATGCTTCTATGCTGCCCACATTTAGTCAACTCAAGCATTGATTAGTGCAGCCGCAGACTCAGGAATCTTTGCGTGGGACTGCAAATTTGACGAGGAGGTCATGCTCATTCCTGAAGGTTTATTTCTTGCGGGGGACAATCTGATGCAGGCCAAGGAATGCAGCCATGCAGGGCTGAATTGTAATTACTTTTGCAGGACTTGTCATGTTGGGGGACAAAGGAATACAAAGAGTCTGAGGCTGGATATGTTAGTCTTTTTACGGTGTGTTATTCAATATGAACACTATAGATTGATCTTAAGAGTGAGACAGGAAGGAACACCCCAAACACCTGAAGAAATGACATCACAGGTCCTCAAGCAGTTCGAGACCGCATTATGTTCAGGAGCCACAGGGAAGGTTGCGGCCACCATATCAACCACTGGAATCCGGGACTCTACTTCATCTTCCATCATCAATACGCTTGTTGAAATGGGCAAGAAGCTATGAAAACGAGATGTAGGACAGCCAGCATTACCAGAATCTGAAGTTCGTGCAAAGCTGGAGGAAGAGCTTTCGGGTATATTGCAAGGTAGGACACACCGGATGCAATCAATCCCCTTCTAGGGATAAATGGTGAGCGTTCTCAGATTTTGATGCAGGTTGTTGAATTCACACTGGTACATAGATATGAATGTTCACATGGATACTCCTACTGAGATCCTTCACACAGTTCTACTCAGCGTTGTGAAATACTTTTGGGGACAGACTGTGTTTGTGCTCAAGAAAGCTAAACTACTCACTCGTTTTCAGACACGTCTCAACTCACTGGATAGAGATGACCTGAATGTGCCGTCCCTGAATGCCGACTACATTTGCCACTATAAAGGAGGCTTAATTGGAAAGCACTTTAAGAGTCTCGTGCAAGTTATGCCGTTTGTCATCTACGATCCCATTCCGAAAAGTGTTCTTGATGGATGGACCTTAATTGGAGAGTTAGTTCTCATTCATTGGCATATGAAAATCGACAACACTGAACACTACTTGGCAAAGCTAGCTCGAACAATAAGCAATTTTCTCAATGTGACTGCACAGTGCGCACCCAGTATCTTGATCAGCAAACCAAAATTCCATTTTTTAGTTCACCTCCCAGCTTACATTCGACATTTTGGACCTGCTATTATTTTTTCGACTGAGCGTTATGAGTTGTTTAATCATGTATTCTGTCTTACATGCATTTACAACAATCGACAAGCTCCAAGTCACGACACGTGCATGACATTTGTTCGCAATGACACTGCCAAGCACATCACTACTGGCGGTTATTGGTATGACACCCATACAGAACGATGGGTTCATGGTGGCCCACAGGTTCTCACCTACCTTGAACACCATCCTGAACAAGCTTGTCTGCTTGGAATTCCTGACCAAAAACTAGCTGATCCAGGTACGGCAAATCCTGCAATTCATTCACAGACTGACAGTGCTATGATAGGCACAGGGAGAATTATAGTGACTGACCGGTCTAAGCATGAAGCCGTTCTGTGGCAAGCGACACGTGCGCAGACATTCAAGAAGAATGGTCTCAAAAGTCCTCCTTCTTCCGAGTACTACCAGGGAACTTTGGTAGTGACTAGTGAGCATGAAACTTCGCAATTGGGTGGGCATGTCATATTTTGAGATGCGCTTGAGAAGGTGCGTCGTTCCCCACTATGTCACTTCTAGTTTACTTACTATCAAACAGACTCATATTGGACACATCCGTGAGATATTAATTGCAACAGCGCCTGGGCACTCTGTCGCATTTGTTGCTCTTCAGACATTTTCCTTCATGCCTGCACGCCACCCTTTGCTCCATCTGCCATGTCTCCTCCTCACTGATGAGGAACTAATTGTGTCGGGAATGGTGAGCCTTACTATGTCTTATTTTTGTTGCATTCAATTCAAGTCGCATTTTAGGATATCATATGTATCGCCAATGTTCAGCACAATTGTCTCAATGCAAAATGCACAGAGTTAACTACCAAGCATCTGTGGCAAGAGGACCCAAACTGACCAAACAGCAAGTGTCGTGAAACACCAAATATTGCCACAGTATCTCCTTAACATGTTCTCCACCCATGACTACCAGCATCTCTCTTCTCTTCTCCCAGAATCCCTCTCTGAGACACCATTGCACATTTCAGATCCTGGAGCTGTCTAAAGAGCTGCTGTGAGACAAATGCAGGGAAAGAGGCTGGTGAAAAAGCTCGGAGGCGAGGCAGTGAGCGTGCCCCAAGATGACGATGGTGTCCATCCTGCATTTGATTGTGCAGCTAAGAAACAGCCCAAGACCACATCCAGGAAGCAAGTGAAGTCTACGAATTTGACAAAGCAGCAGCAGCCTGTCGAGGCATCCATGTCAAACACCCCAGATATTCTGCACCGCCCCCTTCAACCACATCCTCATTTTCATCAACCTGCCGCTCAGCAATACACTGCACATCTCCCCAATCCCCCTCAAGCATCTGGTCATTCAAGTTCATCATTCCCTCAATCCTCAGTACACCAATGGCGTCTCCCGCCGCCAGGGTTTGCGCCACCCCCAGAAATGTCTCATTGGGCATCTCAGGTGCCTTCCTTTTCAATATCTTCTGGCCATAGTCAGTTTTCATCTCTAACCCACCCTGCTCCACCCATTCAAGTACCCGCATAATCCCCTGTATTCTACAGCCTTCGAAGCTAACTCACATCAGTTACATCCTTATCATTTCCCCCAACCTTATGACACTTCTCGTCAATATTTTCACCTCTAGTGATTTTTAATATCATTTTTGATTTGATGACATGGTCAGTCGCACATTGCACACCTTTGGTTAAGTTCAAAGTCAACATGTCTAACAAACCCCAAGTGGATGGGTCAGCCCCAACCCGCAGAATCCTCCAGGTATCCCTGAAGAAGCTCACCCAAGCTGCCAATGAGGACATGATACTTTCAATATGAAGATAAGCTTCACTCTTACTACAATGACACAGCGGTTTAACTGATCTATCTCTACCTTCAAAGTCAACATGTCTAACAAACCCCGAGTGGATGGGTCAGCCCTGACCTGTGGAATCCTCTAGGTATCCCTGAAGAAGCTCATGGCAGATCCAATAGATATTGAGCTTTCTGCTCACTGTCGAATTGTAGTGGTTTGCAAGCATTTATTGACAGAAAACAGACCAAGCAGACTCCTCAGGTCCTGACAGTGATTAATGTCCTGCAGCTAATCATCCACCAGGCACCAATCTGTGTGTCACACTTTTATCAGTAGTAGGAATGCACATTTTTAATAGCATAATCCAGATCATTGCTCAACTCTGAGTACTTGAATTGTGGCTGAACTTAGCTCATGTGCATGGGAAGTTTTGTTGGAAATGTTGAAGCACAACTTGAACGTGTTTACCAGGTGTTCACTGAGAACTCAAGGAAGGACCTCCCAAGATGATGCTCAATCACTTTCCACTTCACTCAATATCTGGGGGCTCCCAGAGAGCAAATAGCATCGGTCCTCCCGGGATGGTAGACATTGTGCTCGCTCACTGCTTGGGTCTGACATGGGACTCTCGACCCACTCTGCTCCTGTTGTTTGCAGGCAGCCTACCAGCTCAGGCTCTCAATCACAGTCTTCGAATCCTCTTCCAGATACCTCAATTGTTCTGACCAGTCCTTCACGCCCAGGTTCTCCAAGCGGATCGTCTGATCTCAATGCGCCTATTAGCACAGGTGTTCGGCATCAGAGGGATTCCAGCACCAATGCAGCCTGTCTCACTCCAAGATGCACCAAGTGACTCAAAACATATGCAACAACAGCTTGCTACTGAACATGGAATACCTTTGAAGAAGTTGCTGGCATTTATCGAGGTACGATCTATTCTACCTTCCTTTATTATTTTGATTAAGTTTCATCTTAATTTCACCAAGAATGATGATTGTTTGTCATGCTTCTAGAATTAAGGGCTGGTCAGCTTGAACGAGAAGAAGAAATCGAAATAAATACTTTACAAGAACTCGAGAAACTACTGACTTCTAGGGATTTCGAGGTGCAACTGATTGATTGTTCTCATCTATTCCATAACTGACTATTTGCAGAGTGCACTGAAGAGCCACCTTACTGCATGTATGCTATCTCCAAACCTGACTGCTTATATCACTGATACGCATCAACATGTGATGGTAGTTCGGATTTACTTCTTATTGCCTTAAATGCTCATTGTTCATATCGCAGGAGTTTATCCAAGTGCACAATAATCTTTCAAGATCACTGAGGGACTCTTTGAAGATGCTGAGTTGTGCTCACAACTCGGCAGATTGGTCACACGGCTTTTGTCAACCATCTGTGGCCAAATCAAAAGCACAGTACATATTTTCTCAATGAATGAAGATAGAAAGTGTTCACAGCAATCATTCTATCCACAGCTTACCATGTCAGTCAGCAAGAGATTGAGTATCATGGATGCCCTTAAACCACTTATACATAGTGGCATGGAGGTTGACTCCTCGCATTGGACTAGATTTGCATTTTTGGTGGGTTTCTTCAGGCATCCAGATTGTTTTTACTGAATTTGAGACAGCGCCATTGTCTTGCATCTTCCTGATCAGTGTTTGTGATCATGAAAAGCTCACCCTCAAGGAAGCCTTCTCCCCCTACCTTATCCCCTCGCTCCATCAAGATCTCATAGAGAGAGCATATTGAGAAAGCACTCAATGTTGATATGGTTCAGTTGGCAGATGAATTTTTGGAGTATCACCCAGGCCAGGGATCTGCGGATCAAGAAGAACGCTCCAGTGCCTATAAAAGCCTCGATGATCCTACCAGCCATGATGCGAGCTCCACCGCAGCGGCAGTCACCAACAATCTGGTTGACGAAGAGGACCGCCAGGCCGATCCAACTGCAATCTGTTACAACTGGGATAGTAAATGTTATTGTAACACAATCGAAGGTCCCTTTACAGATGCGGATGCGAATGAAATCCCTGACGAGTCTTTTGGTACTCCTGATTGTGCAACATCTGGCTTTGGACTCGACGGTGGCTTCAAAAAATGGAACAAACAAAAATTTTGGAACTATGTTGATGCAATGCTGGAGCAGCTTCACAAAAGTGCGCATGAGCAATCAGGAGGTCAGACTGCTGGGTATGAAGATGTGTACCGCAAGTATGTGATATCTCTGTACACTGTTTATTCACCTTACTGACTAATGAATAGGGCAATGGTCGAGTTTTTCCAGCTCAACCTGCAGGAGTTCCCTGGTCGCCACAAGGCTCTATCTCTTGTGAAAGGTTCACAGCCTGTATGGCAGGAAACAATTCAGAAAAAGTTGTTATGGTAAAGTTTGCATGCTCATTCATTCGTAGTCCTTGTTTAATTATAATCAATTAATCATTATATAAATTGTCTACTTTCATTGAATGCATGGTGTCTTGTCGTGTTTTTTATACGAGTCTGAGTACCACCATGGTGCATTACTGGCCGATCACCGAGAGAGATATCTGCCATGTATAGCGGATGTATCATGACATTCGTCATTCATACCTACTTGGACATGCTGCCTCAGATATGCAGGTGAAAACATAATCTGTATGTCTCAATCAATACACCTCATTTACATCTGCGGGCAACCATTAAACTGACAATTTCCATAGATACAAACATCTTATCTTAGGACAGATATCACCTAAATAATTAATTTATATCCTACAGAAGTCGCACAGAGACAGGGCAATCAAATATTTTTGAACATAATCGCATATATATTTATGATTTACGTGGTATGTCACGCGAAAACCCTATGGATGATGCATGTGAGATATTGGATATATAATTTCTATTTTTGACACCAGATTTACAAAATGGTGGGTTTGCCATGTACCATGCTAGGTACAATAGATTATATGAAATGATAGGTGAATGATACTAGTACATATTAAAGTCCAGCTTTCTCGAGCTCTGCAAGAATAGTGTAAGGGAGAACTCAATGACCTCTGTATTTTTTGCTTGTCCACACGGCTTCAAGTTGTTTTCCTGTTAAACCTTTTTTACAAGATTCTTCAGGTTACCCAGTGCACGCTTCGGCATTGTGCAGCCTGCGGTACTCTGAGGCGCGGACACAGAGGTGAAGGTTTACCTTTTTCGTAGCGTTACCTCCTAATTGTCACACACAAAGATGAACCCATAAGACTCATTTTTTAATGGCGCTCGTAATTCTCAATTTTTAAAAAAACCCAGCCCCACAGAGTTATTCTAAATACAAATACAAAGAAAACTGTGGTTTTTTTTTTTTGCCAAAAAGTGACATTTGCGACGGCCATTAGCTGTACACTCAAAAGTCACGCAAAAGTCACCCTTGGTCATGTGATGTTAGTTGTTTGTGCATGAGCCCTATCTTACACGTGTCATAACACAGCCATTCTGATGCCGGCCAGTGGCGACTATCTTCAGATCAATCGTGTGTCATTCAAATACAACCAAGGATTCACAATGGTCCCTGGAAATTTCCGACAATTAGACAGAATTTCACCGTTTCTTCCATCTAACTCGTTTGAAGATGTCCACTCCAACTCAACTTGAACTCGAAAATCTAACTGTCAGTGATGGCGTTTCCTACTATTATTTTGATAGCGGCAACGTCCCTGACAACACCTATACAACCTTGGTCTTCGTCCCTGGCATGGGTTTCAATGGAGGTAATTATATAGTACTTCGCGACGTCCGGCTGACTTATTTCTCATGCAGGTGTTTTCAGGAAGCTTTTCCCTCTAGCTGCTGCCCACCGACTCCGCATAGTCAGCCTATACAGGCGTGATTATAGTCCCACTACTAGCTTTCGTGATTCAGACTTAGCTAGTCTTGTGTCCCGTACAGTGGAGGGACAGGAAGGCTTCCTTCGCAGCCAAGCGATCGATATCGCCACTTTCCTTGTCGTCTTTGCCCGCGAACAACATATTCCGCTGGCAGAAGGTATCGGCGGTGGAATTGCCCTGGTGGGGTGGTCTTTAGGATCATTGCACACTCATGCTGTTGTGGCCCATCTTGACGCCTTGCCATCTAATATTCTGTCTGACCTTTCAAAATATCTTCATACCGTGATTTGTCATGGTAGGCACATTTATCTTCTAGCACATTTCAGAATGATAAACGGTGCAGCATGCTACAGACGCGAGTGGGGTTTTCATTGGTATACCTCCGCCCCCAAGCTTCAGTATGAAACTTTGGTCTGAGACTGATGTTGAGAAGAGGTTCAAGCTTTTCTATGAATGGGTGGCGGGATACTTCCTACACAAGAATGTCACCTCAGGAAGCATTGACGATCTTGAGTTCTACAAATCCCCAGACAAAGCTCACTCCATGAACGAGCTGTCTCCTGAGGAGCTCGCAGCACTCACGTCTGCCAAGACGTTCAGCGCTTCCGATGCACTTCTTGTCTCTATTCAACTAGACGTATTCAAGGCTATGACACGACGTGCAATCTTCGACACAGCATTGGCAGAGGATTTCCTCCCAAACCTACGCGTCAGATACATGTGCGGTGGAGCGAGTCCTGGTGTTATTGTCTGGGCATTACATGAACTTAGGAAGTGTTTGGCTGACCCCAAGCCAATTTATGGGCCGGATGCTGAAAAGGCGCGAGATGTAAAGTTCAAATTCCAGACTGAGGGGAACCACTTCATTTTTTGGGACGAACCAGAGGTTGCCCTCAAACAATATATCGCTACCATTAACCTTTAGTAGAACTACTCTTAGTGGTCACTCATGATCCAAATAAAGCCAAACCGAATTGCCAGCCTAGCTAGGATGGCTGTGCGAGCGTATCCTTGACTTCAACCCGTTATCCCGCCAAAGACGTCGGCGGTGTCTACTGCGACAGTGCTCATTTTTTTTACTTCTCCTAGATCTAAGGCAACCAGGCTGGGTTATTCAACACATTTATCGATATCCCATGTTTGACCGCCAGCTGCCTCCCAAACTAGCTTATAATAACTACTCGTCAGATAATGCTTTCGATAATCAGCACATCAACTCTGGCGAAGGCTGGCAGGCCACCTTCCTAGGCGAGAAACCTCTAGCACCTACTTTGGATGGAAGAATTCCTTATGCAAGACAATCATCTTTACGCCTGACACCAGATGTGAGCATGGCGAGATTTAGAACATTCTTGTCTCGTTATTCCATTTTTTCCGACCTATCATCTGCATCATCGAATTCACGGCGATCCATCGGCCCTCTCACAACACCTTCTCCATCTTCTGCCGTATCAATGTCTCGATTTATCCTTCTGTGCAGTTTCTGGTACGCCACCTCTGCACTTTCGTCAAATACTGGCAAGACTATCCTCAATCAATGGAATCACCCTGTCACCCTCACCATCATACAATTCGCATTCGTCGCCGGTTACTGTCTACTCTTCATGTCGCCAGTCATTCAATTTACAAAATTGCGTCCACCAACTGGCGCCATTTTGCGAAGCACCCTGCCCATGGGCATGTTCCAAGTTGGTGGTCACATGTTCTCTAGCATTGCAATTTCCAAAATACCCGTCAGCACCGTTCATACTATCAAGGTATGCTGAACTATTGGTTCCTCGTATTTAGGTGATAAACGTTGTTTTCAGGCTTTATCTCCACTGTTCACCGTTGCCGCTTACGCCATGCTTTTCGGCGTCAAGTACTCCCCAAGGACGTATTTCTCTCTACTCCCCCTGACCATTGGTGTCATGCTGGCATGTACGTTTGAGTCCGCCTCAAATCCGACAGGTCTCCTTTGCGCATTTGGTTCTGCCCTTGTGTTCGTCAGTTCCAATATCTTCTTTAAGAAGATCATGCCATCAGGGTCGCAGACATCGTCACACAAGTTGGACAAACTCAACTTGTTATTTTATTCTTCGGCCATGGCATTCGCATTGATGATCCCTGTTTGGTGCTTCACCGATCTTCCCCTCCTTGCTGCCGACTCCGTTCATGTCACGCACCCGATTCGTGGACACGAGGCTCCTCATTCTATCCCGTATTATTTCTTTATGAACGGTACCGTCCACTTTGCGCAGAATATCATCGCATTTGTGATCCTTTCCAGCACGTCTCCTGTGACGTACTCTATCGCCTCCCTCATCAAGCGTGTCGTTGTCATCTGTATCGCCATAGTATGGTTCAACCAGAACATACACCCCATGCAGGGCCTCGGTATCGGGATGACCTTTCTCGGTTTATACCTGTATAATACGACGAAGAGTGATGTAGAGCGAGGGGAGAACAAAATGCGCAGAGTGGAGGCGACGCGGGACATGATGCTCCCTATCAATCGGACAGAAGAGAAGTTATTGAATGGAAGCTCACCACCAACCCCCGTCCCTAGTACGCCGGGGCTTCCTGTGGCCGCAGCCACAGGAATGGGGGCATACCCTGCTGCTAGTCGACCGCGGGTGCAGATCTCAACAAATGCACATCTACACCCAGATTCACGTGGGAACGGGCATGGGCATGCTAACCAAATCTCTTCTCAGGACCCTTCGTCCATCTTTTCAAAGCGAAATACCATTTCGCCTACAGAGCCGTACCCGTCACCGCCTCCCTCCATAGACTCGCCAACTTCCAATGCGGTCCCTGTTGGATATCAGATTCCGCGTATACAACAGCATTTCGGGATGGAGTCGTTCACTGTGGGACACGTTACTGCTTGACAGAACTTAGTATCTCTATCCATATCTATTCTCAGGACTGTTGCCTTTTGATTGATGTAAATAGTGTTACAACCAACGGTCTCTACATGACATTAGAGTATCTAGTGCTCAAATGACGATGTTGATATGTATACACGCCCTATATGGCTACCACCAAGTACCACCATTTGTGTTAGCTCAGTCCATATTCAGGCACAACGCAGGCATTTGTTGTATACCCACGTCTGAAGATCCTCTTACGACTGAGTAGATATGGCTTTGTTCCTTGATAGCGAAACAGTTTCGACTGCTATGCTAGAAGATGACAAGGAACTACAGAATCCATTGACAGAGAAGTTCACCGAGGCTGAGTGGAAGGCCTTAAAGGAATTCCGCGTGAGTTGGTCAAGACTATTCATGCACTTTAGGAATGTTGTTCAACGTCAACATTATAGTCCATCGTGCCAGAAGCCTTCAAGGAGGCATTTCCAGAGCAGGATGATGCTGGGTTAACTTCGTACAAGTTGTGGGGCGTTACCATCAACCCACTGAAACCCAGGGATGCCCGCGTCAGCGTCCTATTAATGAAGTTCCTTCGTGCCAGGTGCGATTCACTTTCTCAAACTACAATCTATCATGAAAACATCAACTGGACAGGAATCTCAATTCTGCGGAGGCTAAGGACATGTTCGTCTCTACTTTGCAATGGCGCGAGTCTTTCAAGGTCGATGAAGCTATGAAGGAAAAGTTTCCCGAAGACATATTTGGAAAGCTTGGAAGAACATATGGAAAGGACAAGGACGGACATCCCATCGCGTATGTCTATCGTATACCTGCTAAGAAGTCTGGAACTCGCTCTGACTCGTTTTCTGAAGGTACAATCTATACGGCGCCAATAAGGATCTGGACGCTGTCTTCAGTGATACACAACGCTTTCTAAGGTACACGCATCTTCATTCTTATGGTGGCGTCCCTGAATCTCTCTCTAGATGGCGTGTTGCTTTTATGGAGGAAAGCATAGCCCTGCTTGACTTTGAGACTGTTGACCAAATGATCCAGATCCACGGTGTGTATCTTGGTAGTCGATGTGATGCGTTCGCTCAGCATTCATTTAATATCACCAGACTACGAAGGTGTAAGCATGTCGAGTAGAACACAGGCCTCTAAGAATGCAGCATCCGAAGCATCTAGTATATTTCAGAGCCACTATCCCGAGTTCCTGGTTCGTTCTTCTGTGTCTGCTGGCTTCCGAATGTAATATATTCTATTCACAGGCGAAAAAGTTCTTTGTCAACGTGCCTAGCTTTCTAACTTGGATTTTCTGGATATTCAAACCGTTCATAGCAACTGCAACAGTGGCGAAGATGAGTGTTATTGGTTCTGGTCCCAACGTCATCGGAACCGCTCTTCTACCTCTGATTCCTGCCGACCAGTTGCCAAAGAGGTACGGCGGGGACGCTGACGGATTCTGATCGAAAGTGTATGAATGCGTGTACGATTTGAATGTGTTTCTGCAGTTGAAAATCCTTGTGCACCTCGATTCTCAACTACATTGTGTATCATATCTCATATATCCCACTCAGATCTTGACTCCAGTGTTTTTCATTGAAAGCTACGTGTATTCCGTGAGCCAGCGTGATTCGTGTATTGTTCTCCGATTGTATCCTATGCATATGTCCTCCAATCCAGACTGTTACGTATGAGAAGCAAATGCGAGGAAAGAGGCGAGGCAGCGCTATAAGTACAACATTGCGCATGCGGCATATTTTGACCATTGCTACAACTTCCAAAATACAAGAAAAAGAGATTGATGAACCAGGAAAAAGATGCAAGAGGTCCAGGCTTGAAGGAATGAAAAGATTGGATGTTAAGAACGCGGCGTGTAGTGTGGTGCGTCAGCTTATTCACCACCCCCGATACTACTACCACTAGCGGTGGTTGCGGCATATTCGTGCTTGACAGCATCCCAAGCATCAATCCAACTCGGAGGACGTCCACCCGGCGCCCATTTAGCAATGCGCGGATGCGCTGGACGCAAATTAGGATTACTGAGTGAAGAGTGGTCAACATTCAACCATTGCCCGCAATACTTTGGAGGAAGCCTTACTTCGCACTCAATGTTGGGCCCAATGCCAGTCGCGCAAAATTGCTGGGGAAAAGTGGATTTCCTGGACCACGATCTCCAACAGGATCATACGCGCGCTCGCTATCGTTTTCTCCAAAGTCGGATCCAGCTGAGTTGTGGATGTAGCTGTGGAGTGAGGGAGAATTAGCAAGTATGTCATGAAAACCACGGAAGTACTAACCTGAACGTGGGTCGTCCAAGGCTACTGACCGAGCCATGCGAACTCGTACGAGAAATACGCCTAGCAAGGGGAAAGGTAAATTCCGATGACCATTTAAGCTCCGTACTGTTGCGTCTTGAGTCATTCGAATTCATGACTGGGCTAGTAGGGTGTGAAAATGGTTGTGACACACAAACAGGAGAAGACGGCACGGGTGAAGTGGAAATGCGTAATCCATGAATCTGCGAAGAATCTTCGACAGGTTGAGTGTCCTTTTCGGGTGCTTCGGCGTCTGCGCCGTCCTCGTCTTCTGCCTCCTCACCAATGTCCTGCAGCCCATCTCCCTGTCCAAGACAAGTGGACTGTGACAAGTTTGATGGGAGGCTAAGCGGGGGTGGATTAGCTGAACCAGAACTAGAGATGTTCGTGTTTGAGGAGGGTGTCGCGAGTATGGGCTCAATCAACAAGTGAATTGGGGTGGAGAGTGGGTCGTCTTGGGGGGATGAGAGTAGGGAATCGTATTGAGTCGATTGGACATTGCCAAGAGGAAAAGATACAGTGTGCGTGTTTGACTCTCCGGAGTCCTCGACCACACTACCTCCGTCCAACACTACCGGAATAGGAGAGACAGAGATGCGTGGCGGGTGATCATCCTCTGCAATCGCACTCTCCGTATCATATTCTCTGTCAACCTCGAGCTCGGGAGGGACGCCAAGAGCCCCCTTCAGACGCTCCCAGATGAGCTCTGAATGAGAAAGTACGCATCTGCGCGCGTTGCGCACCCAGAGGGCGTCACTGGCTGTTTGTCTATCCACATTGGTTAGCCAGAAGCGCAAAGTCCCGAAGGACCATTTCGCAGGATTAGTAGAGAACATGGAATCATCAAGATTTTCTGGGCCTCGTGTCCTGGGAAATATCTGAGCGAGGAGGGAGAGAAGTTTGGTTGTGGGATGAGTTGATAGTAATTGAGTCACTTCGATGGGACGATCGATGAAAGGAAGGTAAATGTCATCGGGTAACGGGGTGAATGTCGCAGGTGCCGTTATTGTACCAGCGGCATGACTGGATGAATCCACCGGATTTGTAAGCGCGGGAAGATGAGGAGTGCTAGGAGCAGATGCAGGTGGAGGGACATAACGAGGGCTAGTTGATTGACGAGCAAGATCTACAAGCTGTTCTGGGGACAAATTTGGTTTAGAAAATGGGGAAGAACCTGACGCAGATTGTCTCCGGGTGAACTGCGGTGAACTAGAGCGCAGACGGGGGGAAGTAGACGGGCTGGAGGCACGTCGGCTAGGCGAAGTAGCGACGGCTGGCGCAGATACAGAAGAGGAAGTTGAAGCTGGAGAATTTGGAGCGAAAGACGAAAATGCAAAGCTGAGTCTACCAGCTGATGATCCGTCTGCATTCGTCGAAGAAGTTATACTCCCAGGATGACGTAGTGAACGTCGGTGAAGCGCTGGCGCAGACGGTTCTAGAAGATTAATCGGAGTGACCCCGGTACTTTGTGATGTCCCTGCTTGCGAATTGGGATCCAGGACGCGAACGATGGTCAAAGTCGATGATGATGATCGATTAGGATCATGATTGAGGGTAGCATGTTGTCCAAACGGATCTGACGCACTAACAGATCCTCGTCGAACAGATAGTTTTCGCTGTGGCTGGGACATAGTCGGTTCAAACTGCAGAGCTGGAAGAGCCCACAGGTTGTTCAAAACAATTACTTGTGAAGTTCTTTATAAATGGTGGGACACGGGGCAAGAAGGTTGATATAATTTGATGCATCTGGCTCATTATAGTAACCTAAGCTCAAACCAAACATAATACGTCAGAGGTGACACCGGAAACGCCCGCCTAGGTCAACGACGGGGTCTAACAATATTCCAGACCTATAGAATATACAAAGCTAACCTCCGAGCTCGATGGCAAAGGCCACAGCCAATTTAGAAAATTCCAACATATGTGAGAAGCTAAACTCATCCGAGATATCAATCCGACTGTAGAGTTAGAATCAGTATCCAGCCTCCACGATTCAACCTTAGATACTAACTCGTTAGCGGTGTGGATGTTCCTGTGGTTGGAATTCTCGAAAGCCCCCTCTGACACCATAATCAGAATTAAGATGCAAGTACTTAATGGAATATTATCTCACCAATGGTAAAGATGCTGGGATATCCCGCTTTACTCCAAGGAGCACTGTGATAGACGTAAGTAGCTGGCATTCGTAACGAAGTATTAAGCATAGCTCACTGGTCGGAACAAGCATATCCACATTTGGTTTCAACAAATGGTATGTCCAAATATTCAGTAATTAGTCCTTTGTTGAACTCCGTCAAGCTAGTATTGCACGTTAGAATACAACTAATGATCATGGCAAAATGCTCACGCTGAATCAACATAGTCTACAATGACACCAACTTCCTCGACTGTACCTCTCTTTACCCATGCTGTCATGTCATACTACCCAAGTCAGGTTACAATAATCAAGTTGACACATCACTCCTACCTGGCTCATTGCGTAAACATTCAAACCTTGAGCTTCATAGTGCTGAGCAATAGCCTGTGAACCAAGAAGACCACCCTCCTAAGAATCAGAATCAGTAAGACATACACACGTCATGCATTCATACGACTGACCTCAGCGGAATACCAGTGGAACTCAACAGGCCGAATTGGATGGAAATCAGATGCCAAGAGTGCACGGTACGATTCCAGGATGGTTACACTCCCCGATCCATCGTCGTCAGCACCTAAATCGGAAATCAGCCAGCCAATTCAAAAGATCTAATAAGTGCAAATTACCAGGGGCGGGAAGAAATGGCCATAAGTTTGTACTGAAAAAATGACATCAATTACGCAAACATGACATCCAGAGACAACGATCACCTGTCTTGGTGAGCACCAAGGACGACAATCTGATCATCTGCTGCATCGGAACCGTTGATTCTGACAATCTAGCTGGCAATTTACCAACGAGATAATAAAATTCAGTGATAGACCCTACAATCGAATGTTGTCCCCAAGAATGATGGAACTCGTCGACGCTGATTAAAGACTTCAACGAAGGCGAGGCAAAATCCGCGGTAATCTAACGACCTCAGCAATCAATCTAGCATTATGCGGGCAACATACTTCATTGATTTTGGATAGTAACCATTGTTGACTTTCCTTGCCTGTCTACACAGCAGTTGAACGTGTCAGGATGGACTGTGAAGACTAGAAATTACCTCACTGCGATAGTCTACGACACTGAGTCAGTGTACGGAAGCACTTGGCGGATACAGGACTTACATCTCGTTCTAAAGCTGGAAAACTTCTCCAAGTTTGCCCTTGGACCTTCAGTGGATAGCGTCTTGATGATTTTGGTGACTTGTTCATGAGCGTTCAGAGGCGGATATGAAGCTGTGAAAAGGTAAGCTCCGTGACTTTCGCAACCGACAGGTATACCCACTTTTCGTCGCGACGCGCAAGTCAGCAGACGAACCGAGGTCGTGATTATTTGTGCTAGACGTGCAAACATAACTGAAAATCGACATTCAAACGAAGAAAGTAATATAAGTACATGTCGAAAAAGCGAAGCCCTTTGGCTCTAGCCTCAATCTAGATGACACACGGTCAGTCGAAAATGAAACACGCGGGATCTGTGCAATGAGTTATCCTCACCTTCTCTAGTTCTGTCATCCATACCGGTTCCTGACCTTCTGATAGCTGAACTAGCCGGAGTTCGTCCAGGTCCAGATTAAAACCAGGTTGAGGGTTAGAGGGCACGTCAAACACCTGGCCTTGCATAACAACCTGGCGGTTGCTTCCCGCATCATAGAAGGCTTGTTTGACAGGTTTAGAAAGTGTTATTCCGCTGAAAGAGAGCAGCAGGAGTGGTGAAAGCTTTGTCTTCATCTTGTTGGTGAAGTGACAAGTCGACTAGAGGTAGACCCTTCCACTTAGAAATAGGCTAGATAAGGAACAGAGCATAACAAAGCATAACCTAGCCAATCAAACGCCATCCTAGACCGACTCATCTATAACCGTCGATAGACGATCCCATCCTGAAAATTGAAAAGTCCACTACTTGTAAATTGTGCGGTGTGCAATAACCATAACTGCCAGTAAGATCTCCAATATTACACTAGATGGTTACAACGTATACTCTTAGACTAATCAAGATAGATTCCCGCCTATCATGTCCGTCATATATTTCGGTAAGTTCTACTCGTATGTACCGCGTATCATTCCGCTGGTTATGCTCTCCACTAGTCACTGCATGGGCCATGTCCACTGATTGGACATATGCCTCGAATCTTGACACATTAATCTCTTATGCCCAACGCCCCAGGAGCGCCATGATCCCACATCCAAAAAGCATGCATGAGATGGCGTAGGCAACCTGTCTGTTAGACCCGTTGATCATTTCTTTGTTGAAGATGAACTCGTGAGCAAGAAGCTGCATAAAAATGATGAATGCTCAGGCTCTGGTCATGACACCAAGAACTATAACGTACCTCAACAAGACCAGTATACAACAGGATACCCGCACTCAGCGAGTCGAGCACTCCACTCACGATGGAGGCGGTGGTGCTGCCTGGGTTGTACGTGCTTTGAACGCCAAGCCCGACTGCAATGCCTAATGGTGTGGTGATTCCGTACAGCAGCGCGCCACAGATCGCTACATAATTGTACTTCGTGGGAAGCTGCAAGTGAGCGAGACGAGTACCGACACCAAGGCCCTCGAAGGTTTCTGCGTATTATGTCAGTTCAACAGTGATTCATAGGCTACTGTGATTGCTCACGATGAAATATGATGACAACAAACAGGATTTTGAAGTCCGGATCGACCGCGAGCGTCAGACCAATGAGCATACTTCACAAAGAATAAGCATGAATTAGTCATTGAACGCGAGTCAAGGGATATCGCACCTATGCAATAATACGCCAAATTCTAGAATGAACACACCGATTATCTGCCCTGCGGCACCAAGATCCAGGTGTTCATGATCATGTGCAGATTCTAGATCTCCGTTGATTTTCTCAGAGTTTGAGTCGCCATCCGGCATTCCACCTTCAGGCCCATGTGCAGCGTGCGCGCCGAGACCGTGACCGTGTGTATCTGTTCCGAAATAAGGGGAGCCTCGATACGCAATCGATCTAAAACGCACCGTGCCTCACACCGAGGGCCACCAGTTTGGCTGTACCCCACCTAAAGGCTACCAGCTCAACGATAAATATCGAAAATATGCTGAGCATCGCTAATGCGAGCGGGTAGGGCTGTGGTATATAATATGTAAGTAAGTGATGATACTGCTTCCAGAGATTCTTGACTCACATATTCCTGCCAAGCCGGTGACAGGCATGGAGATGAAAGCTCACTGATAGCGGGACTAAGTAGATGAATAAAGGCTGTAGCTATCTACGTAAATGTGAATAACCAAAGCTTCTAATCGATGAGCTGATGGAACTCACAATGACACCAGAACCGAAATATTTGGCAAAGCTACGTGATTCAAATCAGAACGTTGCACATGTTCGCGTTGTAATCTCTTGCTCACTCAAAGACGCCTTTGGGAACCTTAAGCCAGTTTGTCCGTTTAGCAAGCACTGGAAAAAGTGCGCCGCTCATCGATCCGATAAGGATAATGAAGATCGATGCAATCCGCAACTGTGCATATGTAGTCGCGCCTCCACCGGAACCGCAGTTTAAATCTGACATAGTTTGAAGTGAGGCAGCCTAGCGCGATCTTCGCGAGTCAGAGAGAAAATTGAAAGGTCTGGGAGGAATCTAGTGGTGCTTGTGAATGTTATGTATTCCCTCTGACTTTCATGACTGGGAGGGTCCTCACTGTTCAGGGCCCCGGGCCTGAGGCCTGCCAAGCTGGAATATATCTACACATGTCCTCACAGCCACGTCGGCGGTCCATTCTGCAGAAATGATATGATACAAATTTGGCTCCGGATAGCGTATGATTTACGTATGAAGAATGGAAGGGAATGTATGAAGTACTAGGTCGTGCTACTGACAAAAAACAACCTTCTACCGGCTGCACCAAGCGTCCAGGGTCCGTACACAAATAAGACCATCTCATAATTTTATGGCCTCTATGGACTCGTGCCCATTTTAGTAGTATAGTGCATCTCGATATGCTGTCGTTTATTTTTTTAGGAGTCGTTGATTAACAACACACCGAACCTCCGTGCTACTGAAGATACGTCGAGTCCTCAATCGACTCGGATGACCCAAAGTTTCAGCCGCTGAATGTAGTATTAGGATTGCCAATTACTGATCGTGCCTCTACCTTCAGGGCCCGCGCGTAATCTTGTAGTTCGTTTGCAAGAGCGCGAAGGGCGGGCTGAGGTGTCGAGAGTACTTGAGCGGCGTAAAATATAAGCTTCATCTGAATGTGACTAGGCACACCAACTGAACGTGGAGCGAAAAGACCAGAAAGGTCTGACAGTGCGGCTAGTAATGCAACAGACTGATGATCGCTTAATGAGCTGTTATCGGAAGATGTGGCGACCACTAATCTGGGTCTCACTATGATGGACAAATCATGCAAGAGTACCGACAACGACTCAGTGCCCACGGTCCCCTTGAATAGGACTGAGTACCACCTCAGTGATCGATAATTGGAAAAAAAAAACATACAGGGTCAAAGCGTGACCACACGTCAGTGACAGCACTGCTTAACGTCGAGTATAGCACTTGTGACCGACGGGCTGCCAGGAACGGGACAGCTTGTGAGATGATTCTGCGCGCCTCTGCTTCATCTGACGCATCATTTTCCGCAGAGGATAATGGCGAAACAGATAGATGACGGGTAGCAAACGCATAAGCGACACTATCACGATTAGGAGATCACCTATTGGCAGCAAATTTCAAAGACTTACAGGACAGCGCAAACGTTGTAAATCAAAGGGGCGCTACTAGCCTGGTGTTTTAAAAGGTTAGGCGGGACCTTCATCAGTGCAGGTTTTGATCCACATCGCATGCTCCCGCTAGGAGATCCTTCCAAGGCAGCTTCCCACCATGGTTCCTGCTTCACAGACTGCAATTCTTCACTAGACAGTAATTGTTGGGCCAATTGACTGGTTGGGTCCCTGAGCGCGTTGAAGAACTTGTCTGTTTCTTCCTTGGTCATAAGTCTGAGTAATTCGTCGGATGATGCTGAAGCTAAACAGACCATATTCGGTTATAGACTGGCTAACGAATAAGGCTTACGCACAAATATCCACACCAGAAAATCTAGAGACAAAATCATTAGAGTCACTGTCGGATTCATCCTGGTCACGCAGCAGGATGCTGTCATCCTCCAGAGTTTGCTCTTCGAGGCGCTTCAGCAACTCGAGCATCTTTTCCCTCTCTTCATGTGCCTTCGAAGATTTAGTTTCGATGCTTGTCTGGATTTCTTTTCGATAAAATGCCTCCGAACATTGGGAGTGAGTCTGCACAACTTAATCGCCTTGTTGCTCAAAGTGGATCATGCACCTACCTCTGAACGAAAACACGTCAGGCTGCAGTAAGCCACGTTGCACCCCGGACATGTATACCTATAAAACTGCCTACGACAGCTTCAGAGCGAAATAAATAGCATTTGGAGAATAAGTTTTCGAGATGACATAGTTCAATTGCACGTACATGCCACACAGGACCTTACCTGTCCTCTCAGCGGAATTTGACTCGTCTTCGCGAGCGCGAATTTGTTCCACTTCGTTCATAATGATGGATTGTGCTGCAGATGTAGAAGAGTCAGTGAAAAATGACAAGCATCCGAGTCTTCATTCCCAAGTGGCTGCAGCTTGCTGATAGTTTGACTCGTGGGCTCTCGTCGGGCCGCCGGGAACATACCTTTCTTGGCCATTGCTTGGCCAGTTCACCGATTTGAAAACGCGGTTGACCACAACCGCTGCTGCTGCCAGTGAGAGATCACGGTCTTTAACCCTGCTTCAGTCGCTATAATTCTACAGGAAGACGCAGTTCCGAAAGAAGAAAAATGGTGGAAGCTCACTTGGTTGACTCTAAATCAACATTCTCGACTTTTGCTCATTTACTAGACGCCCGCATACTACGCGCCCTTGCAGACATGGGCTTCGCTCGTCCAACCCTCGTCCAAGCGAAAGCCTTGCCAATTGCTCTGGAAGGCCGCGATATCCTTGCAAGAGCTCGGACAGGCAGTGGCAAAACCGCCGCATATTGTATGCCAGTCGTGCAGAAAATTCTTAGTGCGAAATCTGTGGGTGTACTACATTCAGATCATTTATATCAGGCACTCATCGACTCGTGCAACAAGTCGTTATCTGCCTCAGATGACGCTTATCAAGTGACACGTGCTGTAATCCTTATACCTACTCGCGAATTATCCGAACAGGTCACGGCTTGTCTTCAAAGCCTTCTTACTTATTGCGAGAAGGAAATCATCGTTATGAACTCTGCTACTGGTTCCTCTACACATCTTCAACGGTGAGATAGTTTCTGTTATTTACATTGCTTTGCTTATGACTCTAGTATTTAGTGCAATTCTCGCGGATAAGCCAGACATCGTCATTTCAACACCTTCTCGTGCCCTCGGGCTGCTTCAATCAAAGGTGTGCCACGATCTCACAGTACGTAGAGTGTACCTCATGTTTATACAGACTTTGAGCTTCTCTTCACTGGAATCCCTTGTTATTGACGAGGCTGATCTCATTTTGTCCTATGGGCACGATGAGGACGTTCGACAGATCTTTTCCGGAGGATATCTACCGAAGGTGTATCAGTCATTTTTAATGAGCGCAACCATGACAGATGATGTCGAGGCGTTGAAAGGCTTGACTCTTCGTAGTCCAGTGAGTTTATCAACTCACCAACTTTTGTCTCTGCTAACTGCAATCTCCAGGCCATTCTGAAGCTGGAAGAAGATGAGGATGGAACCTTACTCCTCAGCCAATACTCCGTTCAGTCAGTTCTGCATTATTTTCTCACACGTTGATTTTTACCCTGGTTAGGTGCTCTGAAGTCGACAAATTCCTTCTCACATATGTCATCCTGAAACTCCGCCTCATAAAGGGCAAATGCATAGTGTTCGTGAATGACGTCGACCGCTGCTACCGCTTGAAACTATTCTTGGAGCAGTTTTCGATAAAATGCTGTGTGCTAAACTCTGAGCTTCCCCTTAATTCCAGGTGCGACAAAACTTGTGACGCATATTTTCACGCTTAACATTTTATAGATATCACACGGTGCAGGAGTTTAACAAGGGTGTCTACGACTACATCATCGCAACTGATGAACAAGGTGCCCGCACGGAAGCTGATTCTGACCATGAACCTGAGGAAGATGGAGTTTGGGATGGAGTTGGCGACGAGTGCAGGTAACATTTAGTTGGAGCCTTGATTGCTTCTTACTCCTTCACAGTGACGCTATCACAACGTGCGGAGACAAACCCAGACGAAGATATGCAACTTGAACCCGCGTCTAAGAAGCGGAAGCATCCCTCAAACACTCCTCAACCCGGCCCCTCCAAACCAAAGAAACAGAAACGCCGTACTAAGTCGGACAAAGAGTATGGCGTTACACGTGGAGTGGATTTTGTCGATGTTGCTTGTGTGCTCAACTTCGATCTACCCACCTCATCTCGATCATATACCCATCGCGTAGGACGCACTGCCCGCGCTGGTCGGGCAGGCATGTCATTATCCTACGTCGTCCCTAAAGATCAATGGGGTAAAAATAAGGTCGTCGGTGGCCTTGAAAGCGCGAAGACCGACGAGGTTGTATTTGCGAGGATCGAGAAAGAGCAAGCGGCACGCGGTTCCAAAATACAGGAGTACAAGTTTGATATGAAACAGGTGGAGGCATTCCGATATCGAATGGACGATGCACTGCGGTCCGTGACAAGAAGCGCTATCAAAGAGGCTAGAATTAAGGAACTTAAAACTGAGATTATCAACTCAGAGAAACTCAAAGTGGGCACTCTGATCGATTTACTTGTGCTTTGCTGATGTACTGCACAGGCCCATTTCGAGGACAACCCACACGATCTAGAATATCTACGCCACGACAAACCGCTACATCCCACCAGGGTCCAGACTCACATGAAACATGTACCGAAATATTTACTTCCTCGTCTAGTTTCAGCTCCAGCCATCGAAGCTGAAAAGTCTCAAGTTGGTTTCGTGTCATTCAAAAAGTCCTATGCACGTGGTTGTGGCCGCAGTGGTGCTCGCGATAGTAGAGGTGGTGGGGGCGGAAGTCGCGGTGGGAAGAAAAAATCTGATCCTCTGAAGAAGTTTCGGTAGTATGTCACCAGCTGCAGCATATAAGTAGTAGCGCCCAAAATTATATCTCATCGTATCGTTTTTATTTCATTCGAAAACGCCTTCATCCCAGCCCTTTGACCTCTCAACGGCACGCAGCCATGTAGTCCACCCCTTTTCGCGATCCTCCTCGGGCATATGTGGTTTGAAAGTTCGGCTGCCTTTGGTATTGACTTCCGCCAACGTTGCTGGTTTAGATATGTCCCAACCGAATAACCGGATGGCTGAGCCAGCAAGAAGGGCTGAACCCAAGGCTGTTGATCTGCCTTGATAGTCAGCGTGTTATCCTCCATTCTTGATCAAGGTGTGTACACACTCTCTCATGTCAGGACGAACAACGTCGAAACCACCGATGTCCGCCAAGATCTCCATACAAACATCGCCATTAGTCATGCCTCCATCGACCTTTAGGTGTTCGAGCTTTGCGCGTGAATCAAGTTTCATGCTCTCAAGCACTGCACGAGTCTGGAAAGCAGTAGCTTCCATAGTCGCACGAGCAATATGTGCAGGAGTGGTATACGAGGATAACCCTATTCCCGAAATTTGCTATCGTGTCAACGAGACATGGTGAATTCTGCGTACCGATAAGTAGGCCTGCAGCACCAGGATCCCAATACGGTGCGAGGAGGCCAGAAAACGCAGTTACGAAGAACACGCCTCCATTATCAGGTACTGAAGCTGCCAATGTGTTTATCTCGCTGGCGGACTTGATGAAACCCAGGGAGTCCCGCAGCCTGATACGAACACTCAGGGGGTGCAGTAAATCCAGACTTGTGTCTTACCATTTGATGGCGGCTCCAGCAACTCCAACTTGCACCAGGTTATCACATGTGTATAGTACCAAAGAATCAACCCGCTTACTACTTCCTTCCAGTGCATAGACTGGGGCAGCTCCTGGACCGGGTTGATAAGCCACCTTGCAAAAAAAAATGAACAATGGTGCATAACATCCTGAGAAGGCTCCCTACCGTACTCAAAAGTCCATGACTACTATTGACAATGTCCTTTCCTGTACAGAACAGGAGGAACGCGCCTGTACCATATGTGCATTTGGCTTCTCCTTGGCGGAGACACTTGTTTCCTACCAAAGCGCCTTGTTGGTCCCCAATAAGTCCTCCGATAGGAACTCCTTTTAATGGACCATGAGACAGATGACCAGACACCTCGGAGGAAGACACAAGTTTTGGTAGTATTGAACGTCGCAAACCAAAAAACGTCAGCAACCGCTCATCCCAAGTGAGCTTGCGCAAATTTAGCAAAAGGGTACGAGATGCGTTTGTGACTTCGCCAACATGGATGCCGCCCTGGACGCCACCTGTAAGGTTCTGTGCGTATATCAGGGGGATCCCGTGCACTCCTCGACAGAAGGACACCTACATAAACAACCCACGATTCGATTGTTCCGAAAAGTAAATCATCTTCGTCATGGGCTTTCTGTACTTCACTGTAGTTGTCAACCATCCATCGAAGTTTGATCCCAGAGAAGTAGGTGGAGAGTTTCAGGCCCGTACTATCCAAGAATGAGCGACAAGAGCCCATAGAGGCATATCACTCACATGTCACGTAGAGCTTCAACACCTTCTTCTCCGGTCTTAAATTTCCCAGGCTCTACCTCGATCCCAGTCGTAGCCAACAGGTGCTCAAAGTGAGCGACAGTGTTCTTCGTACGAGAATCGGTCCAAACGATAGCTTTACACAGAGGTTTACCTGTAGTCCTGCTCCATGCGACAGTGGTTTCACGCTGATTCGTAATTCCTGCAATTCATAAGTTAGGACGAGGACCATTTGAATAAGATAAATACAAATACCAATCACTTTCACGCTCTCCTTGGTCCATCCTGCTTCTTCGAGTTTTGCACAAGCTTGAATGATGCACTGCTCTGAGACTTCTTGTATCTCTTCAGGGTCGTGCTCATGCCACCTGTCATATGCAGTGCCCGTCAGTAATCGAGGGTCTCAGAAACTAGGGGTTCCAGTGATTACTCACCCTGGGTTCGGGTAATACTGCGGGAATTCTGATTGATGCTGAGAAACGATATTTGCGTACTGATCAAAGATGATGAACCGCACGGAACTGCAAACATGAGCCCAACCGCCATTGGCCATCAGTAATCAAAAGGAAGTTCATAACCATACGTTGTACCGCAATCAAGAGACCCAACAAACTTGCCCTGTTTCAAAATCGACATGACGACGCAGAGATGGAGGTGCCAGTGGTAGAGAAGGGTCTTTGACGCTGGTGGCTCCCGTTGTCCAACCTGAGTAACCTCATCAACACTTGTTCCGAACCGGCCGGCCTACCGACCACCGAACCCCCATCAACGACTTATAAGCTCACATTAACCATGTAACTTCATGCAAGCTACGAGAGACAGTATGAACGGCACGATACGATAATTAAGTTACGAAGATCGTACGTTGACAGTTTGTGCAACCATAACCGCAACTGACCCTAGTAGACTGCGTAGAGTACATATCATGAAACACCATATGCTTCTTTCTCTTCTTCTGTCCACTCAAAGACAGGAAATGGATGTGCTTCTGTATTGAACACCCACTTATCCAAGGGAATGAGGTCGTCTTCTTGGAAGAGAAGATAGAGATACTTCAACGTTTCGGCCAAGAAAAAGCTGTCATAACGACATTGAAAAGAAATACAAGGAGACGATAGGTGAGACACGAACCTAGGCATCACATCAAGCTGTTGTGGGTTGTATGAGTCCACTTTGTTAACGTTAGCGTACCCCGATGGAGTCTTCGCTTCCTTTTCGATCGCCAGGAAGATGTCCCATCCACGATGCCGCCATTTCACATCGCCAGTGACACGATATAGGATGTAAAGCGACTCTACAGTCTACAAAGCGGATGTCAGAATGTTACACCATAAAAGCCTGTTTTCTTACTTCGGGTCTCAGTTGATAGTCAGCGTTCTTCACGTAGTAGTCTCTCATAGCGTATGCCATCTCACGCTCTCGTGCATTCCTAGGGGTGCCATCTCCTACCCAAGGGTGCTTATCTCCCACTCCAGGTGGCGGACCTCTTCTACCAGACGTTCTCCACTCTTGCATAGCATCCATCCACAGTATTTCAGGACGCGGGCCGCCAGATAGCATATTAATAATATCGGGTCCCAACCCTGTCGGCTGGTCTGCGTAAGTCAGGTAACAGGTTTGTGCTAGCCCTTCGGCGGCCCATAGATGTAAATCTTTTAGATCAAATGAGGCAAGTACATCATAGCCCATTTTCTGTCTGGGGAGCAGGTCATCTGCAAGCGCAGTAAAATTCAGTCCAACCTCTTCAAGATTATTGAGGGGAAGAGTGTGAGCTCCAAGGGCGAGCAGGCCGGGCAAAAAACAAGATAGATGTTCGAAGTTGTGTGTAGGACGATTTCCAGTCCTATATAATATCGAATCCGTGACGTACAATAGGTGGCGGTTCGGCGAAATGTACATCAGGTTATTGAGAACGTGGGAGGTGAAGCGGAGGTCTACAAAGAGTAATTAAGTAGAGACGAAATATTGGCAGGCGAAACCTTACACATCTCGAGGTTAGCCTTGTCTTTACGAGCGGTCATTAGGTACTGCTTGAGGATGTACTCGTGGGCACTGTCGGACGCTGCACCAACGGAAAGATGCGCTGATCATAGTAAGAATGCAGTGAGCAGGAGTCTGTCTACTATGCATCATGCACGTACCGTCTTTTGCCTGTCCTGATGATATATTCCAAAACATTGGATACATGCCACCATATTCGCGCAAATCAGCCTTGACAAAGTTACGTGTGGCGGTTGTAGCCTGTGTGCAATAAGCTCGATCTTATGCGCGATAAAGTTGATTTTGAACTCACTCGGTCGACATGTTCCTTCTTACCAGTAATCTTGCCGAGATAGGCGTATTCCATTTGATAGCTTGCAATCTCTGCCAAGCTTCCAATCAATGGCCCATTGCTTGTGCCTCTAAAGCAACGACAAAAAATTAGGCCTGCAGAAGCGATAATTTGGAACTGATGGGATTACCTGAGGGTGTTTACGCCATACTTGGGAAAGCCACTGGCGGTCCTAAATGCGGGAGCCAATATTGTGCCAAGTTCATCAGCGCGAGTGCGCAATATGTCGTCATTGGTCAGTGCATAAGCGGAGAGGAGACCGCCAAGTTGACGTATGACAGTCTCAAAGAATGGCACGCGAGTATTCTAAAGGCAACTTGAGCTTCGTTAAGAGAACCTGAAGGTCATCACTCACCGTGGGGAGGGAGAAGTTTGTATCATGTACAGCTATCATTGCGCGCTTATATTCTTGTTCTAACCCCATCATATGCATTGTGTCAAGGGAGTCGACTGCAGTGACGGCCCATCCATTGAAGCTTTGATTGTTACGTGAGCGGATATGGGGTCATTGGAAAAAACGCAAGCTCACTTGTTGATGCTGGTATTCGACAAAGGGCGGAGCTCATCATTTGGGAATGCGAAGCGCTCATAACCATGGTAGGCATGCAAGAAGGCATCCCTAACTTGAAAGGATCTGTCTGTCCACACCTCCGGTGTCACAGGAGCGTAGTGCATGACATCGACAGGAAAAAGGTAGCCGGTACGTCTGAAGTAGTTGAAATAAAGCACAAGCAGTGCTATGGTCGTGGTGAATGCGAATGCGATGTGACGAATGGAGATGCCCCTGCGACGGAGCGATGAGGAGGCCTTGTTGATTACATTGTTCCCTAGGAGGTTGGCAGGAAAATTCATAGTTGAGAAGTACGATATGGGTAGACCTATGCAGTGAGAATGAGTGTGGTGCAGGGAGACTTGCTACGTGAGCAGAGCGTGCAGAATGAAGTCTCCACGCCCAAACACCCACGGTAGATAGATACGTGTGTAAATCGATTAAGCTCTACCTGCAGACTGGCGAGAAAGCACAAAACGGCGGGCACCAGACAACACTGGTACAATAATTAATCGACTAGGAGAACGTTTAACACACTAGTCATGCCAAAGTCATGCGGCAGTGCCAAGGAATTTCAGAGTAACCACTGCGTCCACGTGGCAACAGCAAATGAGGAAACACTGGCTCGGTGGGTCGCTCGGATGCAACGGAAAGTGCGAAGCTACTTTCAAAGATTCTAGGAAGATGATTGAATACCTCACTGCAGCTTGGTTTCTGATTATTTTGTGGGATCTTGAAGCATGGGCGGCGGAAGCTGGCGGAGCTGAGTTTGAAGTTCGTATGAGAATTAGGCAGTGAATATGTGAATGACTTATGACCAACATCATCTTCGAGCAATGTCCAGCTTCGACAAGACAGTCAAGTTAGCTTGCAAACCAAAGGCGGCTCCTCCAAAGGCAAAGGTATCTTTTAAATAATACCTATATCGCTCGATTCCACACTAACGTTTATCCCCTAGTACCTGGATCCTATAATTGCTGCTACTTGGTCAGAAGATGGCGCTGTCCATGACGTTTGCAAAGCGCTCGTTCCCCGCCTTCGCGAACCTAATGCAATCGTGTGTAATCAGACTCATATTACCTTAGACTACAACTGATGATCTAGCATAGGTTGTGTTCAAGGCACTAATCGTACTCCATACCATGATTCGCAATGGAGCAACAGACAACGTCTTATCTCATCTATCTTCTTCGGAAATTCTTCGCCTAGCGAAATGTCTCTGCCGGTAACTGGGAAGGTATGTATTGCTCATGGTCATAATTCTCATGGAAATATAGACCCAATTTATTTTGTCGCTGTACTTAGGATACAACGCTCCCCAGAATCTCCAGCACTATGCTATTTATTTGGATTCCCGCATACGCGCATATCGTGATTTGAAGCATGATGCAATCCGCGTTCAGGCAGAGTCAAATCGTGACATGCGCGTCAATAACTCCATCGAAGAGGATATGGCATACTCCAGTGCCCCAGCCCCAAAGTCATCATCCACCAAGTCCAAGGTGCCTCAAAGGAGTAAAACAATTATGGGAAGGAAATTGCGCGTCATGACAGTGGACAAGGGTCTACTCCGGGAGACCAAGACTGTGCAAACAATGATTGACACCCTGGTAGAGTGCAGGGTACGTCTCACTTCCGAGTCTGCCAGATCACTTACACAGTATTTATCAGTTCTATCTCGATGATCTGGAAGACGAATTGACTATTACTGCGCTCCGCATGCTCGTCAAGGATTTACTCATTCTTTTTCAGGCCGGCAATGAAGGTGTCATTAATGTATTAGGTTTGTTTACCCCTCCTCCTGTCATTTTTTCGCCTAAAGAAATTTCAGAACACTATTTCGAGATGTCAAAAATTGACGCTGAGCAGGCGCTCTCCATATATCGTCATTTCTGCACTCAGACAGAACGAGTGGTCGAGTACCTGGGCGTCGCAAAGAAATTGCAGAATCTACTCAACGTTCCTATCCCAACATTGAAGCATGCAAGTAGAGTTTCCCTGCGTTTATCAAACCACTCACAGATGCCATCAGGCCCCTGTGTCGTTGGCGGGTGCACTTCAAGAATACTTGAACGACCCCAATTTCGAGCAGAACAGGATTGAGTACAGGACAAATAAGGAAGCTGCCGACAGAGATGGCAAAAATCGCAGTGCTCTATCTTCGGCGCCTAAAGGTGACTAAGTCCACTTTCACAGAGATGCAATCTGACTTCTTCTAGCCTCATCGTCGCAAGTAACCTCCACTGCATCCACATCTACCCCATCAGATGGGCCATCCACTCAAGCTCCATGTCCTGTACCCAAGCCTGAAACTTCTCAGGCTATGGCAGACTTCTTTGCTTCTGTAGAGGAAGATCAACCTGCCATGTTCAATCCTACGAGTAGCAGGTAAGCCATCATTAATTGCCGAGATCTCGACGTCGTTGCTCATATTTGCACAGCTCGACGTCCAACCACTTCCGTCAACAGCCGGCGTCCAATCCTTTCGTTCAGCGACAAATGACGGGTGCTTTCCAAGGTCAACCTTTTGGTTTCCCTGGTCAAATTCAACCGCAGGCTACTGCCTTCCCTCAGTCCTTCCAGTCAGTTCAGCCCAACACCTTTAGTCAGCAATCGCCATCCACTCAACACCAACATCGACCTTTCTCCACCTTCTTACAACCACAACCTACTGGATTTGTAATGCCACAAGGCACAGGTTTCTTGCAGCCGCAAGCTACCGGCGCAAACCCATTCAGACAGAGTATGATGATGATGCAAGGGACTGGTTCACCTGCTTTCAACTTTGGGGCAACGAACGCCTTCTTGCCCCAATTGCAACCTGCTGGACAAACCAACGCACCATTCCAGCCGGCTTCCCAGCCTCAGCCGTCGTGGTCTTCGAACGGATTTGCTGTGCAAACGCCTTCCACAAGTACACAATTTGGACAGATCAATGGAGCGCGCACATCATTTGACGTCCCTACTCGACCTGCTTCGACTCCCCTCACAACTTTTGGCACAACACAGGCCTCTTCGACCTCGCCACCAGTAGCACAACCTGTCAAACCTCATCAGACTGGTTCACGCAATCCGTTCGGAGTGCCAATCACGCCAGCCCCGCCAGTACCAAAGCCACCAACACTGATGGAGCTGGCCACGGCTATCGGAAGCTCGAATAATGTTCCGCCTGCTGATTTTGCACCACCTCAGACTCAACGACCACAACAGACGAGCTTTTTTGGGCCCCCAGGCGCTTCTGGTGGCGAGTCATCGATATCGGGTGTTGCCTCGTCCTTTACATTCGGCCAAAAGTCAGAGGACAACAAATTCAGCACTAGCGATTCTGGAATAGTTAACACACAGACCACCATGGCCGCATCGACTGCATCAGATTCTTTGTTTTCTTCCTTCTCTCCACTGTCCACGCAACCTACGAGTGCTACCACTCCTTCCATGTCGCCTTCGAGTGACCAGCTAAAACCCCAAATGACTGGTTTTAGTGGCATTAAGCCATTTAAACCCACATCGTCCTTTGGGGCTTCCTTGTTAGAATCACTACCTCCAATACCACAATCCGGTCCCACTACTCCTAGTGTCACTGGTATGCCCGGTAATTTCTCTTCCCCACCAGCCTCGAGCGGGATAGCTTCTGCTTTTGGCGCTAGCGTTTCAAGCATCGGACAGCTGCCCGCTGTTGGTTCACACCCAGAGATAAAACCCACGCTTGGGGTAGGTCTCAGACCCCAAGCAACCGGTGGAGCTAACCCTTTCAGGGCTACGATGTATACTACATCTTTGCCCAATGCCGGAGGTGGATCTGTGTTGCCCATTATGGGTTCGCTGCCACAGTTTAGTGGAACCAATGAATCCTCACCCTTTGCATCCAGTTACGGAAGGAGCCCTTTTGGATACCCTGGTGCCCATGATCCCTCACAACAGCCTTTCCAACAGCAAACCGGGACTGCATCGCTTATTTAGTCTTCACCTGTCTCTCACCGTCTCATTCACGCATATATTCCTTTTTCAATTCTATCTCTTATCGCTATTCCTCGCTCAAGTCCCTACTGTCGTTTACGCTCGGATATCACGTTGCCTGGACCTCCCATTCATTTCTTCTTTACCTGTCTCCTGTATAATCTAGTAGTCGAGCTTGCGGAAGCGTCTTGAATAAGGACCAATTTTTGCTTTGCAGTACTGAGGACTCCAGTCAAAGACCCCGAATCACCGTGATTGGAAGTCGCGTCACGCTTCCCGCCACTGGCTGCACTTTGTTCTTTACCACCAACCTTACCACTTCAAGCGACGGTCTAAGTCATTCCAGGATGGCCTCGTGAGTTGCGCCCCGAAAATACTAATACTTTTCATTGATGGAAATCATCGCAAATGCAGCGAACAGCCCAAAGTAGCAAGGATGGATGCTATTGACGCGTCTGCTATGACCGTGGAGACCGCTCTGGAACACGCTAGACGTGCGTTCGCTTTAAAAAAATATGAGCAAGCAGTAGAATACTATGCTACTGCCCTAGAACTTCAGTGCGTGATCAACATTGGACTCATCAAGCTGTGGTTCTGATGCGCTACTTATCTTTCGTCCCATAGGACAAAGAAGCATGGCGAGGATGCACCAGAAACAGCTAATCTTTACTTCTCGTATGGAAAAGCGCTGTTAGAGAACGCGATATCACAGGCTTCAGTCTTGGGTAAGGAGCAGCCTGAGAACGGAGATGAAGCAGAAGGAAAACGTGTGTAACGCGTTTGATTTACGCCGTTGTGGCTACAGCTGATCATTTCGTAGCCTCGGGCACCGGCAATGGAAAGGGTCCTATTCTCTCTTTTTCCGGAGATGCAGATGAAGGCGTTGACCTTTTCGGTCAAGCCGCAATTACAGAAGAAGAAGAAGGTGAAGAGGATGCCGAAGGGGAAGATGGAGAGCCTGAAGATGACTTCAATGCCGCATGGGAAGTCTTGGAGCTGGCGCGTGCAATTTACGAGAAAGGCAAGGATGAAGATGAAGAAGTCAAAATGAAACTTGCTGAAACATATATTACCCTCGGAGATGTATCTCTTGAGACGGGTGCGCCGATCTTTTACTCGGCTAAGTATCCGCATGATAACAAACTATCCTATAGAGAAATTCGACCAAGCTATCACAGACTACTCAGAGGGACTCGCACTTAAGCTCAATCTTCTCCCGATTTCATCGCGTCAAATTGCTGAAGCACACTATAAGCTCAGTATAGTGCTTGACCTAACCTCTGGGCGACTTTCAGATGCTATCTTGCATGCGGAGAAGGCTCTGGAAAGCGTTGATGCTCGCCTATCAGAACTCCGTGATGGAATCGATGGAAAGTTTCTCCCTGCACCCAGTCGGGAAACTATAACAGATAAAAAGGGTAAGGGTAAGGCTGTTGGTTCCGGCGTACATGCAGATAGCGTGCACCATCTGACCAAGAGTCAGATGGAAGCCGAAATTAAGGAATGCGAAGGATTGAAAGAAGACCTCGCGCTGAAGGTGAGCCCGTGCAGTTTAGGAAGTGTATACTGACGAGTGCTTTGGCATAGGTGGAGGAACTTAAAACAACTCCCAGTGAGCCAACAGAGTCTGCTCCTGCGATGGCTGCAAAAGCGCTAGATGCAGAATTGAATGCTAAGTCGATATCCGTCCCTGGCCAACCAGCAGTAGTTAACGACTTGACATCGTTGGTCGTGAAGAAGAAGAATAAAACTGTCGAATTAGATGCATCGGCTAAACGCAGAGCAGATGACGGAGGTGATGGCAGCCCTACTGCAAAGAAGGCAAAACTGGAAGAGGATGCACAATCATGAGGAACTATTTATTTCAACTACTGCATTAGTCATTTTTGTTAGAATGGTACACTGGTTGTTGCAATTGGTGCATGCTTGAAGCTCTTCTTCCCCTCTCCTACCCCAAATTCTCCTACGGTGTGACCCCTCTCTGCCTTGCTTCTCATGATGTATTTGTAGATGACAAGTCCCTCGAGACCCACCGGCCCACGAGCGTGTATCCGACCTGTACTGATTCCAACTTCAGTTCCGAAGCCATAACGGAATCCGTCTGCGAAACGCGTGCTAGCGTTGACAAAAGTCCCTGCAGAGTCCACGCCTCTACAGAATGCAGACGCTGCAGGTTCGGATTCAGTTATGATAGAATCCGTGTGATGGGAGGAATGAGAGTTGATGAATTGAATTGCAGAATGAAGGGAGGGCAAAGCTATGACAGATATAGTAAGATCAAGGTGCTCGACAAAATAGGACGACTCTGTGGACGAGTGGACGTGACTTGAGAACCTTTCTGGGACGTTGGGAAGTGAGGTGAGTGCTGACAAGGTGTGTGAATCACATATTAGATGAACGTCTGCTGTCAAGAGTGCTTGTGCAACGTCTCGCCACACCGTATTCAGAAGAGAAGTGTGTACAATAAGAGTTTCTGCAGCATTGCAAGCAGATGGATAATCCGTCTAGCATGTGTCATCGTGAGAATGTGATCGCTGTCTGAACAATCAGGAGGCTCACCTTTGAGTCAACAACCACGCGGACGGCTTTTTGACGGTTGGCGGATTCATCGAGATAAATATGGCACAGTCCATCTGCATGTCCCATGACTGGTATCCGCGTGCTGTTCTGAATCGCCTTCACAAGACTGTTGCCTCCGCGGGGAATGACCAAGTCAATGTAGCAGTCAAGATCCAGCAATGCAGAAACTTCTGCCCTCGTTTGAATGGCTTGGATATACGTGCTCGGAAGTGAGGTCTGTGCCAATCCCTGCGAGATGGCCTTGGCAAGCAGATGTGTCGTGTGATTCGATTCCTTTCCGCCTTTGAGGATCGCAGCATTCCCTGAAAATGGCCGGTTCGCATGTATATATAACAAGCTGGAGATAACAGACCCTACCTGACTTGATCGCCAGAGCCGCAATATTTACCACAACCTCAGGGCGCGCTTCAAAAATCACAAGAAGAACGCCTATCGGACACGAGACACGATACAGTTCAAGATCGTGGTCGAGTTGTGAAGCATAGGATACAACTCCAGTTGGATCGGGAAGGTCTGCGACATCCTGCACACCCTTGAGCATGGAATCCCATTTATCGCCCTTTCCGAGATCGAGACGCTTCATCATGGCATTTGATATCCTGCCTGCATCGACCTCGAGTTGCGCCGCCTTGGTATGGAAGGAGAGAATATGTGAGGATCATTATGGATCTTGAGGCGAGAAACGATGCTGCACCTCCATATCCAGCTTATTTGCTGCAAATATTTCGACCTTGTTAGCCTCGAGCTGCTGTTTGATCTTCGCGAGGGCATCTATTCGGACAGTAGCAGGCAACAGCTGAGACTCTTCGAATGCAACTTTTGCAGCTTTTGCGATTTCTTCCGCGGTGATAGTATCGGATGCCATTTGTAGTCACGGTGTAAGTTATACGACACGTTTGTATCCTAAGGGAACTAGCATCTGTTCGCGTTACCACAATGACATCTGGTGTATGCCGCGCCGGCGACAAAGAACCAACAATCAAGACAACGATGGGAGGAAGCTTGTTGATCCCCGGTCCCGGCCTTGAAGAAGCGCTTCACGGGCAGTGACCGGTATGTCTGTTAGTCCCTCGGTGGAACCGAATTCATCAAGTATCAAGTTCTAGCTATTAATTGTCTGAGTAGCAAATGAAGCTAGCGCATTCCCGCTAGTGTGAGGTGATCGTTGATATAAAAGAACTCAACTGACCTTTACATCCTTAAATTATCAGCTTTTTGCTGCTTTTGTTTTCTTCACCATGGTGTCTCGGTCGTGCGCCTTTGTCTTCGCCACCCTCGCATCATTCATTCTACTACTTGCAAAGGCACAACAGACCTCTGGCACTCCCCCAAGCAGCTGGCCTCAAGTCTACCCGCGAATGCCAGATTGTAGCTACAATACGGAGTGGCAGGACTGTATGTCAACCCTTGATCCAGTGATCGGAAAGCTCACCACACACCTAGACTTCCAAGTGACAGAGAATCTCCCAAATGTTACATGGTCTCTCGCTCGTAATTGGGCAGGGAACATCCCTGTTCAGAGAGAGGGTCATCCTAACGATACCTTATTCTTCTGGGCATTTGAGAGCAAGGAAGGCTCTTTCACTTCCACTTCCACTGATGCACCATGGGGTATTTGGCTAAATGGAGGGTAGGTGATACGACCTCTATCGTCTCATGTTGGTACTGAGACAGTTGCAGACCTGGCTCATCAAGTCTCGTTGGCTTATTGTTTGAGGTCTGTCTTCTGTCTTAATTTGATCGCTGCCGATTCTGGATTAAACAATTGGTAAAGAATGGCCCGATCAAAGTACAAAACGACTATTCCTTGTTTGAAAACCCGTATGCATGGAACACAGTAGCAGACTACGTCTGGATAGACCAACCAGTGTAGGTGTCGTATTTGTTATGTGTCAATGTCCACTCTCCAATAGAAATCATCCCATCAGCGGCGTTGGCTTTGGAACTGCTGATTCCACTGGTTATAGTGCGTTTAGATTCTATGAAACTTGCCTCAGCTTACATACTCATTCAGTTTCTGATGAGGATCAAATGGCGGCGGACTTCGTCAGTACGCATGGCGTACTTGCACCTCACTTTCACTGACCGCCACAGTTTGGGTTCTTGGAGAACCTTGTAAAGGTCTTTCCCGGCTTGGCTAAGCGCCCATTGTACATAACGGGTGAAAGCTATGCTGGCATGTATATAGCAAGTGTATTGTCTTGCTGCATGCGCAGAATTGACATTTTTCGGAACAGCCTTACATCACGAAAGCTTACTTCGAAATGGAGAATCCGCCAGTTACGTTAGCTAACATAGCTATCGGAGATGGCACTATTGCCTCTGGAGAGACATTTGGACTCCTCCCGGTGGTTAGCCTTCTACTCACAGGACGACCTACTTCACAGTATTCACTTTTTGAAGCTTAGCGTCCTCAAGACATATCCGCAGGTGATTGGGTACGACACCGATGTCTTCGAGTACTTCCGTGAACAGTTCGTGCTCATACATGAATTATACTCCTGTGATTTCGTTGATATGTCCCCAGGGAAGCGCTTTGCGGCTATGATCTTGTCCTTGAATATCCTCAAAATGGACACTTCCCAACCTTGAATTACACTCCTGGAGATAACCCTTACGCATCTAGTATGTCTGCATCTGGGCGGTACAAGCGATACAGAGCCCAACAAGGTCAATTCTCCAAGAAGCTGTTTTTGGCCGAAATGGAAGAGAGGTACAGTGCACACCTAGCAAAGCGGAGCACTAGTCTGTCCAAACATGAGCGCCTGCGTGCGCGGGATGCTTGGAAACGTGATCTAGCTGACCGTGCAAATGGCACCATCGACGCATGGTATGGGTGCGATGTTTTCGATGAAATGACGGATTATGCCATCAACTTTACCTTCCCGTGGTGTATGTTCATCACTTCTATTATTCGACTGTTGCTGATGGAGAGGATAGCACTCAGTAAGGACTCTGGAAGGTCGTTCGACGTAAGTAATGTTTTGCTCTCCCCGCTGTACTCATTGCAAGTTGTAGTTCTATAATATTCCAGATGCTCTAAATCCTGAGGCACCTATAGATGGGTCAGTTTTTTTGAACAACCCACAAACTCGCGCTGCTATTCATGCACCGACGAGCAAGGACTGGACAGTGTCTATCGACTACCCATTCGGCAACGGTCAGTCAGCGACTGTATAGGGTTCCTTCGACTAATGATCCTGGCTCAGACTACGCTAATAGTGATCCAAGTAAGCTTCTGTCTGTCCTCTCGCTTAGGATTTATTTTTGATTGAGCTCTTTTCTAGGTCTTGAGTCAGTGAATCCTTGTATACCCTATCGTTGCGGTGCTTATCGCGTAACGCAGACCTATGGCATTCCTCACGGACTTGGCCACGAATGCCACAGCCCACAACGTCTCTGTTGTTATATTCTCCGGAAATGATGACTCCCTCATTCCTCATCTTGGTTCACAAGGTGAGTGGCCACTATCGGTCACGCCAAAGTGTTGATTACTTCCTCAGTTACTATCCAAGTATGTTGAACGATAACTGTTTTGTGAAGGAATGTCGGCTCATTTTGCATAGAACACTACTTTTGGCGGGATTCAAGGTTTCACGCGCAAACCGTCGACACCATGGTATAACGATAATGGCGATTTCGCTGGTATCGTGCATCAGGAACGCAACTGGACTTATGTCCTTATTGACCACGCGGGCCACCTCGTGGGACACACAAATCCCCAATCAGTATGTCTCCTCCTTCATAATCTAGCGTCATACATTCAGGCTGCAGAAATTCCGAAGGGTTTCGTCGCTATCAGGGAGTTCGTCTTTGGAAATAACCAGACCGGGCTGGTCACCAACACTTCCTCGGGATCTGTGACTGTCATATGTGGTGAGGTCTCTTCCCTGGCAAATGAGATTATGACAGGACAGGCTGCCATCTACTATGGCTCTGCGACGACTGAATCCACCTATTACTTCCCCACTGCCACAGTGGAGGCATGGAATGCTTATATTGCAACCGCTACTACCACGCCTCTATGATAGCCGCATTAGCGAGGCATATAAAGGTGCTGCAATGGCACAGATAGGTAGACCGAACCCATCGATAGTGGTTGTTTTCTTTCGTCTACAGTGATCATCTATAGGAAACTAGTACTACAATAACTTTTTCACTTCTGCTCCTGTTGCTACTATTTGCGTTCTACATAGGTATACGCCAATATGTAGATTGAAAGAATTTCTTGGAAGGCGCCGCAGCACGAGAACAAAAGATCATGACATGACGTGTGGGGTTCACTGCAAAGAATCACCCCGGCCCCCGCCGCACTTGTGAGTATGGCGACAAAGAACCCATAATCGAGACGAAATCAAAATATCTCAGCCATGATTCCCCCATCTCCTTCTGCATTACCTTCTGCACCCATCTCTATTCCCCCGACATCCACTTCGCCATCTGCGTCTGCCTCACCCTCAGCGTCACGTGAGAAGAGGTACAATGGATCTACGACCTCCGCGAGAGCCTCATTGCGCTCCTCGAGTTCGTCGCTGCTCATGGCCACGTGCGAAATATGCACGACTTGCCATTTGTCGGCATAGGTGTCGTTTTGCTGTCGGACAATAGTTAGTTATCTCACGGTCAAGGGATTGAACGAAAGAATAAGGTGTGCAGAGTTTGGAGGAGTTTACATACATTCATCCGCTTCTTCTTAAGTGTCATTTTGCGTTCGATATTTTTGTAATATGCGCCTGGCCCGCGCTCACCTGTGTCCCCATTGTCTAGGACAAGTAAAAATTCATTGGGCACTTCTTGTTCGATTTTGACGGTCTCATAGTCGCGTACGAAGTGAAATGCAGTTGACTTGTTTTCCTCGCCGCTCTTCAATGCCATTCGATCCTCCTTGAACTCCAAAGCATCGGGGTCGTCCTTCGTCAAGTAGTAGGCAAGAAAATGTTCACCGTCGCTTTCCATCGGACGCAGAATCGCACAGTCCAGCCGTGGGTCCTCCGTATCTACAGGTCGTTCACCTGGGCGCTCACTAAAGCGGAACAAGTCGTACGCATTCGCCCAGATGTCAGCATCTGGGAGGACATCGTATGACTCAACAGCGGTAACGCCAGTCTTGTTGGGATGAGAGAGTATGGTTAGGTCGAGGGATGTACAAGCGGTGAAGCCGGCCTCGATGGTGCGAAGTTGTGCCTCATGCGAGACATCAATGGCTTGCAGAAGTTGTTTCCTATTGATCATGAATTAGGAGCATTAAAGTAGAATACAATAAAAAAGATGACGCACGATTCCTGTGATGATGGAGTACGCTGTACGCCTTCGCGGCTGAGGTACTCCGTTTTTCGGAGCCAGGGTACGTGTGGAGGGAGTGGTGCCAAAGTCCCCGTTGTGGGTAAGGAACTGTTGGTGTAGGGTGCAGCAGACGTTGAGGGATCACCCAATAAGAACCGGTCCTTTGGGTCAAGGGATGGTAAGTTATCCGGGTCAGGATTCAGTGCTGTAGGACATTAGTACCATGAGGCTACCTTGAAAAGGATAACGTACTATCATCACTACCACCTTCTTCCCATAGACACTCCCACAACCCAAGATCTAAGGGCATCCCACACTCGGCGTCAATGATCATTGGGAGAGGTGTATCATTGGTGATGGTATTAATAAAATTTGGGTGCGCATAACGCAAGGGATTTGTAGGGATATCGAGTAATTTTGGAGGACATGGAGGCGCGGGGAGTGGATTCGAATACCGGACGCGGACAAGTAGGTCAAGTTTACTAGAACAATCAACTAGGGAATCCGAGGAAAGAAATGGATAGGTACCTCTTTCTAAGACTCATGTTATTTGTTTAGCAAGAGCCAAGCCAGAGCCTGAGGTTCAGAAATTTGATCACGTGAATGACGCGAGGGAAGTTGCCTTTCTAAGAATCTATAAGATTGTTGAATGGTAATGTTCAACCATAGCTTATTGTAAAAATATTGTAAATTCAGGCTTCAAATATATTCGATGGTGGACCGATGCCACTGAAATTTGGAAAAAGAAGAATGCAAAGGTCCTAGGTTGAAAGAAAAGATTATGACGACTTCTTGTCATTAGCAGCGTCTATCCCCGTAGTCACCAGTTTGGACAGGCGATAGGCCATATCGATCGTCATTATGAAGGGTATGACGAAGAACGGAATGTAACTTAATAACAACAGGGAGCGTTGAAAAGTTGTTACAGAGACTACATTGTCAGCTATGGTCAGCGCACTCGTTATAGGCGTCGTCAGCAAGACAGACAAGCATGGTAAAGTCGTGGTTGTGGTAGACGCGGCATATATGAGGAGAAGCACATAGATAGATTGCGAATCTGAGTTCTGATTAGACATTTCAAGAGATACAACTCAGGGATGGCTCACCTCGCCAAAGGCCTCTTGCTCCGAGAATGAAGACAGGAAGTTGAAAAATACTACATAGATGTTAGGATGTAGAGCAACATTTAGTCAGAGACACTCATACGCTTCAACGACAAGGAAGGTCTTGAACCAAACGAAAGGCTTGCTATCTCCCAACATGCCCAAGACGCTTCCAATCAACGGGTCGTTCGATATCTGGACATATAATTGTGGAAGAGCGCGTATGAAATACGGTGTTAACGAAGGAGGATACAAAGCTTGGAGATCAATAAGCAGAGTTGCGGGTATATGAACCTATTTTCGTCAAGCATGTGGGATTTTTGACAACTGATTGAACGCACCAGGAAGAAGGCGAAGTATACTAGGTCCAAGGGACGAGAAGTGATTGGAATCGCGGTACGCATGATTCGCAACAGCGCCATCAACATTAGTAGCAGTCTCCCTACTAAGGCCAAATAGAAGGAAGGCAATTCAGTCGGAGGTGGCTGAAGTAAGATTTTTCAAGTCGAAGGTCACGAGTCGGTGCTCGGATACTCCTAGTCAAGCTAGCCCATCGAGGTTTGACGCTCGACATGTTTCGATACCCTTACACCCATTTATTTTGGCAATCAAAACACTCTATCGTCATCGCAGGACCTCACATACAAGTCCTTGACACTAAGTAGCACGTTTTTTTCTTGTTTACATTCCGACATTCACTACTTTTTAGCACGGGTGATGTCCTACATTCAACCGCGAGATGTGAGGAAGATCAAATTGCATCAAGTCCAATCCGTTGTGCCGCGTTGAGTGATTGTGGAAAGTACCTCGCAACTTCAGGAGATGACAAGAAGCTCAACACTTGGCAAGTTGATGATCTAAAACACCTTAGTTCAAGGTATGTACTTCTAACGCTTCAATCTTTCGCTATCCTGAAGGTGGCGCAGAGTGCTGCCGAAGAAGCCAACATATATCAATTTTGCGGATAACAAAGACATACTTGTAGCAGACAAGTTCGGTGACATATTCCGGTATGAATGTTCGTCATCAAACAAAGTCCCACTGAAACTTGTCGTGCCCCAGTTATCAGCTGCACCCAAACTCAAACGAATCATCCACTGGGTACGCGCGTGACGCTTTGTCATCTCATGAAAACCCCTCTGGCGGGGAACTCATCCTTGGTCACGCTTCCCTCCTGACTACATTTTTGCTGACCGCAGACGGGCGATACATCGTGACTGCTGATAGGGATGAACATATCAGAGTCAGCTGGTTCCCACAGGGATACACGATCGAGAGCTACTGCCTCGGTCATCAAAAGTGCGAAACCTTGTTCTCTGAGCTCGGACACGCTAATACCACATGATCCAGATACGTGTCTGCACTTCATATTCCTTCGTTTTCTCCAGGGACACTTATCTCTGGTGGCGGAGATTCCGTCTTAAAACTATGGGATTGGATGAGCGGGAAACTACTACGTAACATCGACGTCCTTTCCGCCGTTCAACCCTTCATCGCGGTAAAGGCGCCAAAAAAGAGAAGGGAGTGGAAGAATGAAGACGAAGATATAGAGCCAATTGAAGGGGAAAAAGGACGAAGAAAAAATAAAGGAAAACGCAAAGAAAAACGAAGTGTTGACGGCGGGGACGCGGAAGAAAGCCAAGATCCTACAATGTCTGAGAGACAACCCGGAGAAGTGTCGACAGAGGAAAGTGAGGTCGTGTTTGTGGTGCATAGGATTGCATCAATTCCCTCGTTAGTGCCAAGAATCGTGTTCAGTGCAGTCGGGTAAGTCTTGGATGTCGCATATTATACCAGCTAATGATATGGACAGAGCTACTGCTATCTTCTGGTTTTCAATGGACAGCAACTCCGAAACTTGCATACGGCATGAGCCATTTTATAAACCTATCATTGACTTCACCTTGGAAGACGATGGCTCTATCTGGGTTTTACTTGATGCTGATCGATCTTCACAAGGAGGCTGGAGTAGTAAGGGCGAAGGTGATGAGTCAAATTTAGTCGAAGTACGACGCTGCATACTAGACAATGTTATCTACTTTCTCTCTTATCATACCGATCGGCTACTGACAGTGCTCTTATCAACAGTTCACAACCAGCCATCCTCCGCCATTGGCCTTGGCACTTAACTCTTGCACACTTCCCGGTAAATTTGCATCATTTCTATTTTAAACTTAATCATGACGACATTTCTAGCTACTCAGACTGATCTCAAAGTTCTGGACCTATACTCGGATCTCTTGGTGTTTCCCAAGCATCTCGAAGCTGTGGCTGAAGACAGGATCCAGGATTTGTCTGAAATAGGTGTTGATGATACGGTAACCGCAGATGATGGGTCAAATGATGGGGGCATTACCAAGAGAGAATTAGGGAGGTTAAAGCATAAGCAAGCCCTGTGGCGTTTGCGGGAGGTAAGCCAGGGAACGAGTCTGGATTTCGAGTCATTGCCAACAGACAGCAAGAGAGTAAAGAGCAGCGGAAGAGAAGACATCCATGCATTAGGCGTGGATGGGACATAAACCTCAACTTCGTGCAAGATGGTCCTACGAGTTCGTGTCCCAACCATACAACCAATCCGTTCACTTCCAGACGTTTGCCCAGATGTTTGCACATTAAGTTTCTGCTGTGCCTTTCTCTCACAAATTGTATTGAAATCAGAGGAAAGGGTCGAATTTCATTGCCAGGACCTTGTTTACTGTTTTGGTGCATGTGTTTGTGAACGTCCTCACAAAAAATGACAAATTCTTCACATGCAGCAGTTCTGCTGTGGTAATAGCAGAAAGTCCCCCACATCCCACCATCACCATTCCCCTAAATTCCCGCTACCTTTAGGTAGTGGGTCTTTCCGGTCAGGTTTTTTTGCGATTCTACGGGGCATTGTGTTTTGGAAATTGATCAGTATACAAATGGCGAAAAATTCTCACAGTGGTTCGTGCACGCTTGCGCTGTGTTGTTCCGTTCTATACCTTTGCCTGTTTGATGTCCATATTCTATCGTTATGTCCCTTACTTTCGAGGGTGTTGACGTCGTCGCCTCATGCGATCATTCTGTTTCGTTCTCCTCTGTAACTGCGCAACTACTCACTCGGCGCCTTCGACGTAGCAACATCGTGCCAGATGTTCGCATTCGCGCTCTCGTCTTTATTACCGATGGCGTTATCAATCTTTCGACAGATTTCTTGTTTCTCGTCGTCGATGATGCATGCAGTGATGTTGTTTTTGGTCGCGATTGGTTAGAATATTGTTGGAATATAAGTGACAATCATCGCGATGTTCAACTGCCTGAACATCCGTGTTGTTTTGGTTCGTTCTTTTCTTCTCCGGTTCACAATTTACTGACATAGATGTAGTATGTTCGGACAATAACGGTTTAAATTACGGGTCATCCATGCCAGTGAAGGTTTATACTCCCGGTTTTAAATCTGCTGATTCCGTTAAAGGAGAATATCTCGTACGAGACATGCTGTTCTCAGCTTCCACAACGGATGCTACTCAATTATTACCTCTTCTGCGGAATCATGGACTCGAAAATGATTTTTCACCAGAACAGATGAACATTCAGGTTTTGCGACATCTCCTTTCTGGAGTCTGTATCCACGCGGGAGCAGGGCGAACCGGTCCCAAGGCTTGTAGACTCATTTGTCGAGCGTTTTCGGATGTTCATTCATTGCTTGGTTATATAGTTCGAGAGGTATCGCTTTCATTACCATCTGTATTATCCATCGCGTCTCTCAAAGATATTGTTGGTGCTGCGGGAGAACAGAATTCGCTTATTCATGTGAATCGTGCCGATTTGATTCGATTGCTATTCCTTCGATGTGTGAAGTCTTCGGAAGATGATGTGCTGTTCAAAGAATTGTTTCTCGGTTTCGAAACTTTATCTCATTCTTCTTTACATGCATATGCTACACTTCATGGCATACAATTTCAATCGGCAGATTCACGGGAAGCTCTATTACAGATGTTGATGCAGCATTTGTCTGACGGCAGTTGTCTGCGTGGAAAGGATATTTACGATATATTTGGCTAGGTAGCGGGCTTTGCCACGCATGTGGCCTTACACGACTTATATAAGTAGTAGACATTGAGTAGACAATATAATAATTATTCATTTTAGGGGGCATCATGTTTGCAGGATAAACATTGACTGTTTTTCATTCCCAACACTTAAATAGACGAGGATAATGTGTAGGGTGTAGAAAGGCAACCCCAATAAAAATTCTGAGGAGACGCTAAGGAGGAAGCAATATAGGAGTGCTAAGCATTACGGAGCAAAATCTGAGCAACAACTTCAGAATTTCTTGAAGATTGACAGCAACTAAGACTTCTCACCTTCCTCGTTGAGTAACGATTCTTCTTCTAAACAAGCTGTCACATAATCCGATATCACCAATCGGCGTCGTTTAGGTCTAAGTTTTGCCTCAGTCGTGTATGTAAGGTTGTATATGAGCACGTACCTCGAGGTACGCTGTATGAGCGTCAGTCGACGCGAGTCGTCTCGCTTGTCCAAGACAACATGCGTGAGCTTTGGGTCGTCGAGTGCAACTACCTTTCCACCATTCTCCTGAATGCTTCTTGAAACATGGTCGAAGCTTAAAATGATCAAATTCGATATCAGGGAAATGATACTCGGTAGTCTAAAGGAAAACTCACGTGGTGGAGATCTCCTGTTCATACTTCGTTTTTACCGACATGCCGTTTGACCGTGCATTGCCTGGCGTGTCAAGGTAAAAGCAACTACCACTGACAGTGAGAACTGATAGCCTGGAAGACAAGAGGCCTACAGATGTCTGAATATTTCTGTTGCGTCGTATTCCCTCGCTTGGTCGTCTTCCCCCATTACCACGCCCTGATGTCATTGTAACAAGAGGACACATGAATGACGAAACCCTTACCTGTGACTGTGAATGAAGCGTGGTGTTTGACTGTCAGAACAACCAATGAATAATAGTTATGCCATACAATCAAATCACGCACGTTCTCGTCGAGAGGCTTGACCACGGGACTATAGGACGCTTGGAGCCACTCATTATCATCTTCCTCTTTGACATCATCGTTGTTCGAATCCGCATCAGACTCATCCTCCGTTTCACTGTCTTCTGGAACGGCAAGCTTGGCGTCGACTTGAAACCAGTCCGCGAGTTCAGAATCAACTTCCTCAGTTTCTTCGAGTTTCGGCTCGAAGCCTTCCGGGGTGATTGGCATTTTCAAACTCGCGTCTTCCTGTACAACTCCGTCAGACATTTCTTGCTCCTCGTCAGTGTCCAGCTGACGATAATCGTCGGATTCTTGACGTGCTAGGGTGGCGTGAAAGAAGTACCTAAAACAAGAGTGATCCTCTGTAGAGACAACGAGTACTGCAATACCTACTTCTTTTTGAGAGGAACGAGCTCTCCCCGACGTATACAATCCGCGATCCACTGAGGCTTGATGATGTCAACATTGTCCTTATCAATTAACAGCTTGATGTCGTAAGCTGCGAGATTGCGATCAGTCCCTCGGGGTAGTCGAAAGATCGGTGCATAAATACTGACGCGTAGTCGTCCCTCCATAAATGACTGTAATAGGCTGTTTGGATGTAACGACCTGCACGCAGCTACCCCCATATGTATGGATCCTGAGGCGAACTCAGATCTAGAAGATTTTTCGGGGATAATCCTGTCTCACAATTTCATCAGTTCTTGACGGTCTTGATTGCCTGTTCGCGACTTTGGGTCTGAAGATACCACTTATAATCAAGGTCACCGTTGATCGAACGCCAGGCAGTAGGCAAGACTCACTGAATCTCATATCCTCAAAGAGGTCTGACTCAATCTCGACTGTACGTAGATTAGGTCCTTGATATTGTGGTAGGACAGTTGCCTGAGAAATGCTCAGACAACAATAGCACGAAAGACCCTAAACACGCTTGCCTTCTTTGTCATTGTCTTTCGCTTCTTCTTGGACATGCTACTAAGGATTAACTTAAGTATTAGCGAGACCATTGACCACTCACCCAGCATCACTTTCCATCTTTCTTTTACGTTCGGAACGCATGCTCTCCAGAACAGCTGATACGGGTCAGGCCCCGTACCAATGGAATACAAAGGCACGCACCTGATGCAGTCATGCAATCTGCAATGCACAGGTCATCGCGAATTGACAAAGCTCGAGGAAACCTCATTGTAACGCCCAAATGATATTGATCTATTTCGCATGGCACATAAGCGAGATAACGCGATCAAAATTATCGCCTGCTACCTGAAGTCGTGATCTCAGCTGCCTTGACCTTCAGTATGAACGAACTGACAATCATGCCGTCAGCCTGTGCGAGCGGGTGAAGTGTGGGACATACTCCTCTGGTTCCAGATACAAATCACCTTTATCTTCGTACGTCTTTTTTGCAGTTTGTAGAAATTCTGGGGGATGTTTTGGATCCCATACTTTCCAAGGTTTTTGTCTGAGCCAGACATAGTCTGCAAATGACAAGCCTGTGCCCACTCTGACAAAGGTACTGTACCTAGTGTCCAGTGATTTTTATACATCAGACACTACATCCATTGCAAGACTTACTTCTGTTCTTCATCATCTTCTGGGCGCCGATCGTCGAGGACTGCGCAGATGAGTGTCGAGACACCTCCTGAACGTTTCCCAGTGCCGTAATTGCCAGCTACATTGTGGTTTGTATGATAAAGAAACGCAATAAACTTATCGACTCACCGACTACTAACACGTCCACGGTCTCGCCCATATTGTCCTGAAAGTACTGTGAGCGTAGATGTAACGATGTGCCTCAGCCGATTTACCATATATTCAGGCTTGACCTTGATCCAATCCTTGTTTCTTCCATTTAAAATGTACTCGGAGTCGGGATGTTTGATCACGAGGCCTTCCCCTCTTGACGCCATGACTTCATCCATCTTCTGCCGAACATCTTTGGCGGTCTTGCCTTCGAACTCTGCTGTAAATTCAATGCGGCCCGGTATCTCTCTGATGCATGCGCGCAAGTTACGTTTGCGGAACTTGAGTGACTTCTGGTGGAGGGACATGCCATTGAGGTAGAGGAGGTCAAAAACCTTGACTGGATTGAAGTGAGGATTACTGCAAAATTTAAAACAGTGGGTACATACAGCATGGCCTGGGATTGTGCTCCTTCTTTGATTTGTCTGAGAGGTATCATAAGCACTTAGACAAATGACTAACTGAAGACACCAACCAAGTGCAGCCGTCTTCAAGGTACCAAATGGCAAGTTACGTTCAGAAACGGGGTCCCAGACTAACATTTCTCCATCGAGAATGATGCTACAAGATAACTTCAATTATAAACGAATGAAATTTAGAGATAGGCTCAACTCATCTATCCGCTCATCAAACGCAGAGTCGATAAAAGGAGTCAAACTGCCCTGCCCAACATGCTGTCCGTACAAGTAAGTGTAATTTTTTCCTTTCCTATATTAAGGGTCAAGTCAGGTCATTGGTACACACGACAATGCCTACCTCGAACAGTAAAAGTATTCATTTCCGCGCTTGTGCAGCTGCATGCGCTCGCCATCAAGTTTCTCTTCGATGATGAATTTATGACCTTGCATTTCTTTCACCGAATCCTCGATCTTATGGATCGATCTTTTGCACAGCATCGGCGCAAATGCACGGAACAATTGAATGGATTTATCCTATGTCATATCAGCTCTGAAAGCTTCAATGAATAGGAAAAGTTATACCTCAGCATTTAACCTCCTCGAAAGATCCCATAGCTCCCAAGCAACCTTCTTGAGGTCCGAACATATGTTGAATAGATCTTGTGCATCTGGATGGAACACACCAAAAACGGTTGTTTCTTTCACAGAAATAACCATGTCTTGGAAAGTTAATAGATGATTGGAGCCATGGATACAAGAGAACATGCCTTTCAAAATTATACGTACAATCCACCGCTGTTCCTCAGCAGTAGCACGATTGTAAATACGCTGCAGAATTCTGGACTGAACGTCCCTGTGCGCTGTTGTTAGCCATAGAGCATGTCAAATATCATCGTGCGTACTGCTTGCCAATGTTCTTGGACAAATCATCCAGAATTTCGTTCAAATCATGGACTGATAGGCTTCCCTCGACGACCGAAGATCTCTTACTCACAACCTCGTACAAAACTGTGGGAAAGTCGCCAGAGCTTTTCTAAAGGAAAACTCAACGGATCTGCTGAAGTCACGTAATACAATATACAAACATTTTTTTCGGTGGGCTTCTTCCAGTTGAGCAAGCGGATCGCATCTGGATCTCTTATGCCGAGTGGGATCAGCTTGATGTAGGTCTTCGCGAGGTTCTTCTCCTTCAGGCCATACACAGCGCGCTCACGGTCTTTCTGCTCACACTTTCAGCTTACCCGAATGATTTTGCAAAGTAACAGCAAACATGCCTGTGGAAGCACCAGGCGGAGAACGGGATAAAGATCATGCCCAATTTCTTCTCTCCAATGCTGACGCCACAGATGTGTCAGGACTGGTTTTGTTCGTAGACAAAGACATACGTTGAACCAGACATCCAAAAGTCGTCGTCTTCGTTCAGGCTTTCTTTCTGTCGATAATTTCTCAAATAGCCCAGCTAGCACTGAAAAGGGAGCACTGCCATTGTTTTGCGGGGGAGGTGGGTAAACTGTAATTTCTTCATCGTGAATCGGTCCTGGTGAACCTGGAGGCGATGTTGGTGCAGGCGTGGGCTGCATCATTTCGTATAAAATTAAGAAAGGAGAGATATTGCTCTTGGTTGTAATAGTGCTTCGAAATCTTTAGAGAGTTCAACAAGAATGTTAAAACGCGTGACTTGAACTAATGAGCGTGTTATTTGTTGCTGTTGGGCCACTCTTTCGTTGCCCAAGAATCTCTGTCAGCCTCCCAATACTCTTCTTCTTGACTGACAACTATGGACGACGACGACTGTCCGAGGCTTCCACGGCGGAATCGTACCGAAGACGATCCAAAGATGATTGGACTATGGAAGGTCGGCAGGACTATCGGCAAGGGAAGCTCAGGTATCTATTTGGGTTGCTGCAAACCTATGCGCTTTCACTGATCCCAACTAGGCCGCGTGAGGATCGCACGACATTCAAAAACAGGACAATATGCCGCAGTAAAGATTGTATCGAAAAACATTCTCATGAACTCTATCACCAAGCTCGTCGACTCCGCGGAGCATATGCTTCTCAGCATCGAGCGCGAAATCGTGATCATGAAGCTCATCGACCATCCAAACATAATGCGCCTTTACGACGTGTGGGAGACCTCAAGCGATCTCTATCTTATTCTTGAGTACGTAGAGGGTGGCGAGCTCTTCGATTATCTGTGTAACAAGGGGCGGCTATCCACCTTCGAAGCATTGGGATATTTCCAGCAGATCATCTCTGCAATCGACTATTGTCATCGACTCAACATTGCACATCGAGATCTGAAGCCTGAGAATCTTCTCATGGATCAAAACAAGAATATCAAGGTCGCAGACTTTGGTATGGCAGCTTGGCAGGCTAGGTCCAAAAACGGATTACTTCAGACAGCTTGTGGGAGCCCTCATTATGCGGCCCCGGAAGTCATCATGGGGAAGGAGTACAATGGACGCGCTTCTGATATCTGGTCTTGTGGCGTGATTCTATTTGCCTTGCTTGTGGGACGCCTTCCATTCGATGATGAGGACCTACCAACACTGCTGGATAAAGTCAAGTTGGGAAAGTTTGATATGCCAGCTGGGATCGATCTCTTGGCCAAGGATCTTATCACGAAGATGCTGCAGAAGGACGTTATGAAGCGTATCACCATACCTGAAATTCTCATTCACCCGTTCTACCTTTCAAAAAAGCCAAAATCTGTCGACGCGAGCACGCCGAGACTCATTGATATAGCAAGACCTCTTTCTGATCTTGAAGAAATTGATCAAGATATCCTCGCGAACCTCCGCACGCTTTGGCACGATACATCCGAGCAGGACATCAAAGCTAGCCTCAAGAGCTCTGAGCCAAACTGGCAGAAAGGTGTTTACCGACTGCTCACCAATTATCGCGACAAACACTTGGAAAATTACGATGAGGAAGATGAGATGGTGCACAGGAATACGCGTAGGAAGAAATCAACCGGAAATGACCCTCAGGGCATGACCAGGACTGCATCCAAAACACCCTACCTGGCACGCGCGCCTTCATTTCTTCCCCCTCGCGCAGCTCCTCCGACCCCGCGTAGGGCAGCTGGTCGAACGCTTCACAGTGATGATAGAGACTACATACAGCTAGGCGCTCCCCGTATAACTCTCTGTTCGCCGACACCACCACGTCCAGGGGCTGACGTCCGCTCTCCTTTATCATCATATATAACATCCCTAGCATCACCTTCATCGCCCACGCCTGGTTCTACAAATTTGCCCGTGATTGAAATCCCGGAGCTCAAGGATAATAAGATGCAGCATTTCTTCCAGCAAATTGTAGAGCATCTTAATGCAATGGAGGCGCGCACTGCAGACACACCCCGTCTTGATCCTAGCAAAACCTCAGCTCTACCCACGCCCGTAAACATCGAATTTGGCAAGCGTCAGAAAGGCAACGCTGTGCAGACCAGAAACTATTCATCGCAACAGGAGATCATATCCGACGCAGATATGAGTCGCGAACGACGAAGCCAGTTCGGAGATGTTCACAAGGAGAATATTTCTCTCAGTGTTAGTGGACCCGGAATCGTCAAGAAGTCGTCTCTGCGGACCAACGATGCTGACAGACGGCCTGCGCTCCGTGTACAAATCGTTGAGCCACCGCCCAACAAGCTACGCAAGAAGGGCGGTGGCGACACCCCGGCCGCCGTCTCACCCGCGTTTTCTGATAGCTCATTCACTCTTCCCGCAACACCACGACGGCGTTGGCTTGATAGTGTTTTCAAGTTCAAGCCAGTAAAATACCACCTTCTGTCCACTCACGACGGGTTCACATCACGTGAGGAGTGCCGTCGAATGTTAGTGAACATGGGCGTTCGCGTAATCCTCACGCATGCGGAGCATTCAGGTGTACTCAAGTGCAGAACAGATGAGACGAAGGATCCATCTGGATTTTTTCCAGCGTTGAAGTCGGTGCGATTTCGCGTGGAGGTGCAGAGGCCGACGCCTGTGCAAATCACTGCTGGATATCAGATCGCCCTACACTTGATACTGGAGAGGGGCGCATTGTCAAGCTTCCAGGTGATTTATCAAAGGCTGAAAAGGAACTGGGAACTGGACATTCCACGAATGCTGATGACACCAAATAGTCCACTTTTCACGCTCACAGAAACCGAGATGGGAGGGTACGAGTTTAGCGAGAGGTTGGTGTACGCTGATTAGGTTGCTGGTACGATCTATAAGACATACAAAATTTTATAGTAGATACCGCCCATACTGGTATTCAAATTTTGTGCCTTGGCTATGAGAGTGGACCATCCATCGTCATCATCGTACTTGCAAACTGTGATGGTGGTTCAATGAGGAGTGTGTCATCACGATCAGTGACCATGACTTCATCGATGGCTTGCGGAAGAACTGATTCTTTGAGGGAATGGTGTTCCCCTTGCCTTGATACGACTGCAGACGTAGGATCTACACTGCTGATTCGGATGAAACGTAGGATTCGGATGTAAGCGACTTCCGTCTGATCCCATTTGCGGAATAGCTCAACGGTAGCTTCATGTGTAAGATCGGGCACATCTGCGCAATACGATCAACAAGGTATACCAGTATAACAATCAATCTTACCTATTCCTGTGCGGTATTGTTCTGATTCACGGAGTTTGATCTCCTCCAGCTTCAACTCCTTAGTACTTTTTGGTCGGCCCTTGCGGCGAGCATTTCTCTCCTGCTCAAGCTCATCGTTGTGGCGTGTTAACCATACATTACTAATAATAAAATGTAGCTCTTCGAGGGAGAGCGTGCCTTCTGGAGGTATTGCATGATAGAAAAATCCGTATACATCGGCTGAGATTCACCGCATGAGAAGATAGGATCAATACAACACGGGATACACACCCTGGGCAGAGTGCTTCTTTGTTCGCTTTGATGCTGCGTCTGCGAGTTTTGCATTTCGCAGTTGCACCCGGCTCAGCTGACCAGCCTTGCGGGAGTCTGGGTGAAAGACTTTTTCTTTCTTTGGCCTCGAGGTGCCTTTGGGTGCTTTGGAGGGAGCCATGGAGGTGGTAGTACTGCAGACTCTTTCGCAGGTGAGCATGCAAGATAATAATATCTATTGATTTCCTTTCTGGGATAAACAAACTTGTCTTTGGAAGTGCTCCCTCACCGTGACTGCTAGGAGACCCGTAAGTCAAATTTTCTCATCTAGTCATAGCGGTAGATCTAAATGATCTCCAAACAGGCATTGACCCCATGTCGTCTAAAGAGGCAGACAGAATTAGTGCTGCCCAGCAGACCCTTGACAGTGTGTTATTAAAGTTGCACATGCGCCGTATTGCAACCTCATGAGTGCGGTTCACAGCCCTCTACGAGATCTCCCAGCTGCTTAATACACAGCTTGATAAGGAGACGCTCGCGACATGTGTGGGCATGATTGAGAGTGGTGTCAACCCAGAGGCCCTTGCAGTATGCTGATATCCGAGTGATCTAGAAGCAATTTTATGACTGACAATCACACATGCAGGCTGTTATCCAGGAACTGCGTCGTGAAGCAGCTACCGCACAGAACGTACACTCTGACGTGCGTTGAATTGTTAGTATGAGCATGCAAAAGTTCTCATATCCCGGATGGCCGTCGGGTCCGAGTGCATGTACCAGATCTTTTTTTTATCGCGGTTGTCAATCAAGCAGAGTCTCCAGAGCAGTTGTGCCACATATAACCAATTGAACTCGCCCTTCGAGTAGTCACAGGGCTTGATATGTAACTTTGACTTTGTTCTGAACCTACCTGTCTTGTAGACTTGCAAGAACACGTTTGAGCCAGTTTGAACTCAGTTTGATGTGACATGCCGTTGCTGCCGTGCCAAAGAGCTTTGGCAAGCGTTAAATTTATACCACCGCAAGGCAACTTCGGCCACTCTTCTTACTAGTGGCCTTCATCATCAACCTCCTCGACGTCCTAGCACTGTTCACGACGTCTGGGCTACCTTACTGACACTCTTTTTCTTCTTGACACCCGCTTCCCCAGGCATGCAGCCTTCACAGTTGGAGATTCAGCGCGAGGTCGAGGCTTTGCGAGACATAAGGCGGCGTTCTACAGCACAAGGCGGTCCAGGTGCCCTTATTCTTGATCCTGATCTTCCGAACCCATCGTCTCCAACTTCACCAACATCCAGCTACTGGACTGCCACTGCGCCCCAGCAGTTACCAGATGGTGACTCGAGCAGCAGCTCTCACGAAGGAAGCTCTAGCTCAGAGGAACGAAGCGTGGGCTTAGATGATCCTTTTCATCTTTTCTGGGTGCCAGCTCGTTATCATCCCGAAATCGACCCGGGCCAGTTTAGCGCTTTTCTCAAGGAACACGCACGTACTCCACCCTCAGATGGCGCTGGACTTCTTCGATCAGGTTCTTTGAGCATCCCTTCCACAGGTTTGGGACGGAAACGTTCAATGCTCAGCAGGCAGTACAAACCATCAGAGAATGACCAGGCTGAGGACGAGGATGAGAAGATTGTCCCTTCGCGACCAAATCGCACACCTCTCGCAAATGCACCACAGCTTACTATCAGCGACTTACAAAGGCTGGAAACACTGGCAGAAGAGGCCTCAAAGAGTGACGATTCTACAAAACTTAGGAACGTGCTCAGGCGAAGTTTAAGCCTTAATGTGTCACCTTCAGGTCAGTATGCAGAATAACTTCCGGTTGTCCTTAACATCTGCTCAAGACCCTTGTCTTCAGCCATGGACAGGATGGACGACATCCCTGACATGCCAGATGAGGCCGATGCACCTATCATCGTTCCTCCTCCTGGCCTGATTCTTCGCCGAGCTGCGCGCACTAAGATTCGCAAGACCACCTTACCTGGTGATGGTGGTGGCCATCGGTTTGGGTCCGGACGCAGGCCTCGTGCTGCCACACAGGCAGAACCACGTACTTCCAGTGACCTGTCTTCCAGTGATCATGTCTCGTCAAGTGATCACGGTGATGTCACAGAAACAGGTAGACGACCTCGTGCCCTTTCTAACGAAAGCATAACAAGTGATGGCCATACTTCACAAACTGACGTGCTCATAGATGAAACACTCATCCTCGAAGCATACCTTTGTGATGTACCTGATAATGAAGCTCCTTCAATCTTATCGCTAAACTCCGATCCCCCATTATTATCATTTTCCCCAGCACATGACGAGCCTCCACCGACCCAAACAGAACCTAGCCCGGACACTTCCACCAATTCGATAGTTTTGCATCATCCTCAGCCCCAGAGACTTACTCTGACAGGCCCTTCTGAAGAGTCGTCTCGAACGCCATCCCCCGATGCATCTACCTTAGCATCTACCGAAGCTATTGCGGCATCTGGATTCCCCCAAAAGGCCCCAAGCCCCATGCCGAAGAAGGATAAGGACCGCAAGGGGCTGTTCAAGTGGGGCAGTGACAAAGGCGGGAAGAAGAACGGCAAGGATAGGGAACGCGAGAAGGAAGTGCAGCGAGTGGAAAAGGATAAGGAGGGCGGGTTCTTCGGGTCCTTTTTCAGCAGCAAGAAAAAGGGCGACGAGCAGGCATCTCAGCCGCATCAATACGGGTCTGGGCGAGAGGCCGCTACTGCCTTGCTCGGCCAGTCAAAATCCTCAAAACAGTACGTTCCTTCGCCATCACCACAGCTGCCAGGCGGGCAGGGCACGTACGCTCGATATCCCATCCATGTGGAGCGTGCGATCTATAGACTAAGCCATATCAAGCTGGCAAATCCTCGAAGGCCGCTGTACGAGCAGGTTCTCATCAGCAATCTGATGTTCTGGTATCTCGGTGTCATCAACAAGACGCAGAACCCCGCGGCGACTCCTGTGGCGCAAAATCAGTCAGCTGCTGCCGCCCCGACCACGTCCAATCCTGACAATGAACAGGTAGAAAGAGTGAGTGAATGTCGAGAAGCGGAAGAGAGGCAGAGGGTTGAGAATGAGCGGCTTGAGAGAGATAGGGAGATTGAGCGTGAAAGAGAGCTTCAACTTCAGCAGCAGCAGCAGCAACCACAGAAAAAGGAGTCTTCAAGGAGAGGCGCTCTTACAAAACCCCAGAGTGGATCGCAAGGAGCTCGAAGGGTTGCCGAAATGCCAATCAAGGGTCCCCAATACGAGATGCAGCATAGAGAAATGGAGCAACAGTACAATGGAACCAGCTACGGATATGGTTCCTCGTCTCCGACGCCACTTGGTGGCGGTCCACCGAGGATGCAGCGACAGTCAAATCCGCCAGTCCATTCGCCCCAGATTGTCCAGCCACAGTCGACAAATTACATATACCCCGGGTACTCGGGGCCTGGAACGGCAGATCAACAACAGTCTCCACCTGACACCATGCAGCCTACTGAGTCATGGACTTCGACATCCAATTCTGGAGCTCCGCCCCTGTCACGTACGCGATTAACTCCGTCACCCCCTCCTAATCATGCTCCAAGTAATACTTCTCAGCAAGCTCCTGCACGCCGTTCGCGATCTCCTCCAGCCCAAAATCATAACAGATACTCTCCGAATGCGTCACCTGCTGCCACTAACCGTGTTCAAGCCACCCGGGCCACAACACGTTCATTATCTGCGACTGCGACTACGGGTGCCATTTCTCCAGTCCTCCCCGCTGAAGCAAAGACCAGGAAGGTGACCAGTGCTCATGCTGTTATGTCAACGCCACACAACAGAAGACCAAGAGCACATGCAGAACCTCCACTTCCGCCTCGCACAGAGCGGGGCGAGGAGGAAGACGTTCCCCTAGCAGTGTGGCAACAACAACGCCGAAAATGATCGCTAACTGGTTAATGTGAGTGCAGGTATCTTTGGTTGATACATGATCTTTCGCTGACGATATCATTAATAAGTTTGACCAAATTCGCTCTTCTGCCTCCCACTTGCTAGTTGCTTTTATATCTCCCTGAGCTTGTAAACCTGACGATGGTCCTAGTCATGTAAGACCTATCATGTTCAGGATATTCTTGGGATAAGTCGTTTACCCATTGGACAATTTACCATACAGTACTACTGCTTTATTACCCCAGCATTACGTTGTATTTGCGTCGTTCAGCAGAAGGACCGCGGCATCTTCCTGCTTATACTTTCGTTGTATTCACAGTGGACTCGTAATCAAGGATCTATCTGAATTTGGACGATAGTAGTTCTTTTTGAAGTCGCTTTCTCGGCGCAAGGGTACTTTTCAATACGCTCAATGTGAGAAGATGTGCCTGTGATATCGGCCCGGCGTGACTGTACTTACTACTTAGTCGTCGCATGATCAGGTCGTTAACTTTCAGCGATCTCAATGCGTGAGGAAACGGATCGTATGGGGTTGCTCATATCCAGGCTGTTTATATTTTAAAAATACGCTGCACGTTGAGAAACTTTGCAAGGGTCAACGATTCAAATCACTAGTTGAAACACAAAGGTTATCATATAACGGCCGGGAGGACAGTAACACATCGTGTGAATTCTTGAGGGGAAGGTTCCAATCTGACGTCACTAGTACAAACCATGTATATCAAGCTCCCAGCTCCGCTTCATATTGCATATCTGATTTCTCTACCAGCGCACTCACTGGTGTTATGGCCAAGGCATCGGAGGAAGTTGATAGAGTGGCACAGAAACAAGTCCCATCCCTTCTACGTATACAGCTAAAACAGACAGATTCAAGCACATCCCACGCACTCGATAACGATGCAGTTACGCCAAAGACACCAGCAGATCAAGGAAAGGAGTTCTTTCTCAGCGAACGGAACATAGATGAGCGGCCAATATGCGTTTATGAGCTGAGATTGGATCCCGATGGTGGGCCTAACAAAAATCAATCGGTGAGTGCAACTGGTGTCACTGAGCGAGTCATCACAATCAAGTTAAAATCATGTAGTATATCCGGCTTCCGCCAGCATATATTCCATATATATTGCGCGTCTCTCTTGACGCAGGCACACCAGCTTCAAAGAATGGTGTATTCAAGACCAATTTCCCATTGGATGGCGGGGTATTCGAACGGAACAAGTTTGTTGAGCGCAAGTGAGTCTCACATACGTATTCAAGACATGCTCAGGTCTTTAAACCTTTTATAGGCTTCCTAGTAATTTCTCCAAACCTATTCAAGTAGATTTGCCTATCTCTCATGCGGGAGCATTCAAGTATTGGGTCGAGTATGATGGCGAAGTTCCTGGAGAACGTGCTAAAGGGAGAGAGGGCTACTTTAACATAGACCCAATCTTGCGCACCAAAGCGCGATCCCCGATTCTTTCGTCAGACTTGAAGCCGCTGACTCCTGCGCAGGGCGGCGCAGTTCTTTCACCAGAGATCGTATACTTACCTCTAGACGGCCTGGCTATACTCACTGTTGTTTCAAAATGGATGGGCCCGATTTTCAAGTGGCGAGAACATTTCGCCGAGGCAGGCGATCGTGGTTATACCATGTTGCATTGGACACCGCTACAGGAACGAGGCTCGAGCGGCAGCCCATACTCTATGAAGGATCAGAAACATTATGATCCCTCCATTTTTGTGGGCAGTGTTGATCCAGCTACTATCGATGCTCAGGTCGAGGAGATTTTGCGTGTGGCGAAAGAGGAATATGGTCTACTAAACCTGACCGATGTCGTGTTAAATCACACTGCTAGCGACAGTCCCTGGCTTGTCGATCACCCAGAGGCTGGTGAGTAACAAGACCAAATTACTGGAAATCGCAGACTGACACTCTTCCAGGTTACAGTCCCGTAAATACCCCCCATCTTATTTCTGCTTTCGAACTCGATACCGCGATCCTGGAATTTTCTTCGTCTGTTGCGTCAAAGGGCTTCCCTGCACGAGTCCGATCTGAGGCAGATATTGACGTGCTTATGACTGGCCTGGCCGAATCCATCAAGGCCTATAACATGTGGCAGTTCTATGTCCTAGATGTTGAGCGGGAGAAAGAAATGGTGAAAGATGCCATAAACAGTGGGAAAATTGTACCATGGAAGGGCCCCGACGTCGCCGGAAAATCTGTTGATGCACTGGCCGAAATTGTTAAGACCTCATATGTTGTTTCAGGTCTCAATGAACTAGGTTCGCGCTATGGCGCTCGCACAGACAGCGAGATGGCAGCAGGACTCCTCAAAGCAGCGTTTGTAGACATCGTAAACGATGTTGATACCCTGGTGGAAGTTTGGGGTCGCGTGGTTGACGTGATCAATGTTCCCCTCTACGAGGAGTGGGAAAAGGACACGAAGATTGCCCTAGATAATATGAAGAATCGCCTCAAGTACACTCGGCTGGAGGAGAATGGCCCAAAGCTTGGTGACATTTCAGCGAGGTAAGCAACCGAAAATATATCTTAACTGTACCTATGGTAATATGGGGGCAGCTGTCCTCTTGTAGAGCCATATTTCACTCGATTAACGCCGCCTTGTCCGTTTGACAAGGGGAAATATAGTGTCGCCAATAACGGTTGGATATGGGACGCGGACCCACTTCAGAATTTTGCCCTTCCACCGTCAAAAGCTTACCTTCGGCGCGAGGTCATTGTATGGAGCGATTGTGTAAAGCTTCGATACGGGTCGGGGCCGGCTGACAATCCATGGCTTTGGGAGCATATGATATCCTATGTAAAGACGCTCGCAGCCACATTCGATGGCTTTCGTATCGATAATTGTCACTCAACACCGGCTCATGTTGGTGTTGCGATGCTCGATGCGGCTCGTGTCGTCAATCCAGATCTTTATGTCTGTGCTGAACTTTTTACGGGTAGCGAGGAGATGGATCTACTATTCGTACAGAGGTTGGGCATTAACAGTCTTGTAAGGGAAGCAGGTAACGCTTGGGATCCAAAGGATTTCTCAAGAGTCATGTATAGATTCGGACTTGGAAAACCGCTTGGTGAGTCATACAGGTCATTATGTAGCGTAGTGGGTGATGATGTACCCATTATAGGATCTATGGATAGCGTGTGCTTGACAAACATGGAAGAACTCGATCCTCCTTTTGGAAAAGGTCCAACGCGTTCGTGTATCGTCAGCCCTTTGAAGGGCTCCGTGCCTCATGCACTCATGTACGATCTCACGCATGACAACGAGTCTTATCTCGACAAGCGTTCTGCAGAGCATGCACTGTCCGTCGCTGGCATTGTCGCATTTGGTTACTGTGCAATTGCTTCAGTGAAAGGTTTTGATGATCTATATCCGAAGCTACTGAATCTTGTCGAAGAAAAGCGGCAGTATGAGTTAACCTGGCTCGGCGAAAATTCGGGCATCGCAAGGGCAAAGAGATTGCTGAATGGCTTACATCGGGAGATGATTATGGGTGGATTCGAGGAGGGCCATTACTGGCAAGAGGGTGATGTAAATATACGATTTTGGCTTTCTTTCGTGCCGCTACTAACAGTCGACAAGTATATCCTCGTTCAGCGGATGCATCCAACCACCCAGAAGGGTTACCTGCTCATTTCCCATACTGCGTTCTCAAAGGGCTCAAAAGACCGCGGCATCGGTACGTGCTACTATACGATTTATATGACTTACTCTGACCAATTAATAGTGAACACTATCGAGTTGTCTCGTACCAGAGCTCGATTCGTGTATGGCGCTTCGATCGAGTTTTCATCTTACGAAACGCCATATGATTCCAACACAATCCGAGGGCTTCCCGGGAAGCTGGTTGAAATTTCCGACGTCGTCGTCCCACAGATATCGCACGATGTTGCGCCGTTCTGCAGGATCACAGTTCCAGACTACTTCCCGCCCGGAAGTATCCTCATTTTTGAAGTCGAGGTTCAGAACCTCGACGACGAGCTGGATACCTTCTGTGCCTCGGATGCAGACAAAGCCTTTGGCAACTTGGACCCTGTGGATTTGAACGTTGTATTATATCGTGGTGATGGTGAAGAAAGGGATGCGACCAGTGGCGCGATTGGTGTCTATGATGTTCCAGGCTTTGGTAAGCTGACTTATTGTGGGCTGGAGGGATGGATGCATCCTCTTCGACACATCACGAGGTCTAATGATCTTGGACATCCACTCTGCGAGAATTTCAGGCAAGGACTTTGGGCGCTCGACTATATCTATTCAAGACTGCAAAAGTAGGTGGCTATTTGCTCGTTTGCATCTGGTGTAGCTGATGTTTTCTCACCAGCCAAACAATTCAATTTCCGAAACTTGTGCAGCCTGCGCAGTGGTTCAAAGAGCGGACAGAGCGCATCAGGGTCTCTGCTCCTCCTTATTTGCGTCCAAAGTACTTGGCCATCCTGATATCCACTGCATACAAAGCCGCTCGCCATACAGCGCTGGAACAATGCTCCGAGTTCGTATATACAGGACATGATTTTACACAGAACCTCGCGATGTGCGCCATTCAGATGCATGGAAGGGTACAGTCCGCATCTCTTGATCCGGCCAAATCTACTCCATCGCTGGCAGCAGGACTGCCGCATTTCAGCACAGGATGGGCACGTTGTTGGGGTCGCGATGTCTTCATCTCTTTAAGAGGGCTGTTTTTGACTACAGGCAATTTCGAGGACGCCAGAAAACATATTCTCGCTTTTGCGTCGACTTTGAAGCACGGATTGATTCCCAACTTATTGGATTCCCTCAAAAAACCACGGTACGAATAAGCAGGCAATCGCGCGAAATAATTTTCATTGTTGGATGCCTTCTCAGATACAATTCGAGGGATTCACCATGGTGGATGTTACAAAGTATACAAGATTATGTGACAAGCGCACCTGATGGTCTGTCGATCCTGTTGGAGCCGGTGAAACGTAGATTTCCTGCAGATGATACTTGGGTAGCATGGGACGATCCACGCGCGTACACATACACGAGCACTCTTGCTGAGATCATCCAAGAAATCCTCCAGCGTCATGCAAGTGGAATCACATTCCGCGAGTATAACGCTGGCCCCGATCTTGACATGCAGATGAAGGAGGAAGGGTTCGACATAAACATTCGAGTCGATTGGAAAACAGGGTTTATCTTCGGGGGTAACAAGCACAATTGTGGTACTTGGATGGATAAGATGGGAGAATCTGAGAAGGCGGGCACGAAGGGGGTTCCTGGGACACCGAGAGACGGCGCGCCAGTCGAGATCACTGGTTTGCTGAAAAGTACCCTGCGATGGCTCGACACACTATCGAGTTTTGGAAGTTTCCCGTTCAAGGGTGTTGAAGCGATAAGTAGGATTTCTTGTACTGACTCATTTTGTGGCCCACTAACGTAACCATTTGAAGTCAATGGGCAGAAAACCTTTGTTTCCTACAAGACCTGGGGTGACCTCATACAGGAGTCCTTCGAAAGATGCTACTATGTTCCCCTGAGTAAGACTAACAGTTATTTTTGTCATTGTACATCATTCTTATTCTTAAGCAGACGCTGGTGATGACTCACGCTACGATGTGAATCCTGCTATCATCAATAGAAGGGGGATTTACAAGGATGTGTATGGTTCTGGCCCAGGTCGAGAATGGTCTGATTACCAGTTCAGACCAAATTTCCCGATCGCGATGACTGTAGCGCCAGAGCTATTCTATCCTCAGCATGCTCTGCACGCCCTCCGCCTTGCTGACCAGGTTTTACGAAGTCCACTTGGCATGAAAACCTTGGACCCAAGTGACATGCAATATCGGCCTCAATATGACAACTCTAATGATACTACGGACCGGTGTGTTGCAAAGGGACTGAACTATCATAATGTAAGTTTTGAGTGATGCATTGAGTCATGTTATGTGTCTAAGTGGCGTGCTTTTTCTGAAGGGCCCTGAATGGGCTTGGCCGCTTGGATATTTCCTCCGCGCTTACCTCTACTTCGACACACGATTTGGTGTAGGTAAAGAGGTTAGTACAGACTTTCACGGGCGGTCACAATCTCTGGGGCTAACAGATACTGGCAGGATGCAACTCAGACCCTTCACTATCTTCACAAAATTCTGCTCACTCCTAAGCATCATATCCAGACTGACTCTTGGGCTGGCATCCCCGAGCTGACAAATAAAGATGGGCAATACTGTGCCGATTCGTGTAATACCCAAGCTTGGAGTGCCAGCACGTTGCTAGACTTTTTGAAAGAGGTTCAAGAAATGGCATTATCGTGTAAGTGACCACGAGAATAACACATTTGTGATAGATGTAGGAAATATATGTAGTTGAAAAGAAGTGTCAATCGAACTTTACTCTATGGTCATATGTGTCAGCTCTGGGAAGCGTTCGATAGAGAAGCACAGCAATTTACGTTGAGATTGACTGGCAGCAGGTGGTCTGTGTATGGTCATGTTTGTTGCGGGGAGATGGCTTGTAAGTCTTGATTCCAACTTTCGCAATCAGACTCATCAGCTCGCTGAGAGCTCTCCTCTCTTTCTTATGTCTTTCTTTGGGTTCGAAAGAAGCAGTTTAGAACAAGAAAAGAAGAAATTTTTGGAAGGAGGCTTCCAAGAAACCGAGGACCTTGCAGTCTACACCTGGGGTGAAGAGAGCTATGACGGGCTAGGAGATGCACTCCTCGAGGGAGGTGATGAACTCAATGATGAGACCTTTGGAGAGATAGGTGCTGTCGGTGAGATGAAATCATCATTAGCAATAGCAAAGGAGTGACAATAATTTCTGCTGCAACCAGGCAAAGATTTCGATTTTACGAGTCAAACTCTCCCTACCTCCATTGGAGCTACACATGGCAGATTCACGCCTACTGCAGAGCCTTTCAGAGAGCGGACGCCTGTGGTTGAACGAGCAGAACCTGCGTTAAAGTCCCGTGATCGAGGTATACGGTCAGATATGTCCAATCAGTTTCGGTTCTAAACGTTCTTCGTCACAGGGCTTTCTCCAGCTCCAAAATCCCTTGAGTCCATATGGGATGACAAGTCCTCATTCTCCATGCTTTCTCGTGCTGCAGGTCATCAGCGTGTGCCCTCCAATTTGATGAAATCTCCGTTCCCGCCCTCAAGATCCCCGGCACTCAATATATACGCGGACCATCGGCCTCTCAGTCAACAACAGCCCATATCTCATGGTATCAACCAGACAGGTGTTCGCACTTTACAGGAGATTGAGGCTGAAATGCGGGCTGCTCAGCAGAAGCGCAAGCAGCAAGAAGAGATGCTTCTGCAAGTTCACCTGCAGCAAGAGTTGCAAAGAGAGGAAGAACTTCGCAGACAAGAAGAGTCACGCAGACAAGAAGATTTTCGCCTTCAAGAACTCGAACGGCAAGACCTGCAGAGGCTTCAACAGGAAAATTTACTTGCAGACCGCATGCGAGCTCGTTTGGAGCAAGAACAGCAGCTTCGCTTGCAACAGCAAGCCCGAATGCCCACCCCGCGGGTGGTTCCTCATCTTGCACCTTCCCCTCGTTTCAATCAGCAGCATCAACACCAACAGCAAATACTCCTCCTACAACAAGAGCAGGAGCGTCAACAACAGGAGCGATTAAAGGAGCTCCAAGAGCGCCTCCGTATGGAAGAACTAGAACGGCAGCTTCGCGCACAGCAACTATCACAGTTGCAGCAGCAACAACCGAATTTGCTCGCACGCAGGCAGTCTCCTTACGCTGATACACAGCGTCGCACGCATTCTCCTGTCATCGACTCTCAGTATGTACTCTTCAATCAGCAAAACACTCAGTATATTCCCCAGAGCATCCAACTGCAACAGAGACTTTTGTCAGAGATGGCACAAGTTGAGTTCATGCGAGATATGCAGGGCATCAGTCAGGCTGAGCAAGAAGCGTTGCGGGTTGAGGCCATGCGTAAGATCATGGAAACCGAGCGGATGGAGGAGAGGCGCCGTCGCAAGGCCGCCAAGATCGCACATATGGTGATGCCCGCAAATCCGTCCACTTTCCTCACGCTCATGACAATTTGCAGTCTCGCTACAATGATCTGATGACACAATCTGACAAGGATTTTATTACTCGCATTCAAGTATCGCAGCTTGTTACGCAGGATCCCTATGCCGAAGACTTCTACGCTCAGGTTTATGGTGCTATTCTTCGTTCACGATTGGGACTCCAATCACAGGATGAGCGCGTGATCAAATTTGGCTCCAGTGGCGGCGTTGGTCTCGGTTTAGCACAAAAGGGTAGTGGCAGAAGGCAGAGTGCTATGCAAAAGATGGAAGCGCAGGTCGAACGGATCGTTAACAACGCACGACTTAGGGAGAAGGAAAAGGGATTGCACTGTACGTCTTTGACGAGGTTTTTCTCTTTGTCTGATGTTCAGCGTTTCGAAAGCTTTGCACAGTCTTCAGGGCGCTCTTGGTAAAACATCTGGCCGTAGCTACAAGGCTGCACCGCGACAGCTTCTGCAGGTTGATGCCTCTTCAGCAACTCCTACCATGTCTGGTACCCATCCTCACATATCAAAGGAGGGTGGAAACGGTGCTGCGCAAGAGGCTGCGAAGCTCGGTCGTGAGGCGCTTGGACAAGCTGCTGGAGTGCGTGTTATGCTTTCATTCTAATTTTACGACCTGTTTACATTTGGGATCTAGAGCGATGGCGTGGTGCGAAAGGACCCACTCACCCAACGGCAAACCCTTGTTGTGTTGGAGGGGCTTTATGATCTGGTCCTGAATATCGAGCAACTCAGGCGAGACCAGCCTCTCGAAGAGGACGAGGAGGACGGGGAAGCTTTTGTCTCGTGGTATTTAATTCACTTATTTATCTTTGCGAAACAACACTGACAATATTTTAGGTCAGCGACATACAACGATCTCGTTGAGCAAATATGGATGAATTTGAAGGTCATGTTGCCTCTTGAAACGAGGTGGGTTATAGCATGCTTGGAAGTTCTTTCTTTCATATTGACTACAATCTCAGTGACCCCCATCCGTTTGTCTCTCTGCTTACCCCGGTCAAAGGGAAAAAAATTCTGCCGCGGCTCAGCCGCCACATTACACCACCTAGGATGCTCACGCTTCTTACGCTTTTGGTTGCCTGCTTCTCTCAGCTTGACGTCGTCAAGCGTGCCGCTGTTCTCGACTCACTAGAGGAAACTCCCGAACGTCAGGATATAGAGCGACAGACGCAAGCCTTTTTGGGAAGTGTTCTACAGAGTATCTTGCCTGTGGTCGCGAAGGCTGAGCTGAGGGTCATCACTGGGCTGCTTGGATTACTCTTAGATCGCACCAACATTATCGTCTCTGCTCAGACTCGGGTACGAGTGTTTTGTCTCATCATGCATGGGGTTACTTATCCATCACACTCAGCCTGGGATCGCCATCTTAACGTTGTTCTTGAGTCGAGTCGAGATAGTCAAACAGGGCATGAGTAGTGCGCAAGAATCCTCAGAAATACCAACGCCCGCAGAAGCTCAACAATGGTATGCAATTCTTCACCTCACAATGGTCTACTCTGATGTGATCGCTTGCAGGCAAACTATGTTTGATCACCTGTTTCAACTCTTGATGCCCCATTTCGTGCTCTTGTTTCCCTCGACTCGTCTCGTTGCCCAACCTCTTCCCACAGCAGCCTCCCTTCCTCCTACGGACATCCTTGACCAGCCCGTTTGGCAATTCCTCGCCGCGCTTGCACTGCACGCTTCTTCTGACCAACAATCTATTCTTGTCACCAACCTTCGCGAAAAAGTATTGGATATCGTAACAAGTGTCAGCAAGGGCTGGGTAGCGGATGAAGAGGAGCGACAGACAAAGCTAGCTAACGTCAACCTCTTCCTTCACGCGCTTGGGCTGGACAGTTCGCAGATATCGGTGTGAATCTGGTTGTGGTTTGGACCTCATCATGTATCACTATCATCGCTCGCGTCGTTAGATAAAATTACTCATGGTTTGTCACTCATGCAAGTAAAATGGGCTGCTCATTTACTTAATTACTTAGATTGAATAAAGTTTTGTCTCTGCCATAGTGCATACTGAAATGTCGAAATCTTTTACAAGACAACTTTTCCAACGGACAAACAACAAAGACTAGTGCGAGTCACCACACTGAATGCCTACCACTAAATGCTCGACACTCAAGTGAACTCCTGAAGACACATCAGCTCACGAGCATCGTAGGTCAAAGGGGTGGTAGCACTGCAGCCAGTAAGCTCCGTCCGACGCTTAGTGCCTCGTTCCAACAGTTCTGATACCGAACAGAGCTTTCCCACGAGATCTAGAACAGGTAAGGAAGATAATGAAGGGAGTTTCTGCCCTGGCAAGTCAAGCAGACCGGGGTAAAGTGGCATCGAGGCATTCGTCAACGGCATTAAGGGAAGCATGAACAACCCTTTCTTGCGGGAGTATTCCTCCTCTGGCTGGCTTTTGACATGTGAGCCAATCTCGAGGTGATTAGTCGACAGTGATGTGAAGTTGGCGTAGTTCGGGTAGAGCATAACATAGCCACGAAGATAGACTAGCTCGATAAAGTATTTCTTCCATGATTTGACCCACTTGTTGGAGCGGATGTCGGGAACGACGTTCTCTTGTATTTTCATAGAGTATTCGGAGAGGCGGATTGAGAGGTAGTCGTGAAACTCACGCCAGTGCTCTGGGAAGTAAACCGCACCCCAGCTGCAGGGTATCTGGGACAGGTATGGGGTACTAGGGTTCAGAATACCATCGGTGGTAAAAAGTGCCCTAGCATCGAAGGATCTCCGGCCTTCTGGCCTGAGCTCGATCATTTTTTGCTGGTAAAGACTGATGCCAAACACAGAGGGCGAGATGTTCTCGGGTCCACCATACCTCAAAAAATGTGTTGATCGTGGGAAAGCTTGCTAAAAATTCGTTGGTTGACTCACCGGTATCGCAAGACAGTCATCTTGATCCACGCAAAGAATAGGGGAGACACCTCGATGTCATCCTCAAGAAGCAAGCCATAAGAATTGTCAGAACTTGGGTACCATGACTCGACGACAGCAGGGAGGAGACCGCCATGTATGACCCTGTGGTGGACAAAGACGTCGCCATGAGGCCATTCGAAATCTTGTATGACCCTCAAGGTTTCGAGGTCGGCAGTTTGCTCCATATTGATACGTATTCCGATTCTTTCTCCAAAGTATCGAGCACTGGTCAAGGACGTTAGCAACCGTTGCAAGGAGTCAGGTCTATGATCGGTTATGACGCTGATGGTGATGTCGGGTATGTTCCAGTCTACTCTTGGTTAGATGTTATCGTCGAGAATGACTCTTGTTACTAACTGCGAAGTTCACGAAGGGTGAGTGAACCGATCCAATCGGAGTGTGATATGTCCGTTCGAGGCAATCTAATCAACGTGGTTTTACGGTAGGGCTCGTGTAGAAGAACCATCGTGAATGTGACAGACACAAAATCTTGAACATCCAAAGTGAAGATAACATCGGGCAAAGCACCCAAAGAATCTAGCCATTTATGCAAAGTCGGAGCGGTGTGAGAAAGGGTCGAGTACTGAAGAGTGCAGTTCTCAGAAGAACAATACATGGCATCGCTCGATGACGCCAGGTATAGTAAGACCGATATAGTATGACCGACGGATTGGAGTCTGCAGAGAACAGGCACGAAGGCATGGAGATCTTCTAGATGAGGAACGACCAGAACAAAATGACCCGAAGCTGATGCCGGTCGTTTTTGCGTACGACTGCCATTGTCCGCTGATAGAATCCCTGTCTGGTTGTGCTCTATCTGAATTTTTTCGAGGCATGGAAGGTGAAAATTTTGTTCGCAACAATTGCTGATATCGGATGGAAGAACTAACCCTCCTATCATCTCGATATGAGTCTTCGCAACGTGCATGCCAAAAGCAAGCCAAGGATCAGAATCAGCAAGATGTAAGAAAGTGCGAGTGAATAGATGGGTGGGTGCCACGAAGGGAGGGATGAGATATTCGGCAGGCTCGAGACGGTTAGTCGCAAGTATACGACTGGAATTGGCAGGAAACCGGAGGAAGCCATTAGGTCCTACTGGTAGGGAAATAGACAGTGGACAGAGTAAATAAGCTTGCTGTTCACTGTTGAGGCCTTGCAGACCATGGTTGTCGAGAACAAGAACCCATTCCGTTCTAATTCGAAACACAGCATTTGTAAGTGTACTGGTGTAGAACGAAGAACTTGTATAGGGTAGTAGTGAGATATTGGGGTGGTCAACGGTGTCGCTGTTTGATAGGATCTTCTCGAGTACCCGTCGCGCATCAGAAAGGATTGCTTGTGGGCAGATCAAAATGACTTCTCGAATGGTGTCGGAAGGAACGAGAAGTGGGGACAACAAAAACTTGAGATCTTCAAAGGAGTGTGAAAGAATTGGCATTATAGCTGTCAGAGAGTGGTTTTCGATAGGTGATGTAGACAAGTTCATTGGCGTGTGCAGAACGCCGCTGACCATGTGCGACACGTCCGATTTAGAATGATTCGGCATCCAGAACCACAGAATCGCAGTAAACAGACACAAGTAGAACAAAGGCTTGGTCCGTGGCAGTGGTACCTTGCAAGGAAATCGTTGCTTATTAGGTCTTTTGTATCGAGCCATCGTACCGGTTTGTAAAGGATCAGTTCAACAAAGTTGCGGTGAAGGCTGCTGGTGACTCGGACTGTGTATGTACTTGTGATTGTCATTGATTAATCATCATTCGGAGCTGAGTCAGCTGATTCAACAACTATTCTTCTTTGACATCCATCATGGCTTCGACATCGGACGCAGCGCTCAAGGAAGAAATAGCCCGTCTAACAGGTAAAATTACTTTTTTACTGGGATATCATTGTTGAAAAGTCATACAGGCGCCATCAATCAACATAAATCCGCTCAACAATCCGTTGGATCCTTCTCAGCCTCCAGGAGCAACGCATGTTTTAATCCAAGGTACAAACCGCCGGCATTTTATAGACCCTCCGAATACCAGAAACCAGCACCAAAGTACATCCGCTCTCCCACAAGACCACCCCATCCACCTCAGGCCTCGTCAACCCGCGATGTTGTTATCGATGGCGTGACTTTCGAATCGTCAACCAGATCTCTCGTGCGCAAAGATTGTGAGTTTATTTCCTCGTCAATATTTGGTTATAAGACAGTTGCACTCTTTGTAACCGCGGAATGCTTGATTACAGTGCCAAAGCCTCCATCTGCTCCACCTAAGGCTCCACTTCGATCGATTTCCCAGCAAGTAGATTTCTCCAGAACAACAACAGGGCACTTGATCCCGGCAGGCCGTGCATACAAGTCTAAGACCCCATCACGCGCTCGTCAGCGTCGGCCAAGAAACCGGAACATGACTCTGGATAACACTCGAGGTTCTGAACAGTCCGTCCACCGATCAAGTTTCTGCTACAGATTCAACCTGATGACATCTACTAGACGCAGACATAAGCGCGTGAAATACCTGGATAAACCCTGCCCCCGTTTCACAACTACAGGTGCGTGGCCAACCTCTTTTTTCACAGTACCTTTACTGAATTTGTACTCACCCAATACTCGTGTTGCAACAGGTGCCTGCAGCCGCGGTCTGACTTGCGTGTACCAGCATGATCCTAACAAGATCGCTATCTGCTGGAACTTTTTGCATGGCAACTGCTCCAGCACGGCTGAAACTTGTAACCTTTCACATGACCCGACCCCTGAACGGACGCCTCTCTGCGTGCATTTTGCCAACAACGGACGGTGCACTCGAGAAAATTGTCACTTCCCTCACGTCCGTGTGGGACAGCAACGCGGCGTGTGTCGCGACTTTGCAGTACTTGGTTACTGCGCCAAGGGCCTCGACTGCGATATGCAACATGTCAGAGAGTGCCCAGACTTTGCTGAGAAAGGAAGTTGTTCGACAAAGGGATGCAAGCTTCCGCACGTCATTCGTGCCAACCGCAACCGCAAGCCTCCAGCGCCAACAGCCTCATTGACTTCGGATATTGCTGCTGCTGCTACTTTCGCTGTCATTCCTGGTTCTGATACTAGTTCTGACAACGTTTTGAGTTCACAGCATGTCGCGGTCGAGGATGCCCGGCTTGGGGATGAGTATATTTCACTTATCTTCAATGAAAGTGAAGAAGAAAGCGACGCTGACGACGAAGATGATAACAGTGGTGAGGAAGAGGGCTTAAGCCCCACCGATGAAGTAGATGGTTGAGGTGACGGTCTATTGACCTGATTTCATTATCATCTCCTTTCGATGTACATATAACTTGAGCACATGTATACAATTTCTTGATTCTTAATAGCAATCCGTGCAAACTCTTCACTTTGCATACACTGGGGGCATGGACCAATTTGCCTATGCATCAAATTTTGAACCCAGCGTGATCTCAGACAGTTTTAGATCACACTTGGTTTTGATGGAAAATGATAACCAAAATTAAAATTTTGCCAGCATCTTCCTTAGTTTATATCAGCTTCACACATCCACCTACCATCTTTGACGGTTTTATCGATTTCCTCCCCCTCGTCATCGTCATCTTCTTCAAGGTCGCTATCGGACACATATCCATATTCATTGAGAGAAATCCCTCCCTCGAAAGTGTGATGGTCTTGGAATTCGGCCAAAGCAGGATCATTGAGTGTTTTTTCGGAAAACGCTGAAAGTGTCAGCTTGACTTGACTGAGCAGTCACAGACATGTTAAATGACTCACAGCTAGTGAAGTATTAGGGACGTTCAAAGTTGGGCGCCCACGCCCACCGCCCACGCCCATGACCCCTTCGCCCACGCGTCGTCACCTAAAATGTAGTTTGCATAATTAGATAATACAAAGTAATTCTGAAAATTTATTGGTTTGTTACCTTCACTCACCATCAATCAGATCTGCGCATATGGCAAAGAAGAAGGATAACGGCGTCACAATCCCGGAGATTGTCTGGACTGATGACTTGGTCTGGCAGCTATTGGCGCAGATTGAACTATTGGAGAACAGAGTCGTGCTTCTAGGCAAACGGAAGAAGGGCGAGGTAAGTGAGTCAAAGTTGTCATATATGATACGAGATATGATGTTTCTGTGTCAGAACACGTCAGGTGATAGCAAAGTGACGGTGTATCAGCGCATGGCGGCTGCCATTTTCCTGCAATTGCACAGCCAGAATGCTGTCGCAATGGGGGACCAAGTCAAACGAAAGTATGAGTAGTGAGTGCTGTGCTTTTCTCACTATTTTTCAGCTTACAATTCTGCTCAGCTTAACAAAAAAATACAAGGTGCATGCTCGACGTCTCCGAACAACTGGTGAAGGGGTCCAATCTGATGCGAATGGCAATGTCTCCGACAATGAATTTTTCGAATGCTATGTCCCTGCTGATGGACCCAACACAACCACAACTCCGAAAGCACAGTGTATTTGGGGTATGTTACTTATTTTCCGCCAGAATAATTCTAACATGACACAGATGAGATTGTTGAGCAATTCAAATTCTTTCCTGTTCTTCATCGAATCTTATCCTCTCGTCCGAATGTCACTCCAATAGCCATCACCACTGGTATCGGCCTGCATGGCAGGAAGACTGTGCACTACCAGCCTCCAAGTGATGACGAAGGGGGCGCCTGTGCATTGTTGGAATTATTGGAAAAAACCGGATGACCTTCAATTAGATTGAGCAGGGCTTGAAACGTCATTGGAGAAACACGGAGCATGTGAATAAAGCGATTATGATCAGATGGAGATTTTGCGTATTCCCAAGCAATGTGCAGGGTGCTGGCTTTTGCAACAGGGGAGCGCTCTTGTAGATAACGAGTTTGTTGAATAGCAAGAATGCAAGATAAGTCGCAATGCTGCTGTACTGCTGCCTCTTCGAGTGTCATATCTGGCTGACACAAAGTACGAAGAACCATAAGCAAGAGATATGAGTGAAGGTATTGCTCGCGTGATGTTCGGAGACGTGCCATTGAGTGTAATGTGGTTTCGGACAGTGTTAAGTTATCATTGATTATATAATACATTCGTTCAAGTACAAAATGGGTAGTGGTATATGGGCGAGGGGGGTCGTGGGCGTGGGCGCCCAACTTTGAACGTCCCTATTCTGAACACATAGCGAGCGCTTCGTGGTTGGTGAACAGTGCTCGAAGCTTGATAGCGTTGGTTTTAGACCTCGATCGCGCTGAGAACAGGTAAAATTGGGTGTTGTGAAGTTCCCCGATAATCGATTTTCCGCAGTAGAGCATGAATCCTGGCCTAGTTTCTTGGCATCGTAGAGCTAATGAGAACAGTCAATCGAGAGAGAAGATAGAGGAGACTTTGAAAATACCGAATGTGCGATTATGTGACAGGCCTATGGGTCAAAAAAAAGGTGAATTTGGCGTTAATCTTTCGAGACGACATGCTATATTATATGTGAATCAAAGGTCAAAGGGGAAGGCCTGGGAAATAAATGGAACATACACGTGCATGGGAGATGTGAAGGACAAAGGCGATGAATCGATGACGCAAATGATAATCAGCCCATGGTGATAACAAAGAGGATAAAGTCGATAAGGATTAAGTGCTGAGAATTTCAAATGTGAAATAGTGAAAAGGTGAAATAGGATTCGATGTCACTGATAACTGAATCTCGACGTGTGCTGCTAACCATTGACCACTGGAATTATTGCACCTAACAACAAAGGATGTACAACAGCCTAGAAATGCAAAACCTGCATCAAAAAACAGATACTTGGACATGCCTTACAGAAGGCATGCACCCCTCCCTCCATAGGCGAACAGACATAGTACTCACAATGAAATTCTCAATAGTATCCAGGTCTTCGACATTCGATCAAACTTGAATCTTGTAGATGTACACCATCCTTCCTGACAGTAATACTTGAGAAGGTTAAATAATATTTGGTTTTTGGAGAACAACCCTTCAAATTTCTTGGACCTGCATAATTATAAGCGACAATGTAAGAGGTACTGAACTGGACCATGCACATGTCTGCTTGGATTCCACTTCAACAACTCAAAGATTTGCCTCAATGCGCCTCAAGGATACCAATCTACACATCTGCTTTGCCTGTCCATTATGATCAGAGTTATTTGCCAAGGTGAAGAATGCAAAATGAACATCTAGAAGAGGTGTTGAACCCAAAAACCTCAACCATGGATATCGGCTCTTCTGAAGCACCCAAACATTGCATGCAAGATGGGGCGGAGGACCAAGAGCGCAGAAAGTAAGATTGAGAAGTAGTTTATTAAAGATGTCAATGCACACGAGCTCACATGTCATCAACATAAATTTCAATTCTTGCGGTAGTTGGTTTGCTCCTCGATGTAGGATGAAGGTTGCGTAGGATCACCCTGGAATGTCGATCATCTAAGCATTAATAGCATATCGCGCCGTGTCCTGTTAGTGAGAGGCTAGCTTCTCAGAACTCTATCATAAAATGTTAGTATACATACATTCTATTCGAGTGCTGGACAGTTGATTTGTCGATGAGATTCAACAGGAGGCCTTCACCATTAACTTGTTCAAGGATGGAGTGAGTTGACAGTTCATTGAGGTCCTTGATGCATGTAGACACTATGAATACTTTATAATGAACCAGTTAGACAAATGTCTACTTGATCGATTAAATAAGATATGTGCTCACATGAGAGACAAAGCCCAGAATTCCTAATCGATGATGGTCGGTCATGTCCTTCCAGGTCGATGTCATGTCAAAATTTACGGCAGCACACCCATGACCTTTGCAATGCACACTCGATGCCAGTCCATTGGGAAGATGCACAAAATAACTGCTCAGACTCTCACTCTGTGATCCCACAGACATTATGCCCAATTATTCCTACACATTCGCAGTGCTGGTTGACACAACTTTTGTGAGTGATTTAATCATATTGGAGTATGGGTGACTTACCGATAGATCACTTGCCATTGGCAGTCTACCATCTACGACCTGTTACAAGAACATCTAGACGCTTGGGCCCCTACTATTTTTCTCCTCATCCTCCTTGTATCAGCCCTCGCATCATACCCTTACCCTGACCTCACCCTCGTTATCCTCATCATCCTTGCATTCCCGTTCACCCTCTACCTGTTGCTCCAGCAAAGCCAGTACATCTGGCTGGACCCTTTCGCTGACGAAGCATACCCATGCTCCATTCCACCACCTGACTGATCCTGTGGACAGTCCCGTTACCCTTACCGTCCGGATGGTAACCTATGATCTGATGCACGACGCATCCCCTTTGCCCTGTTCCCTTTTCTGATCTCTGACTCTGTTAGAAGAACTGAGAGTTCAAAGTCAATGCACTTAATATTATTGTGTAAATAAGTAAAGTACTATACCTGAGAGTTCAAAGTCAATGCACGAAGCATGTAAGACTTGTGAACTCTGCACTATGGGCGAGTCTATGTAAACAAATATAAACAATTCCTAGTATGGTATGTGTCCTCGAAGTGTCTTAGATGTCTGTCCTCAAAGTGTCCTCGAAGTCCTCGAAGTTATCTACTAATATAGTAATGTCCTTGAAGTGTCCTTCAAGTCTTTGAAGTCTTAGAAGTCTTCGACCTATCTAGTGTGAAGTCACCACACAACTAACAGACTCGGTGCGCAGTCGCACATGCGACTTATACTTAGATCCGCAGCTGCACGATCGTGCCCCTGCGTGTTTCACTTCTTATTTCAATCTTTGACTCACTTTCTTATCTAGCTGAGTAGGTCAATCATCTTTGCAGCCACATCATGAAGCAACAGAATTTCGACAGGAGGGTCATTTATGAATGCCCGACAAGTCGGACAGTTATAGTAATGGCCAGGAAGAATGGAGTCTTGGCCATCACACAATGTTTCAATTTTGGTGGATGTAAACAGTGTGACATGGTTTCTGAAAATATTGGGAAGCATTGCTTCAGGCCAGTAGGATAAACACGCCCTTATACACTGATGAAACCAGCTGACCAGGCACTCATAACAAAACATATGATGGCATTTCAGTCTGTCGAGTGGGCTCCTCAGTAGCATCCAAAAATCAGACTTAGGGGGGCTTACATGAAAGGCTGTTGAATTACTTCTTTACAGATTGGGCATATCAATGCGACATCGACAGCTTGTGTTACAAGAACATCTAGATGCTTGGGCCCCTACCATTTTTCTCCTCATACTACTCGTCTCTGCCCTCGCATCACACCCTTACCCCAACCTTGCTCTCGTCATTGTCATATCCCGCGTTCCAGACCCGGACGTATCACACACATCATTTCTGGATATCCGGATCCGACCGACTTCTATCTATGTCCAGGTCCAACCCGCGTCTAACTTCCGTGCCTAATCCCTTTGTACGTTCCTATTCCAGTTAGGCTATATTATTTTCCAGTACCTCATTTCACTTCCACCTTTATTTTCCTCTGTTCTCATCTCTGGGTTCATTTACTATTTTCGATAGACTAGCGTTTGACTTTTCTATAACCTCCGTCCACAGCCTCGCATAGCTTCGGACTGCGCTGGTTTGTCCTCCGTTAAGTCCTCCATAGTATATAAACCCTGTAGAATCTATGTACATCTTCAGTTCGGATATTATCTTAGACTCTGCTCATTCTCCCCTCCATTTGACTTGAGTTATTCTCTCGTCGACCTCCACTAGTCTTAGGGTTGATCCTGATAGATTTATCACCTCTGCCTCTACCTTTGGTAGTCCTCCGCTGTTTCCTTTCTAGTTCGGACATCGTCCAGATTAGTCTTATCACCTGTCCACAGGATCAGTCATCAGTAGAACGGAGCATGGGTATGCTTCATCCGAGAAAGGGTCTGGCCAAATGTACTGGCTTTGCTGGAGCAAAAGGTAGAGAGCGAAAGGGAATGTGAGGATGACGAGGATGATTGTTAAGATCGTGCTCAAAGGTTCAATCCGAAGGGCTTGGCTTCAGCTCATGCGCTGCACCCCTTACCCAAGTACGTGCCCCTAACTTCCGAAGGCTAATGGACGATGTCCGGAAGTATTGGACGTTGTCCAGATTCCGATTGTCCGATGCGCAGGAATTCCGGCGGACGTTCGGGAACAGTCCCCTCAACCCTTACTGTCCAGACGGTAACCTATGATACAATGCACACTGTCCTGCATGATGTGGAAATCATGCATGGACATGAATACTAGGTGACCCTCAAAAGACAAAGTCTGTTAGCTTAGTCCTCAGACTAGTCAACCAAAAAAGACTGCATTTCAAATCCTGCCAACCACATTATTTTGAGACTGTGTTTCGATTCCTGCCAAACACATTATTTTTGAGACCAGGTTTCAATTCCTGCCAACTGCATTATTTTTGACACTGTTTCAAATCCTGCCAACTGTATTATTTTTTTATCTACTTTTCTTTGGTGTATCTTTGCTAGTAGTATTATTAGCTACATAGTCTTCTGTAGTGTTTCTTTACTTTACTTTTTCATTAGGAAGCTTTGACTCACCTGACACTTCATAAAATTATACCTACAGGGTATGATGTCATTATGATGTCATAAGGCTCCACAGATGCTCCTGCAGGTATTCTGTTGAAAGATATTATGTCATCAAGCTCTAGATTATCCCACTCCAAAATGACATCATAGATGATGTCATTTTGATTCTAGAATGTTCTGCTCCACAACGACTCACTCTGACTCATTTATGGAAAATTCTGGAATCTTTTGCTCCACAATGATGTCATAGCTCCCTATTTTTATTCTTTTATTAGGGTTTGACCCAATATTTTGATTGGTCCTCCTTATTTTTTGTTGTTTGTGAACCTAGGTTACTTTCCCACACAAAATGTATATAAGGAGAGCCAATTCTCCCCTCAAAAAATAGATCTCCCATTTTATTGGAACAAGACATCTCTCATTTGTGAAAAATCTGTGTCAGATATTCTGCTTATAAAGCAAGTGCCTTTGAAGTGAAACAAGTGCAGGGACACTGAATCCCTTGAGATTACACAAGTTTCTCACTATAGAGCCTTGTGACATTTGAGACCAGCTTCTCACCATGTGTAACAAATTGACCAACTACGAGTTTTGGTCAATATCGTTGTATATCTGAGACCACATCTCCACAGAGAACCCTACTTTTATGAAACCGAGTTACAAGTCTAGTAGCTTATTCCTAGACAAGAGATTTGAGTTTCAATAAAGAAAAGTTAAGCTCCAGCTAGGTTGATCTTAATAAAAGATTAGTTTAGCGAGCCTCCCAAGAACTCACACATTATCTACCACGAAATAGGAAAAGTCGTAGACCGTGTTAATTGAGGACTGGCAAGAAGTCTTATCCAAGTGTAATTGTGGTGTCATTACATTCTTACATGAATTTATATAAGACCCTCAGTTATTAAGACAACACTGCATTCCCTTTGCCCTGTTCCCCTTTCTTGTTCTATGACTTAGTGTGCAGTTGCACATTGTACTTATACTTAGACCCACAGTTGCACGATCGTGCCCCTGCCTGTTTCACTTCCTGTTTCTGTTCTATGACTCATTTCTTATTTGCACATTCTGGTCCACCTGTGACTCACCTCAAATGTGCCTTCCTTTTATAGTCTTACCCTTTGACCGTTCCTTCTTCCGGTAGTACAAGTTATCATCCACTAACACACTTCCTCTCCTTTATATAAACTCGCTACCATGTAACTAGGTCCTTAACTTAAATCTACTTGGTTCTTGACCTCCTACTCTCACCAGAGTGATTCCTTCAGCCTAGCCAGCTGTCTATATTCTACTTTCTTATCTGCTCATCAACTTCGTCGTTGAGCAAAGCCCCTGTTACTAGTTGGACTTCTGTCCTTCTATTAATGCAGATCTTACGATTAACCTTCAGGTGTCGTAAGCCTTGGCAGATACACTTATTGTCAAGCCCCACTTGACATAAGCTACCTGATTTGGACATAGGCATCAAACCTTGCTTGCCGAAGCTTCACCAAGCAAGACTCCTAACCTTGGGCCAGCCCAAGGACATCCTCGACCATTGACGACACATGCTCTATTTGAGCGTCGCCAATAGACACTATCCAAGTCCGTAACAACTTGCAATAACTGTGAAAAGATGAAAATCAATCGTTCCTTGAACTCACTCCAGGTGGCACCCCAACTAGGACCCCAAAAAAAGTCAACCAACACCGCGCCCAACAGCGTCAAGGACACCAAAGTGTCCCAACCCCGGACAAACCTAATACCAGCAACATAAAAAAACATCCAAAGAATGTCCCAACCAAGAAAAAACATCAATAATAAAAGCTCCACACCACCCCCAATCACCAACATAACCATCCATCAAATGAGAAGGCCAGCACCTCCTCAAGAAGACATAGAGGCTATGCCAAGTATAGTAATGAACATAGAAAACGCTAAGGAATATTTAAACAAAAACCTTCTGTGCCATATTGACCAACCCTTCACACTAACCCACTTAATTTCAGCTCTGTTCCATATTACCCAACTCAAATCAGTCCCTCTTCCAGCAATAGAAGCCATTAGAGCAGTCACATTTATCCTGAAAAAACATGAAGCAAATGAATTAGCAGATAAAATATTGAAACAAATAACTGATGCCCTCACCCTGAAAATAGCAGAACACATTGTAGCAGCCATAGCCCCACAAGTTGTGAAAATCCTATCAACCTCAGAGCACCTGGACGAAACCCTGAAGGAAGCCGAATGGTTCAAATACTTGGTCGAAAGAGAAAAGGAGGAAAAAGATAGCGAAAAGGACATCACAGCGGAACATTTCAAGGAAGCAGCCAACACCCTCCACAACTCGATGGAAGAGTGCAACAAGAGCTTGAAAGAACTCTCACCCACCATCAACAAAGTCAATGAGCTCCTCAACGACTTCCCTCAAATCTCCCCTACCTTAATACCAAGCCCTGAGTCCACCCAGCAGAAGCAAAAATGACCTACATACAGTGCAATTGTAGCATCCCACACTCTGCCCCATGTAGACCAAGCAATAGCAAGGGCTGTTCGTGCCCACCAAATCATCCTGGACCTGTTACGACTGGGGTAGTTCTGCTGTTGCCGGTCAAGATAGACCTATCGGGCGAACAGTTCGTCGGCCTTCCTAATACAAGGAAGGTTTCTGGTGGTTCCTACTGCACGAGCCGCGGCTTCTATGCAGGATCAGCGGCGAGTGGTTTTAGCACTTCTGCCTAGGCGGTGAGTGGTTTTAGCACTTCTACCGCAATCAAGGGTTTCAGGCTAAGACAGTGAGTGACTGTCTTAGAATCAGAGTTCAGGCTACTAAGGGTGGAGACCTTAGTGTTGGAAGAACTGAGAGTTCAAAGTCAATGCACATGATATTATTGTGTAAATAAGTAAAGTACTGTACCTGAGAGTTCAAAGTCAATGCACGAAGCATGTAAGACTTGTGAACTCTGCACTATGGGCGAGTCTATGTAAACAAATATAAACAATTCCTAGTATGGTATGTGTCCTCAAAGTGTCTTAGAGGTCTGTCCTCAAAGTGTCCTCGAAGTCCTCGAAGTCCTCGAAGTTATCTACTAATATAGTAATGTCCTTGAAGTGTCCTTCAAGTCTTCGAAGTCTTAGAAGTCTTCGACCTATCTAGTGTGAAGTCACCACACAACTAACACATTTTCCCTCCTCTCGCACCCAGCCACTGGTGCACTCTCCCCACCATTATCCCTTGCTCTCTTTGTTGAAAATCAGCAAAGACAGCCTTTCCTTCGAATTCTACCAAGCCCTTGCCCTTAATTCGTCCCACTGCTGCAAAACTGCGCCGTCTCCTTCGCCATGTCCTCAGAAGACTCGAAATCTATTTGCACTGTCACCAAACTCACTTCTACCAACTATGCTACCTGGAAGGGTGAGATGAAGGCCTATCTTCGAGTCAAGGGTCTCTGGTTGCTCGTCAATGGCATCGAGACTCGACCTACAGAGACAGAAGCTGCAGCAAAGTGGGACACCAAAGCAGACAAGGCAGCTGGGGAGCTGTATCTGGCGTGCTCTGTAGAGCAAAGGACCCATATCGACGCTGTCCAGGACGACCCTGTCAAGATTTGGACCACCCTGGCTTCCACGCACCTCCAGAAGCGTCCTGGCGCGCGCTTCAATGCCTGGGACGACTTCTTCTCTATTAGGAAGCAGCCTGACGAGTCCTTGAGCACCCTCATTGCTAGGATCGAAGATGGCATGTCCAAAGTCCAGGAGCTTCGACCCTCAGACCCATCCAAGCCTTACACCATCAAGGAACTCGATCAAGAGCTGGTCTGCATGACCATGGTTCGTTCCCTGGGCGAGGAGTACTCCAATTTTGCGTCGTCTTTGATGCTACTCAAGTCCTTGGACAAGGAGGAACTGAAGGCAGCATTCCTGGCTGAGGAAACCCAAAGGAGGAGACGTCCTGAAGGTTCTGGGACCGATGCAGCGCTGTTTACTGCGTCTGGAGACTGTAGATGCGGCACCTCTGTCACCTGCTGGTACTGCGAGAAGCCTGGTCACTGCACCCACAAGTGCAGGAGTCTTAAAGGTGATAAGGATCGTCGCAAGACCAAAAACGATGGTCGAAAAGGTGGAAGGAGCGCTAACAAGGCTTCTGAGGCGTCCCAATCATCGTCCGCAGCGTCTACACCCTCTCCCAACACCGCTGCACCCGCCTCCAACTCGACCACTGCCCAGAACACCTCCCAGAGCGCCCAACAGGTCACGGAATTTGCTGGTAATGCAAGTCTTCGCACTTTTGACTCATCCCATCCCCTTTGCCCCTTGCAACTCGATGCACATGCTGACTGGAATGCAGACACAGGTGCTACCTCTCACATGACCCCCCATCGTCACTGGCTGCGCAATTATGCGCCCAAACGCGTCCCTATCAAGCTCGCAGACAACAACATAGTCTATTCAGCTGGCGAGGGCACAGTGGTATTCAGTCCAGTCATTAATGGGAGGCGTGTCGAAGCTGTAGAATTCACTAGAGTCCTTCATGTACCAGACTTGCGAAATAATCTACTATCTGTCCTATATCTAACTCGCAACATGGGGTTCACTGTGCTCATTAATGCATCTAAGATGTCCTTCGAACGCCCCACTGGTACCCCACTCTTTGTAGCCAGCATCAGCAACTCGAATGCTGCATTCCTGGATGGTTCTACTGTTGCAATAACTGAATATGCGTCTGCAGCTGCGACTCTGCCCCTAGACTTCGACCTATGGCACAGGAGGCTCGCTCACCATCACCTAGAAGGTATTAAGATGCTTATAAGGGAGAAGCTCGTCACTGGGATGACCATAGAGTCGAAATCTGCACCAGATCCTATCTGCGAACCATGCCTAGCTGGCAAGATGCACGCAAACCCCTTCCCTCCTTCTGAATGGCGCGCTTCCAGGCCTCTCGAGCTTGTCCACACCGACGTGCACCAAGTCCCTCACCCCAGCTTCTCAGGATTTCGCTATTGGGTGTCCTTCATAGACGACTACTCCAGATTCAGATTCGTCCTGCCCATCAAAGCAAAGTCTGATGTCTTTGAGGCCTTCAAGACATTCAAGGCTTATGCTGAGAACCAGTCAGAGCGAAAAATCAAGATCCTGAGGGACGACAAGGGAGGGGAGTACATGAGCAATGCTTTCTTGCAGTTCACCAACTCCTGCGGCATAGAGCGCCAGCACACAGTCCGAGCACGACCTCAGCAGAATGGTGTTGCAGAGCGAGCCAACAGGCTGCTCTCTGAGCGCATCACCACCATGCTGGATGAAACTGGCCTACCCAAGGCATTCTGGGGCGAGGCTCTAGGTGCCCTAGTGCACGTGTGGAACAGATGCCCCACAAGCGCAGTGAAAAGCGCCACTCCCTACGAACTGTGGCATGGAAGGAAGCCAGATGTCTCCCATCTTCGAGTCTGGGGTTGCACTGCCTATGTGCACGTCCAGAAGGACAAGAGAGAAGGACTTGGATCTCACATGGAGAAATGCGTGTTCATTGGGTATCCTCAGGGCTACAAGGGCTGGAAGTTCTACAATACCACCACTAAGAAGACAGTAATATCAGAACGAGCTGATTTCGATGAAAGATATTTCCCCCTCTCGAAGCGCCCTACTGAGCCTTCGATACCAGTCCCTACTGCACCTACACTTGCACCAACTCGCCCTACTGTCCCACCTATTCCACAGACACGAAGGACATTCCCAATACCTGACGATTCAGATGCTGATGATGAATCCAGCTCTGATGAGTATCAGGATCATGGGGGGAGCAATGGTCCTCCAGATGCGCCTCCTGCTGCCCCTGTAGTCCCTAATATTGATCCAGATCCTCCTCAAGTCCGAGCCTCGTCTCCAACTCCATCCCCACCACCATCTCCACCTCCTAGACCGCCCTCGCCCATTGGCATTGGAGCCAGACTGCCCAGGCGCAATAGAACCAAGCCTAGAGAGTGGTGGAAGCTATCTCCAGCCCAACTACACTCTGATGTGGATGATGACATTGAGGACGCGGATCTTGGCCATGAGATTGTTCTCTCTGCAGCTTCACCAGCTGAACCCCTGTCCTACTCCGAAGCTCTGAAGCGCCCTGATGCGGAGCAGTGGAAACAAGCTGCCATGGAGGAACTGAACGCCCACAGCATCAATGGCACTTGGCAGCTCGTCCCCAGACCTGCTGGAAAGAAGGTCATAGGCTGCAAGTGGGTGTTCAAGGTGAAGCGCAATGCAGACGGATCTGTGGAGCGCTACAAAGGCAGATTGGTGGCCAAAGGCTACAATCAAAGACCTGGCTTCGACTACCTCGAAATATTTGCGCCCACAGTCAGAATGTCCAGCATAAGAGTCGTCCTAGCCATGGCCGCCATTCACGACCTCCACCTGCGCTCTATAGACATATCTCATGCCTACCTCAATGGGGAGATGGACTGCGACGTCTACATGGAGCAGCCTGAGGGATTTGTTGAAGGAGATGCCAAAGAGATGGTTTGCTTGTTGAAGAAGAGCATATATGGCACCAAGCAAGGAGGCAACAGATGGAACCAGAAAATGCGCTCTGTGCTCGAGTCTTTGGGCTACACTCAGTCCTACTCAGACGCGTCCATCTGTTGGAAGAACTGAGAGTTTCAAAAGTCAATGCACTGATATTATTTGTAATAAGTAAAGTAGCTGTACTGAAGTTAAAAGTCAAGCACGAAGCATGTATACTTGTGAACTCTGCCACATGGGCGAGTCATGTAAAACAAATATAAACAATTCCTAGTATGATGTGGTCCTCAAAGTGTCCCTCGAATCCTTGAAGTCCTTGAAGTTATCTAGCTAATATAAGTAAGTCCTGAAGTGTCCCCTCAAAGTCCTCGAAGTCTTAGAAGTCTTCGACTATTTCTGTGTGAGTCACCACACAACTAACACTCCCCCAACACTCCCCCCCTGACTAACACATCTCTATCTCTAACAAACTCCCCCTCATCTGTGTAAGTCCCATCATCTGCCTGCAAAATAAGTTCCACTTGGGTCGACTGCAAATACTTTGTCAAGATGCGTCTGGCTGATCGAGCTGTGGGCACAAATATAGCGAAATTATCTCTTTGTGAACAACGTCTGCTGAGCAATACCAACTAAGATCCATTTGCTTCATCCTCCCGTGGTGTTCTGGGTGTTTGGCAACAGATATGGCGCTCTGGTTGTCTATTCTAAGTATGGATGGTGCAGTGGTGGAGAATCCCATCTCCTGCAGCAAGTTTCGCATCCATCGGATCTCCTTGCCTGCTGACACTGCAGAGATGTACTCTGCTTCGGTAGTAGATAGCGCAACAATGCTTTGTAGCTTAGAAGACCACGAGACGACTCCAGAGCCAATCTTCACCAAGTATCCACCAGTGGAGCGCCCTGTGTCCTTGCATCCACCATGATCAGCATCGGAATAGGTTGAGAACAGTTCGGTGCTTGATGGATCAGGCG